ACAGATACTCGTACTAATAAAAGATCTAAGGTAGATTTTGATTTTCAAACTGCTAGAGGTGGATGTATTACTATATCTGATGAAGCATTACAGTCGGCGAAATTACTATTGTCTGAAGTGGGTTTTGAAAACTTCGCAATAGACGAGATGCAGCCAGAACTAAAATCGGAAGAGGTGGCATCGAATAGTAATAATTCTTTTAGCAACATAGATAAAAATTTTATCTATAGATATGCCACCAGTAAAGGTTTTAAGAAAGTAGGGGAACCGGAGATTCATCGAAATAGAACTGAAAGTGCTATAAGGAGTTCCGATACGCAGTTAAGAAATTGCGATATACTAGACAAAATTGGCTTGTCTGAATCTCCCTCTGGTCAACATAATCTGAAAAGTAGTACAAAAAATGATAAACTAGATATCTCTGGAAATGTAAACTCCGGATTTCAAACTGCTAAAGGCACAAACATTACTGTTTCGGATGCATCTTTAGATTTAGCGGAATCACTTTTATCTGAAATTCATCGTGACAGCTCAACAATAAACGAACCACTGCTTGAATTAGCAATAAAATCTGAAAAGATTTTAGATCCTGATGATACTATCTGCCATATTGGTGAAACATTCGATAGCAAAAGCAATTCAGTCAAAAACAGCAACATTGAAACCCCTTGCCGGAGCGATGCATTCCAAAGCAGAAATAAAACCCCTGTCGAACCTCATGTCAAGCCAGATATCAATATGAATACGATCGATGAAACCAACCAGCTTGTTAACAGGGGAAAACCGTGCATTATGGGCGGATTCAAATCTGCAAAAGGGACTAATATTAAAGTATCAGAAGAATCGTTGCGTAAGGCAAGATTACTTTTATCTGAGACTGAAGGCGATAATCCGACGACAAAAAATAATGTTTTTGAAAGTAATAATTGCGGTAGTTCTTCGATTCCTAGTCTTCATTCTATGACTGATTTGGAAGTAGTACGAGAAAGTGAAGAATGTGCGAAAGCCTTACTTTCTGATGATCACTGGCGAAAAAGTAAAATAGATAGTTCTATTCTCGCCTTCGATACCGGTTCAAAAATCTCCAAAAACGGTAACTAGATCTACGCGTACATTTTTAACGCTTGCAATCAGTCTTACTGCATGATGTAACAGCTAAATCTAGGCGTTACTAGTCACGATATTTGTGTGTTCCCTATCGTTCTCGAACTTGACTCTCGGAATAACTAAGCATATATTTATATCTTTGAGGCAGAAACAAAATGCGATAGGAATTTGGAAAAAAATTCGGTAAAATAGAATACTAACTTTGCATTTTCCGAGAAAAGATATGCGAGAGCTACATTAACGTATTTTCTACAACCATAATAAATTGTTAAGAATTCGATAGCCTGTAGTTTTAGACTTTATTTTTAAACATTGTTATACGTTGGAAGGCGACATAGCATTATAACATTAATGCTATTGTAACATCTCATTATTAGTTGTCTTGGGCTTACTTCTTGTTCAACTTCAGTACAGTATCAGTAATATAATGCTTCTTTAAAAAGTCTTTATAAATTTATTAATCGAATCGTTGGTACCATTATGTAACTATTAGTGACCCTCTAACTTTTGTAATTTATTTGGATCCTCAGAAGTCTTTCTCTAGTTATGTAATTTTAGTTCTATTTTTATTCTTGATAGATAGATGGTATGCGTAAACGCCTTATACCAATATCAACATCTCCAACATGTAAGCACAATTCTTGATTTAATTGTACTAAATTTAAATTGTAAATAGCCTTGTGTATCCAGCTATACAGTTTTTACTAAATTCGCGAATACGGTATGTTAATTATCAGGATAACCCCATGATCTCGACCTACTTATGATAATTTTGGGGATACCTTAATATTATTACTAGAATACGTCTTTAATATACTTTTTTTTAGTTACGTTTGCTGATCGTGTGCCTTCTAAGCCGGCATTGAAACCGGTGCGTTGTACTCCTATCGGAGGTCAATATCATCGTCAAAACAATTCAACCCTTAAAAGGTAGATGAGTTCACAATTGTAGTTTTAACTTATGTTTTTGTTTTACCAAGACTAAATACAGCTTTACTGTTTAAATCTAGGTTTAAAAGTAGTTTTAATATAAAGAGAAATGGAAGTATGCATTGTCTTTATCCTTCGAAAATCTCTAGACATTTAAATTGCTGGACGGAGAGAGGTTAAGACTTTATATTTATCAAATGCAGAAATTACCGTTTTATGAGATAATTAGAGTGTAATCTGCGATCAAAAGGCGTTAAGAGTTTACTAACAGACAATATCGTTGACTACGTATCTTTGCTTAAATGAGGCTGCCGCGTATTTTTTGCAAGTAGTCTAAATTTGATAAACTTATTAAAATTAATAACGTAATGAATTAAAAATGCAGAAAATGCCAACGCCGTAAGCTATCCAAAAAGTAGCCCCCGCAATGGTCGTAATACTCATATTCTCATGGAAAATAATCAAGACCCTTTCTCTCAAACCGGTTATTGGCTGCGGATGAAAATAAATACGAGCAGCAAGCGCTATAGTTTAAAATCTTTAATCTCTTATGGACAATTACAGAACTTTACAAGAGATCAGGTATCAAATTTTGTGAGCGTATTCGTGTTGCAGTACGTTTCTACATGGCATAGTCTGGTATTAATGTATCACGTTTATTGTTGTCAAAATCACGTAATAAAAGCTCTGATGCTTAATTTGTAATAACAGATCGTGTAATTTAACTGTAATTAATTCTATTTTAATTAACTAGCTAGAGGCCTATGGACTTACAGAAAATGTATTAAGTGTGACAAGTAAGACTGCTATGTCCTTTAAGTTTAAACCAAGGGAATCCAACTGTCAAGAATCAAGCTGCGAAAGGTTTAATATCAAGACAGAAGATGATATTTACTTGTTAACAAATAATAGCTTTTTGGATCTACACGATTTTACTAGGTATTATTCGAACTATTACATGTACATGGAAACAGTAATATTAATATGCAGTAATCAGTAGTACTGAAATCAAACTTTAAACAGGGCATTCCTTAGAGCACCGAGTATTAATCCGTCGCTTATAAGTAAGGAATGGGTGGCTAATCATTTTAAATGGATCGTTTGGAAATTAGCTGCTTATGAAGTTTTTTTCCCTCAGTGTTTTGCGTCCAGGTACAGTTTTTAGACCCATTGTTCGGAGTTTATTAAGAGCATTATACATTAGTGTTTGCTTATCACTTATTACACGTGAATTGTTGTTATACGATTTAGTAAAGACAATCATTAATCGATTCATATAGGTCCTTAACGCCTGAAGTTGTTCTACATCAGTTAAAATATCGATATGATACGGAAATAAATAACTGTAAAAGGTAGGTAGGATTCTCCCGATACAGTTTTAAGATTATAGTAAAGAATGAAAGATTAACTGTATAAAGTTAACATGATCCTGTTTGACATCTTCGTCTCGAAAAGATCCGCACTAAAGAAAATTTATGAAAGAGATGATACCGCATGTCGGACTTTGGTTCTTTGTGTATCCGATATTATAAGTAAACCCGAAAAATCTAGTGATACAATAGATGAAAGTGTAAGTTCAGACAGCAGAGTAAATTAGAAATTAAAGTCGGCGAAATTAATTCCTTAAGGACTATACGTAAATGCGCATACATTGCATTGCTATTGCAATTTATCATAAGTAATGGAATTTATTACAATAGGCACCAACATTTGCTGTTATAGAGTTAACGGATGGATGGTATAGCATTAAGGGCCTTTTAGACCGGCCACTTACAAAGTTATTAACAGATGGTAAAATTTCGATTGGACAAAAGTTATGTATCTTTGGTGCGGAATTGATTGGATCCACTAATGCGGTGTCGCCCTTAGATGTACGAAATACCAAATACGATTAATTTTAGTGATATAACGTAATTGAACATAACAAAGATTCTACATTATTCTTTTAAAATCTTGTTCCTTTGTATATTACCACAGAGTTGAGAATTAGTTTATCGTTCTATTTCGTAACATTTACTTTTAGGCTCCCGATACCCTAATGTTGCGTCTTTCTGCTAATTCGACAAGAAGAGCAAAATGGTATTCTAAGTTGGGGTACCAACGCCATTCTCGAGCTTTTCCTATTCCTATTGATACCATTTATGCTGATGGTGGACTTGTAGGCAGGCTGGATGTAGTTGTAGCGCGTAGCTATCCCTTAACATATATGGAAAAAACCGATGACTGCGTTCGGGTATATAGCGAACGTGCTGAGGATCGAGCAGCAAGAGCAAGAATCGAAAAGAGCGAAAAATTCGCTGAATCTCTATACTTAGAGGCATTCAAGGAATTAGAACTCAGCATCAATAGAGGCAATAAGTTTTGATCGTGATTTCTATCACAAAGATTTGATATACAGTAATAGTATATTTGCGGAGAAATCGAAGCATTATAACGTATGTAACTTTATCTCAGATCAAAACAAGAAAAGGGCTAGGCAATCCTTCGAAAATATTGAAACGATTGAAGACGGAAAGAAACTTTTCGAACTATACTGGGTTGCTGCTGATCCTGCGAATTTTGAAGTATAGATCATAACTTTCTTAATATCATTTGTAGTATTGGCGGATTTTACCCAGACTTTAGTTAGTTCCTTTTGTATTGAATTTTCAATATATATTCAGTAAAGATATACCACGATTATTTTAATTTAGAAACAGCTTAATGAGAAACAGCGTCAAAATATGATGAACTATCGGCTATCACAAAATCGCTTTGAAGTAGAAAAAATCCAAACAGTTATCCAAGGAAAGATACAAGACAATGTTAAAAAAGTATTAAATACAGTCGTTTTTGAAATATACTACCGCTGTGAAAAATTATACTGTATTGATACTAGTTTCACCAATTTAAAGTTTTCTAGTAGTGCCGTCACTCCTATAAAAAAGATTAGGCTTATCAATTATCAGCGCAAGAAATCAAGGATGCCAGATTGCTTTCTTACTATTTGGAAACCAAGCGATGAGATTCTAGAAATGTTGAATGAAGGAAACCTGCTGAGAATTTATCATCTTACGGCATCTCCTAATAGGTATCACTTAAAATTTTTTATTGTTCCGTAGTATTTGATGATTTTTCAAACCGCAGATAGCTAACATTTTAAGTTTCTAGATTTCAAAATACATCCAGCAGTGCTCAGGTATCTTTCTATCCGTATTCATATTTTATTTTATATATTTGAAGGTAACAGTCGTTAAGCATTAACCCTTAGATTTGATGTATATTGACAGCTTTCTACAACTCGTATAACAAAATTTATTCCTATAACAACTTATCGAGTTGCAATTGAACGTCTTTACATCGAACGTCAGGTAGATGATTTTATGTAATAGAACCAAATAAATCTAGACCAATAAAGCATTATTTATCGCTTGATGTTTGAAATAGGTCTATCAAGTTGGTAATGTCAAATCGAAATTTACTTCAATGCCTTTTGATGAGTTCGATTGTGTCGGGATTGTAGTCTATGTAGATTTCAATTGTGAATCAGCATTAACTCGGTAGAATCATTTTTAGTGCTTTATTTCACCTAATTTAGAAGTTCAAGATAACCTGATTACACTATCAAAATTTTAGATTAGTAGATTCAGTATATTTGGCTGATAAAGACTGCAATCTCCTTTGCATACGATTTGTCAACGGGTTGAAGGTAGGTACGGTTTCGTTTACCTAGTAACTTTATTCTCTGATGTTAGTAAGGTCTGACAATGAACTAATCACAATTTTATAGCATTATGCTGTTGACGATTTGTTAACCGTTGGTATGGCTGTTTCGATATGCAATCTGCAAACGAAGCCGCGAATGTCTCTAGCTGTACCCATAGCAACAGCAACAGAACTTACAAAAGTATCTCAAAACTTAGACAAGGATACTGGATCTGCCTTTGAGATTTTATTAAACAACCTACCAGTATGCACTATTTGAAATAATATTTACGTAGTATGTGTCACAAACGTAAGACTTATCTAGAAATATATTAACTGAATTTTCAGGATAAGCAATGGCTTCTTAGTAAAACTATGGATATGATTAGGTCGTTACGCATACAGGAAAATAATCTCAATTTCGCGAACGAAGGCTTGGCATTGCAAACGAAAAATAAGCCTCCAGCTTCGGCAAAGAAAAAGAAAGCCCATCGACAGGTAAACCATCCTAATAACTCTCTTACATCCCGCCCAAAAACGAGGGCATTGACAAGATTAAATGATAAAACTTAGGTTATTCTATCAGCTATTGATAACAATAAAACACTAATAAATATTCTTGTACTGTATCATACATTGTAACCGCAATATCGAAACAGTAAAATTTTATAACTTGTCAGTTACCTATTTAGCATTTTTCGTGAAGTTATCTACCATATAGTGTGTTACGCAATTTTGGTGAATATACCATTCAGCAGGCAATTGCTACAGTGTACCCTACTGTAGTGACAACTAGAAAGGGTTGCTGGCATGTAAAATGAATACGTTGCAACTATGAAATCTCATAAAATGTTCAGTTGATTTCTTTTTTGCTGGTTGTAATTATACTGTAAAGTATTATAAATATAAATTTTTCAAAGCAGCTTCTTTTATTTAACTGTCGTTTTGAATTGTGTTGATGTATAATTGCATCGCGGATCAGTTGTCCATAAACGAACTATGAAATAAATGTTTTTACCGCCTTGCGATCATTGCCACTTACATTTCATCCAATATTATAGTTTACTTTGGAATACATTAGCAGATAGTTTAGAGGTATAAAACAGCCTTATTTCATATTCATTTTCGTTCTCTACCGCTATACGAAATCTGCAATCCAGATTCCATTACAATCATCTAATCAACAAGATTTTCAGTTGCGATTGCGCCATTACTTCCGTGTCTTATCTGATATGTATAAATGATAAACTAGCCAGTTAGGTAAACAGTCGTGCAAGGACACGGAAAATTCATCCAATTGTAATTATAAGTAATTCGTACTAACAGTAAATACAAACTGCAAAGTTGATAACTTCACAAAATTCTAAATAATAAGCTAGAAGATACGCAAAAATCTTCAATTAGTCCTCTTCTTAGTTGGTATCGATTTTTAAAGGACTGTATGTTTTCCCTTCCTATACTATTGCAACGGTGAAAAATTGTTCTTTTCTATGATTACGATAACGTTGCAAATTAAATTATGGTCCTTCAAAAAACAATATAACACCGTGATAGATAATAAATGATACGATAATTTTCAAGTAATGTAGGTAGTAGGAATTGTATGAAATACTGTACTACTCTAATCACGAAACATTTTAGGGACGAACTGCTCAAGAAATATGATAAATCTAAAGTAATTATCGAAAGATCAAACTATAAACATTTGGTAAAATATAGCATTATACGCGTAAACTGACTACACGATCTACACTACCTCCTTCAGATTAATCTTACTTGAAATTAAATAGAGTAGGAGAATCCAAATAAATATTATAAAATTTAGCTTATTTAGAAAACTTATTCTATTAATACAAAGAGAAAAAATTTAAATAAGGATTGACTAAAGAATATTATTTGCCTGCTAATTTAAAATAATATGAAAATAAATTATAACAATGAAAATAATTGTAACGGATTAATTAAAAGCCAAAATCTAATCCTTAAAAATTAAATCAGAACGAGCTTCTGATACGTTAATACAGTAGTATCAAGTTTGACCTCCACCTATCAACACATAAAGTAAACGTCAACTTAAGGGATAGTTTGCAGCATAAATTAATTTAATAGCTGAAGTGAATTGGACCGCAATACAACAATGCACACAAACATTTGATAGTTAAATGACATGACATGCCGTTGATTGTCTAACAATTTAAAACAAGGACTATTAAAATAAGCTATTTCAACAGAGAAGTACATGTCTTAGTACACCAAATTCATAGTGAGGTTATACGCGTATAGTACTGTACTCAATATAGAAATTGAGTTTTATGACTGAAGGTAAGGAGAAAATTTGAGTTAAGTAGGGATGGATATGATGTATACATAATTTTTTACCTGACTTCAGAAATACTGCAACAAATAAAAACAATTGCTATAACGTTAAGGACGATCGAGATCTATCGATGATCATAATTAATATCTATCGAAGACATAGGCTAATCGTCTATTTTACATTAGCATAAAATATATTAATGCAAGAATATTTTCATTGTATTCTGAATTGAATGGAAGAATTTTGCATATGTGACACGCGAATATCATGTAATCCAACTTGCACTTCAGATGAGAAATTAGCAATTTCTACTGCAAGCCGTTTGTTAGGCAAACCAGATACAATTATATAAGTGTCCCCACAGTTTTCATTTTATAAGCGTTGATTCGTTAATTTTATTATCAAAGATCCGCAAATGGAGTTGAGTATACATGTGAACTACTTGAATTGGTGTACTATATCACTAATGTAAACGGTAACATCATCGAACGATTCAGCTGGAACTGAGGGAGGGTTTTTAATTGATCAGCAACAGAACATTTCATCATCTGGTGTAACAAATTATCGGCACGTAGACGTTCCTGATTTAATTGATCAGTCCACTATGATAAACTTTTAGCTAAATTTGCATGTAACTCATTAAGCGATAAAGTAAAAATAGTAGCAATGGATAAGCTAAACATATAATGGTCAATAATAAACAACTAAGGTTAGATTCTCGTGAGCAATGGCTTTCTATTCATCCGATTTAGTGATAATACTTCGGTTAACTCTCGCATTAATGTTGTATCATTCCGTAATATAAGTTGCCATATAACAAATTGTTGAACTAAATTGTTCTAGTAGTTACCGACGGTTGATGGTGAATATTATGTATAATTTCATGTCTTTATTTAGTAATAGCTTTCATTAACGGTGTTTTGATAAAATTGATTGTATGATAGACCTGTCGAATTTCAGAATATATAAAACTGGTATTAAGAAATATTTCACTGCGAGTATTCCTTTGTACTGTATACGAGTCTATGATGTGTGAGTATCGGCATTAAGGGATGCTCAACGCCAGTTTCTTCTTCAGGCGATATCAATAATTAAAAGCTGACTGAATTTTTCCATAATTCATAGTGTTTGATACGTCCAATTTCTTCGCGTGCATTATTATTATTATTAACATCATTTCCGTATAAAATTTAATAACTTCACTGGAAGTTACCTCTTGATTATCAATTTCTTGACGATGAGCGGATAAATATTGTCGCACAGCCGTTAAATGATCAAATGATGATGTATCGTTAAGAAAGAAACACAGTAACACTGGATAAGTAACTGTATTATTGCGATTTTGATTTAACAGATCGAGTACTCAATGACTAAAATTCGAGCTAACTTATAATGTTGATATACCGCACTCAATTTGAAGACTATGAACTAGATTAGAACAACCAATACTAAAAGGTGATAATGTTTTCAATATTATCCGTATCACGAATATTTTGAATTGATGTAATAACTGTAAATATGGATTGCGTGAATAAACCGATACACGGAATTAAAATTGAAATAATCAGCTTAAATTCGTAATAACTGGTTTTGTAGTGAGTGATATCAGTCACCTAGCTAAGTTTTGCAGTGATCAGATCTGATTCACTGAGCATGTACCACACCATAACAACGCTAACCTTATTGCTGACCATTATTGACTACAGTCTGAATTTCGTGCATTACTAGTCATATAGTTGTAGGCCAAATGATATAACAATTAACTTTGGTTTATTTATATAATATTATACATACTCGAAGGCTTATTATACTGCTATAAAATTCGAACTTATAATCTCTTGTAAGTGATGGTTATTAATTAATCTCCGTACCAGTAGTTCATTTATCTGACCATGTATAGCATGCACATCATCACAGTCATCGAATTTGAATGTATGATAGGGTCAGAAAGGAAAGTTTATCCCTACCGATTTTGCTGTTTAAAAGTCTTATTGTCAAATTATACCGTAGTGCATATAGTAAATATCTTCTCATTTCGACTCGATTTACATATATTTGCGTAATGAATTCATATAATGCTACAGTGCGTATAGTAGTGCAACACTACTAGTTTACGATTAATGGACTACATTTTCGTAGCATACTCACTATAATATTACGTGTTCTAAATTTAAAGCCGCCGTCTACAATTCGTTAGAACTCAGATCTTAATATTAAAACCATGCACTTATTACTATACATTGAAGGACCAATAATACTGCATATTCATTTTGCAAAAAGGTAGAACAGTTAAAGTAAAACGTATACGAATTTTACAGATTACCGTTAGACTGTTATGATTAGTTTCTATAATAATAGGATATCAATTACTTACTAGTATGTCCTTCGCTCGCTATATTTCGCGCTTAAAATTCGTATCTCACTCTGGTTATGACTGAAATGGTTATAATAGTATTTTGCATTCTTATACACGACAATGATAATCCTTCTAATTAACCTAGCGTCAGCATTTAAACTTTAAATTGATTAGCAAAGTATCTGTGCTATTCTCCAGCTTAAGATGCGCTCTATTATAGCCATGTATGTCTGAAGTTATAGGAGGCATGCATAGATGATAAATATAGTACTAATATTTAATTTGTATCTTTCCAAAAACTTTATTGTAATTATTTCATGCTATTGGTTTTGATTGTGATGAGTCACTATACGAACAGCTGATAAAAGTCGACTAGATGATAGATCACGTTCCAAGAGCCATTAATTATGGCAGATTCACTAGTAAACGGTCGTAAATTTATAAATTTTGGTTAGTATCGCTGAATTATTTCGCGATATTATTTTGTAAGGTTGTAACTTTATTAACGCTTACATAATTAATCTTGGAAGTTTATTGAACGGTAACTAGTGAACAATTAGTGACAGAAGTCTGGATATTTGTAGTGGATCCTTTATACGGGAACATAAAATCGAAAGTAACTTGATTACGCAATTTATGATTAGCTGTATTCTACTTTCTTTTAGCCGTATGATTGAGGGATAAAAAGATTTACAAGATTCTATAAGAACTATAAGATAAAACTGACGTATCACTCGATCTCGGTTACATTTGTATTAAGATAAAGCGTGTATGAATATGAACTCTATCCGGGAAAGTTTTAATAGCTGTTTAAAGGACTAGCTACTGTAGCGATGCGAAAGATCTACGCTTACATCTTGACATTACTGTAGCATTGACACTCATATTTGATCAGAGCGTAGTGCTATTTGATGTACTATACTATGCAGCGCTGTAGCTATCTAACTGAAAATAATGTTAAGGAATTGGGTTAGCCTAAGACAGTTTTCGCTATACTGGAAGATATGCGAGGCAAAGTGACATTACTATTACATACAAGCCAAAGATTTTACAATTTATGCAAGTTTCTTTAAATCTTTAAGCAAATTAAAGCAAGTAATCAAAGTTTAATAAGTGCCTATGAAAATGTTCACATGGAGAAAATCTTACCAGGATAACGTATTATCTTCGTACGCTGAAGGTATTCAGCAATAATATTATTAGTATATTAATACGGTAGAATACCGTACTGCATCGGCTAATCGCAATCAATTTAGCCTGAACAATAAACACAAAACAATTTACACGGTGCTTTCACTTAAAGAAGCCTTTACAGCTTTATCTTCTAGCCAAAATGTCTTCATAACTCCTATTCCCTAAAAAATTGACGATGGCATAGTTATATAATAGCATAAAGGTTCTCAGCTGATGATATTTAATATTTTAAATTTTAAACGTTTTCATAATTCCATAGTACCTTGACTGTCACATGACCTCTGCTATTCAGAATATATCCACCAATATGATCTAATGCTGTCTTACAATTTTTACTAACGTGAATCTTCGCAGCTAGATAAATCAATACAATTTGATTAAATTAACTATTGAACTTATTATCGATAAACTATTACAAAATTTCATGATCTAATTGTGGAAGAATTACAGCAATTGAGCACTTATACGTAACTCTTGTATAAATGTACTGTACATTGCACAAGCGTTATTACGAAATATCGGAAATCCAGCATGATAATTGGCCTCAGCTACCTTGTCCGTGAGATTCCATTCTTGAGGCAATGTTAACAGTGTCTCCAAAAAGGCAATATCGAGGCGTTTTATTACCGACTACGCCAGCTGCACAAGGACCTAGTTAAAAAATTAACGAGATAAGTTAGAACATTTGGATTACTATTGAAATATCTCTTGATTCTGGTTAAATTATTGTATGGCTGTACTGATAATAGCAACGTGAATAAAACAAAATCCGTGTTAATACATAGCATTGTTGTGATATATTAAACTATTACTATCTAATGAAACTATTCGTTAGTTTTGATAATCACAATATGTTGTCGGGCATATTGCGTAATATTCATATATAGTACTTAATTCCAACCCGTATGAATTCCGGCTCTCAATCTTATTAATTGATCTGGCATAGTCGATATTTTAATCCCTTGGATTTCACTTTGTAAATCAAGAGCTAAGTCGGCAATTTCTCTAGCATGACGACGATTTGGTATTCGCCTTGGCAGACCAGAAGCAACCATGTACGCATCGCCGACAGTTTCGATTTTATATGCATCATACTTGTCTACTTTACTATCAAATATTTCGTATAATATATTTAGCATTTGAACAACTTGTAAAGCTGTTATACGATGACAGATAACAGTGAATCCAACAATATCACTGAAATAAATAGTAACATCTTCAAATGTTTCAGCTGATACATTATAGCCTTGTTTTAGCTGATTGGCGACAAATTTCGGTAGCATTTGGTAAAGTAATTGATTTGCTCTCGCGCGTTCATCTTGCAATTGTTGGGTCTGCTTGGATAAATGAATAGCTAATAGTTGGATATTACGTAATAATTTGTACATAATGCCAATTAAAATTGGACAAGCAATGAAGACAACTACTAATAATGTTGATGACAAGATAATATCAACATGAGAATCGCGATCTAAGCGTATAGCAATAGAATTAATTTGATCAACAACCAGGCTGTTCATAGTTTCGAGTAACTGTAGATAAGTATTTGTAATTGATAACCAAGTATAGCCACCTTGTATAGACAAAATACGAAGTTGATTTTTATAAATAACGGTCAAGTTATAGTCCATGTAACTTTGCTGATACGACGTAGATATATTTTGTGAAAAAAATTTTGATGCTTTCGATGAATAATAGAACGCATTTCGAAAATGTGCTTCAGCACTGCTACGTAGTTGAATCAATTGATCACGCCCTCGTGTATTAAATGAGAATTGGACGTAATACAGGCTGGCAAAGGAAGTAAAATAAGCAACTTGTTCTTTGCCTAAAAGCAACGAATGATAAGCAACTGAATGTTGCCAAATGTTGAAGTGAGATGACTTTTTGAAATTATAATTAACCCAAGTTAGTAAAGTATTAATAATGTTACTATAAAAGAGCAATTCTTGATTCGGATCAGAATTTTTTAACCGGATTACGGTGTCGCGATGTTTTTGCAAATGCTGAAGTAATCTAACTTGATTACCAAATGTTAAATTAATAGTTTGTGGATATTCGCTTAATTTAAGTCTTAAAGTTTTGTTCGTTGTGCGTTGACTAGCGATTAGTGAACGCAAATTAATGTAACTATAATTGCTTGCGACATAATAGACGCTTTGGCTACGCTCTAATTGTAATTGATGAACTAGTGTTGTATAAGCTGAAGATAGACTGATAACTTCTTGTATTTCTTCGTACGCTTGGCTATTTTGAATAGCATTGACAAAGGTAATACAACTTTCCACAAACAATCCAATACAAGGCAGCAATATCAAAATCATAATTTTCATCAACTGATAATGCCGTCCTCGCGTCGTCGTTGTATCATCACGAAAGAAAGAAATCGATTTTGTGGTATACTTGAAAGGAATTTCATCTAGTGTTGTTGTACTCATTGTCGCTAAGCTGTTAGTCCCCTCAAATTTAAGATCTTTAGAGGTTAAGTGATTCGTCATTCTTCAGGTAAACGTGATCGAAAGGCCAGATAAAGATTTAAAAATTCAATAACATAGATTATATAATGTGAAAACGATAACATTAACTTAAACAGTGTTATAAGGAATCATTTAATTGTTATGTAGTGATATTCAAAGTATTTGTAGACTAATAAAGACCTAAAAATGACGCAGGAATAATAGCATACTTGTCATTCTAATAAATTAGCGTGTATTTATTCATGTGGCAATGGAAGGATACCGCAGTAGATACTTTAAAAATCTAACCAACTAATCATTGTATAGTTTGCAATTTAATTTAGAAAGACATTCTCAATATAAATCCATTATAGTCTACAGTTCCCTTGAGACAGTTATGCTTTAAATATTACGTAACTATAAATAGTTTTTATATTGGTTTAAACAAAGAAATAATCCAAGCAAGACAGGCCTGTATCTTAAAAGCTATAATACCAAAGTTTTCCTGATCAATCTATAGTATATGCGAGCAAAAGATTTGTATGATTTTAGTAGCATGGCAAGCCACTCTTATTTCATACGCCAGTAAGTCGTTTAAATATGAAGAGGAAGATATCCGATTGGCTTTGAAGCTAATAATGAAATAAAGGCTAACTTATTGCGTGGAACTTTTTTATCTTAGACCCAAACGAATAGAACTGAAATTATTAGCGGCTAAATTTTTTTTAACTCGTATGTATAAGTATTCTCTATATTTCTTAAATGAATTTCACACGTTGGTATAAAAATTGGGTTTTATGAATCTCAACCCAACTATTACCGCATTTTTGACCATATTACTATTAGAACTGTCTACACATAAGCTACAAATTTGGTATAGATTTGAATTTACCTCGTATCTATAACTTCTAAGACGAAAGTTGTTCTAATAACGTTGTAAATGTAGTTAGTTCAAGTATTGAATGGATATTGTTGTAGATTTTTGCTTTTCATAGATAAATGTAAAGGTAACAATACCTCTTTTCTATTCTTTACATATCGCTTTTTGAAATTTCATCTTTTATATCAGTAGATTAATATCTGGAATTATATATACATATAATGTTTACAGAGAACCACAGTAGTTAATAGCAGCTATTGCGTGTTAAAAATTCGCTGATGCGCTATTCTATCATCGCCATTTCCTAAATAAGCATGCGGTAAGAAATGCAAATCCTGATTATACTGCTATTTCAATATATCTAATGAAAAAAGAATGATATCAATAAGGCTTCACATGTAGGAACACAATTACACCTTACCTGGCTATGCTTAAAATATGAAATCTCTGCAACGTTGTTGTCGGGTGAAATTTGAAATTTAAGACTAAATTAATCTATGATTGTTTCCATGACAGCCAAGACAATGAAGCCCAAGAGTGTATTGCTTACACAATGCTATAAACAGCTTGCATTGTAAATATTAAATTAAACCCGAAAGAATTTCAAATCAAGAAGAATTTAATAGAACTTCTTATATTCTTTTGCTTCCCTCTCATTTAGATCGCTTATTTTATATATTATGAAACACACTATTATTCAACTAGATATTATCTTTACTTATAAGTATAGCTCATTATTATTCTAGTTAGCATACTAGAGGGTTGTCATCGTATTTAGATTTTATATTTCAGATAATGAGTGATGCTTAGATGTTAAAGTTTTTCTGTAATTCTATTTTCGTAAAAAAATTTATCCATGGAGAAGCCTGTTACCTGTAAAACAAGTTAATAAACCACGAAAATAATCAAAATTTCTTCTGCTGTGTGTGGCTACGCTTAATCAAATATGTTAATGTCATAATTATCATTGCAATGAAGAAAACGCATGCAATTGTGTATGAGATTATATTAGATAAGAAAAATACTGCTTTAGTTACCAATTTACTACTTTAACCATCCTGTTGTGGTTTCCTTCAGTGTTGAATTAACTTGATGTTGTCTATGATTCTTAACTTTATATTTAAAGAAAGACATAACAATACAATACTTATCCACATTTTATGTAGGATCTGGGCTACTTTATATTTTAAAAACGGCCGATAGAACTATATTTTAGAACCCGTTATATGGACATATATCCTGTTTTAGTATATAATATATATAAAATTATGTAATTGAAGCTAAGATAATCATTTGATTATTCGCTCTAAACATTTAAACTGAAAGTTAAAATTTTTGAAGGGATGTTAAAGCTATACACTTACGAACTATGATTAATATTTTTTAAACTAAAATTTATTATTGAAGTCATTGATACAGCTAACCCTGAAATACCTGCGTTTTATTCTGAGCATGATACCCTATGTGTTAAGTAGCTACCCTACGTGTATATTGATACAAAGCATATGGAACAGCCAGCTGACTACATTTCCGACATTGGCCGTTACACACGTACGAAATTCCGTTATGAGTATGTTATTAAGGAATAAACTTGATATGGTACTACGTTTGCCAGTTTATGTATCTTACAATAGCATTAATTTACAGTAATATATTAGGGCCCGTTTTACTGTGTTTGGAATATCGAACAAGAAATGTTAATTTGCAGCGTAATTCTGTACGCTTAGAGCATAAGTTAGCCGTGATGATTTGATTATTTAATTATTAGAAATGGCAAATGTGTGGATGTATATAGTAACATAAGAAATGCGGCCATTTAGAAGTTACTGGCCCGATGTCTAGTAAAATAGAGATTTCTGTAGTATTACAGTACATATAGTTCCTTCGAGACGTCAAGTTCTTATTTCTATGTTAAGTTTACGTTATAAAGTTACTGCTAAGGTAGTTGCATGTAATTTAAAGAACTCAAGTACAATCATGAGATACAAAAGGGGTGCACCACTTGATCTAAAAGACTGTATCGCCGTAAACTACTTTCCCTATTGTACATTAATATGTCTCGGTACTACAGCTTAGGATACTTGCAGTGTAATAGCGTTACCTTTTTCGACAGTAATCTTTCCTACGTTTAGTAAATGTATGTTGTGTACTGGATAGTTTCCAGTTCACAGGATCGTGGAATACTAATAGTCCATGAGTATGCCTACAGATGTTGTGCATGGAATAGAATGTAGAACAGAATGAATGAAGGTACAAATATGTTAGATCAAGAAGTACTTATAACAGGTTAATTGTTACACCAATCTTACTTAATGCATTTAGTCAAAATGATCTAATATATCTGACATTATATTTGGAGAAGGCTATAATCTTTTCTTTTCGCGTAGATACATCATTGTAAGTAGGAATCGCAAATATCCAAGGAATGTAGTTTGTTGTGTTTTAGCTAAAGTGTTAAAATCGATAATTGTTTGAGCCCCAAAACAAGCATATTCGTATTTTCTTTTCCATTATTAAGTTTCGCTATTCTTGCGAGTAAGTTACAGCGAATTCAATATCGAATTATTTCTAGTTTACAACTATTCACTATTGTTAACAGTCGTGTTTGCTGTTATTACAATTATCCTTAACTTAAATAAAACAGATTAAAACAAGTTGACTTCAAAGCATGATGAAGAAGTGATGACTGTTATGAAATTTCAGAGATAAGAATATATATCTTCTAAGGCTTTGAAGTCATCAACGTTCACATGTACTCGTATGTACTATACCATGGACTACTTCTACTTCTAGTAGTCCATGATTGTATGTACAGAAATTAGACACAACGTATGCTAAATTTCAAATAATGGCATGATCTTTTAATACTGAATTTTCAATAGAAGTTGAAACCAACAGAATTTTAGAACATATGAGCAATTTTTAATAAAACTATTTAACATCGATAATAAAATAGTATTGACAGCACAATGTACTGCATCCCTTTACCTGTATATAATAAACATTAAGGTGAGTGTAAGCCAGTAGAAATTTTAAATTGTGCAAGACAATACTTGTAGATCATATTACAAGTGAGCTGTCTAATTTTTGGTGTCTTAATAAATGTGTTTTCGTTTAATAACGATGTAGTAAGATCGTTACATATATTCACGGAGTAAATGTACTCCTAAAAATCAATATAGTAATTCCTGAATCATTTTATACCAAGCTATTAAGTAATGTCATTCCTGGTTAAACATCAGAATAGCTGAAACTGGTACAGTAATGAGATTGTCGCTCAAGCACAGTGCAACTATAAAACAGTAAATAAACACAGCAAAGAAATGTTTCTTCTAATTGTAAATTTAACATCGTAATTTCCAATTTCACAAATACGGTTAGTAGTCCTTCTTTTTATGAGCAGCTATAGCAGGGGAGCGGTTCACTAATGTGCCCCCTGGTGAAGTTTCTGAAATCTCTAGATAAAAGCATAGATTGCTGACATTATTTAAAAAATTTGCATAAGACAGAGTAAAACTAGATTACATCTTACGGAAGTGATAAACATACGTACGTTCTTTACTCTGATTTTCGTCTGCACATGCCACCTCCATAGACTGGAGATCATTAGAGTCTTCTTTGTCTGAACTATGATTATGTAAACTAATATGTCAGTATAGACATTGCGAATGCAATATGATTACTAAGCGTACCTCGATATTTTGGAGCTCTTCCGCCTTGACCTGAATCCCGATTGCTGTGCACTGTATTTTATTGCAAATTCAAATATTAATATTACTTTAATTTTACGATAGCTTAACTAAATCATGCCGGAGACCAAGTATTTATCGTGAGTACCTTTCCTTCTCCCAATTCTCCAATAATGAAGGAGCGACGTATGTAAATCCCTAGATGTTATCATAACATTGTATTGCATGTCGTTACAAAATTCTAGGCGCTTTCAGAATTTACATATGAAAAGAGTGGAAACTTTGAATCTTTAATTGGTGCACTAATACTTAGGTAGGTGCTATCAATAGGCCTAATAAACTGATTGAATGTGATTTAGACAGTAAATAGATGATTATTTTGATGTAGGATAGAATACCGATGTTCTAGCTCACTCTCTTAATTGTACAGCAGGAAGTAAAAATCTATAGACCTTATAAAAGAGTTAATACTAAAGTTCTATGTAATATTTCTTGATTGGTACGAAAAATTTTAATTTTTATAGTTATGAAACCTAAATGGTATTACTAAAATAGTAAAGTAACTTCGTGTCTTTAAGGTTTACATAAATATCATTTAATCGCAGAGTATATGTCCACCTGGAAAAGATTGTCGCTATTTTCGCTAAAGAAATGATCTTCTGGAGTGTCTACCGGTTTTTCACGCGTAAACTTCGAATCAAAATTGCCAACGTCGTCATCACTAAACTGTACGGTGAATGAAATGAACACAAGTACAATAATGATATCATTACAAAAAAATGAATTAAGAATAGTTTCTATTATGAAAGATAGCATTTATATTTCCAACGAAATGTTCACAAATGTAAATCATCGTGTCATATTCCTAAGAGATGATGTTTATTTCAGTTGGTAATTTACCACAGCTGGTTTTAAAGGAGGGTCAATGTCGAGATTTAACATTCGTTCCCAATTTACAGTTCGAAAAAATGGATGTGCCTTACAGATTATATAGATGTACTTAAAAAAGGAAGTAAAAAATTGCATTCCCGAGCGTAAGTGGTAATATTACCTTGATCGCTTCACTATCTGCTACTGTGCTACCTAAACGTGATGCTACATGTCTTCGTAGCAACTGAAATTTAGCAATTTTGTGAAAAATGTAAAGGATGTTGTAGTCAAGTTAGCTTGTATGTAGCAAAAATACTTGAGTTTATTAGAATGAAGTGATTGAAGAATTATTTACCTTACTAAGTAAATCTTTAGCTTCGTTAGTTAGATATGGAGGTACAACAAGTTTTGCACGAAGAATCTAAAAGAGTTAAATTAAATCAGCTACAGTAAAAACATTTGGAGCCTAACAGGATGATCATATTACTTTGTCGATTGTGCGTTTGCGATTTTCACCGGAAAATGGTGGCTATATTGTATAATACAATAAGACATGACGTAATAATTAGTATTCAAAATGTTGATTTATTATATTTTCTGACCAGGATTTGTATCTATACCGAGTTAATCTGTCAGGGTCTACTGATATAGCAGCCGATAATACTGTATAATATGAAAACATAGCTTGGCGTTGACTTTCATTTCTTTACATTATACTTAGGTTATAAAGTGCGTAAGATGTTATAAAATTTGGGTCCAAAAAAATCACATACCCCGCCAGTAAGCATGTCATACATCAAGGCTCCCAAACTCCACCAGTCCACAGCACGGCCATGCCCCCGTCTAGTAAGAATTTCTGGAGCCCTACGAGTTGTACTAATGCGTTAGTTTTAAAATCTACACGTAGGTAACTGTCAATATATGATGCCATATACAACTAGCATTGTACTTCTATCACCATCAATCAACGATACTAACATATATTCAATTGTGCCACAGAATGTGTGTGTTACTGTATTATCTTCAACTGATTCCTTACACAATCCAAAGTCTGTTAATACTACGTGGCCTATAACATAATGAAGACACGTTTAGGCTTTTGTTTGAGTAGTGCTATCACGCACCAATATCTACTACATCGTTAAATGCGCTGTAGTATTCTCGGAAAAAGAATATAATCGTAACTATTAATAAAAAGGATGTTTAGCACCAGCCATATAATCGATTGTTTCCTTGTATAAAGTTGATAAGTTTACCTTCTCGGTTAAGCATTACATTCTCTGGTTTTAGATCCCTAATGAAAGGCTTAAGATTAATATGTTATTCTTATTTATTTGCTTACTTAGCAAAGATTTTCATAACTATCTTAACCTATAGATAATTCCAAGTTCGTGCAAATGTCCCAAGGCTAGTAAGATTTCAGCTAAGTAATAACTAAGAGAGTAAAAGACAATTATTTTCAATTATTTCTTAATTTTTTTAGGCAAAGAAAATTTCACCATGCAGTATCTTCCATGAAAATTCCTTCCCTTTCCATATGGGTGAATAGTTCGCCGCCTGAATGTACAAATGTCATTTACTGAGGGCTTAAATAGAATGAGCAATTATATTAATCACTATATTAGTTGTCAAAGACTATAAAACCTTCAGTACTATAACTGGTTTTATGCATAAAATCCTAACATTAAATAACAACTCACCACTTAGATACTCAAGGATAAGATATAACTTTCCTCCCGTTTGAAATGCGTATAGAAGGTCAACGATAAAGGGATGCTTAGAGTAAAAATTTGATAGAAATTTAACAGCCAGGTAAGTAGGGCGTTCTTTGGCTATGTCATAACTGTGGTTGTAATTAAAGTGCGTGTACAAAGGAAAATATATTTAAGCTCTAACCTTCACCGCCTCTAATACATTTCTTTCTGCCTTCGTATGAATAGTATCTTTATGATTTCTTATAATTGATGCCTAAAAATTAGATTGACACATAACAGATTTTATCCCCCCAAAATTGTCATAACTTACTATAATAACATAGCAAAGCTGCAGTTGGTTTCATGAGAGTATTTTAACAATAAATTAATTAGTACGGTACTCTTACATGAATAGTATGTTGCATTATACCTAATTACACGTCACAGTAGCATAGCGACAAAGCTCTCTTTTACGCAGCATGCATCAAAGTCAAAAATGTAATTTGTAACGTATCATATCGATCTTCACACTCATTTGCAGTTGAATTACTACAAAAAAATACCCAGTAACTCATTGTGTACCCAATGGGACTAACTAGTGTACGATAATTGATTTTACCTTTCTTAAAACCTTCATAGCGTAAACTTTCATTTTATGACTCCCTGATACTTTTCTAACCAGAAAGACCTTAATTTTATCATAACAAGCAGACAATTAGCAACAATAGCAACTAGGGGTATAGGACATAAAATGATGGATTCATCAAAAATTGTTATTATGGATAATAATAATGATAGTACAGAAGTTACTCAACAATTTATATTTCATTCTGACCTTCCCATATCCTCCTTTTCCGAGTACTTTTAACAACTCGAAATCTTCTGGGCCTACTTTCTCTGCTGATTGGAGGGCACCTTCATTTATGGGGACAGTTTCTACATCTTCACTATCAGAGCTGTAAATTGAAACGTAATGAATGACAATAGGATATCATCTACCTTTTACTTATGAATAATAATTAATATACGGTTATACAACAATGACTGAAATAAATCTGTTCATTAAGATAACAGTAGGATAATCATAGTAATAATTGAACATTAAATATTGAAGTAAGGAGTCTTCTGTAACAAATAATTAAAGATAATTCAGTGAACTAAGAAGCAATATACAGTGCACATTCTGATAACTCAATTTCTTCTTAGATCGTTTTCTAACTTTCTTTGGTCGGCATAAGATATTTATCGTAATTTATTGTCTACTGTATCTATCTTATATATATAGATTTACATGCCATCGCTTTGAGCTTCTTCGAATAGATCCTATGAGAAAGAAATAAGCGTTAGTGAATTATTCTGGCAGGACTACGGCGTAATTAATTTGCACACTTCATAAAAAAGATGTTGCAAATACTGAGATAATTAATGCAATTAATCAATGTCCACGACAGTGTTGCAAGATAGCGGTAGACACATATTTATGGGGTCACTGCTTTGGACATAAGCAGTATTCGCAAATTGTACCGTTATAAACTCTTCAATCTCAAGCGTACCGGGTAAACGTAAACAATAAAAACTTATATAAGCCATACAAACTCAAGTTGATGAATGATTCGCCATCAACTGTACAGTACAGGTAATTGTATTATTTTTTTATTTAGTATGCTATAATTATTACTATGCATTAAATAAAAATGAACGAAATTGTCACATGCTCTCACCAGCATTTTACTATTTATCGTAAAATCAACGTATCAATAGTTTGACGACTCTAATGATAGGCATTTGGCAAATAACCTAAATCAAATTTTTCTTTCTTTTAGAAGTTCCTGACTGAACATTGCGTAGTGTAGTAACATGCGCTAGAACCGCTTCAAAATCGATTTCTTTTTCTCGTAGTAACCGTACTGTGCTGCTATTCGTACGGTACAGTACTACTGCACAATCCACTGAATAGTAATTAGTTAATTAATTAATAAATCAAATTGACGATTGATTGATAAAAACTGTAACCTAGGTCAAGTATAATTTTAATTATTATTATTTAAGACGCAGAAATAGAAGTTTCGAAGCTTTATCATTTGATATATAGTAAATAAATACAAGACGTACTATAGATCTAATCATTCTCGGATATGCTTTAGGGAAAAGACTGGATCTAATGCAGAACTACAGTAGAAGGGACATGATGCTTCTTTAACTGGGCTTATCCGTGCAATGACAGTAACACATACAAATCCTCGCACAACGAATTTTGTATAAGGCACTGACTTTCATTTCAATACTTGCTAAAAATATACATATTAATATACTGCTTCGGTTTGCTAGACTCTTACGTTGGTAGAAGTTTGTTATGTACTGCACATACTGTGATTATAGATACGTGTTGATTAATAAATATCGAGTGCATTCCCTAGTCATCTATAACCACAGAATAATCGATAAAAATTGTTAACTTTATGATCGCAACTAATCACAAGGCGCGCATTATGATATCATTTTAGGTACTGTATCACAATCATGGCCATAACCACAAACATAGATCAATAAATTAAATTAATACTTTTATAAATGATAGCAATGGTCTCTTGAAAACATTGCATGGTGCAGATTAGTGCTAACGGTAAAGGTTTTAAGAGCTGTACTAACGAAGGGCCAAGATCATTTAATTTTAATTACATGTCGCATCTTTTCCTATCAGTTTTCGTGACTAACCATTTATAAAACTACTACTGCATTCAATCGATAGCAATAGAATGAACTAAGTATAAGTCTCTCCAACATGGGTGATAATCGTACATTATTATACGCGTATAATTACCTCGCTTTCATTACTGCTGACTTCATCATCAACATCTTCTAAAGCAAAAACTTCACTCATAGCTTCGAATATTGATAAACCTACGCCTAGGATATAATCTAAAATTGATAAAGACTATGAATAACGAGTGATTTACGAGTAAAACGAGTAAGATGCAGATGGTTAAGAACCACCAGAAAGGATTTGAGTTCGATTAAAATTCCTAATGTTAGATTACTTACAGTACGTACAGTACAGCACAGTACGTACAGTATAGTACTGTAGTGTTTTACCATAATGGTTTCAAGTGAGTCAAAGTACTGTACTGTACAGTACTGTACATTACTGTACGAACTGTACAGTATACAGTACTATACTGTACTGTACAGTAGTCTGAAGTGCATCATGGAGTACCGTACTGTACTGTAGTACACCGTACATTGTACTGTGCGGTATGAGTGCAATACTGTACTGTAGCTTTCCTTCTTCATACGGTACTGTACAGTACAATGTACAGTAGGCTTTGTACAGTACAGTACAGTACTGTACTTCATATCATGCACAGTATACTGTACAGTACTATACTATACTGTATACTGTACTGTATGTCACACATTGTGGTTCTTGATCGTCGACGATATTATGCTAGTAGAGATAGTTTAAAATAATTTTTTATATCTCTACTAGATCCATCCGCACTTTGTGCGGTAGTTATCCATATCATCATTCATCATTGAATAACTAAATTACGATTAGACCAATAGATATGGTTATAATTATACGAGTATAATACGCATAAATCGAAGACCGAATTCCAATAATCATGAGTGACAAAGGATATCATAAGTTTGTGTTAAATCCGAAGAATGATGGTCAATGTTTGAATAAAAACAAAAGAAAGCATTCATCGGAAGATAGCCACGAAAAAAAGAAACATTCAAAGAAAAAATCGAAAAAAAACAAGAAGGATAAAAAGTCTGCTAAGAAAGAAAAAAGAAAGGATAAAAAATACAAAAATTCACAGGACGCCGACGACGCAGCAGCGAAGACTTCCCAGAAGGATGCTTCGACGGGTTTGCATAGCACAGTTATGATTTTATTATCTTATGAGTACAGTATGATGTATTAGCTGCAAAGTAATAATAATCATTATAAAATAAAAAAATTATAATACAGTACAGTAATTCACCTCGATTTACTAAAGAAACAGTTCTAGATTAGACGTTTTATTGGATCTGAGTGCATGATGTGGTATCATTTTTAATCGTGTACTGATTATCTTAGGACCTGTTGAACAACAGAAAAATTTTGCACCTATGACGAAAGAAGAATGGGACAAGCAACAAAGCGTCATAAGAAGAGTTTATGATCCAGAAACCGGCAGAAATAGGTAAATTACACATTATTAACAGTAAACAACATTTTTCGAAAATACATTCCGATCTTCACCATATCTAGTTTATGTGGTTATATTCTAGTTATACATATCAATATGATTACTAGCACAGTTTAGCTACAGTACCGGAGTACGGTGAAATACTGGAAATGTCAGTTAGTAATTCGAAAGTCGAACTACAAGACAAGCTTGTTAACTACGCTTAAATTTTACGCGAATTACTGTAAATATGTACAGTATCTAGATACTGCTGTGTGTATGACGTATGCATTTAGCACCCTTCTCCGTCTAGTGATCATTTGTCAGTACATTTTCGCCAATTTCTTGAAATGACATTCATCATTTTATATCATCCGTACTTCAAGCTGTGTCAGTATACTAAATTTTATATCAAACTCAACTTATTCAGGCTAGTTTGTATTCGTTTATTTTTGATACGCATTCACTGTAGTAGCACCGATATGATTTCATAAATAAATTTATTTAATCAGTTAATCTTTCAGGTTAATCAAAGGCAGTGGTGAGATCCTTGAAGAAATCGTTTCTAAAGAACAACATCAAAGAATTAATAAAGTTTGTCTGGCTAATTAGCGATTGATTTTGCGATATTAAATATCTATGATCAAATATCTAAGTCTTGTACCCTTTTAAATTATAATTATTTACGTAAATGGAATTGATATGGGACTTACCATGTATTTTACATTGCTACTAACGACGACAGCAAGCGACTCTTGGCGATGGCTTTTACTATCAGGCTACTCTTATAAATAAACTCCGAAAGAATTAGCCGTTTCTTTTTATTAATACCAATGATTAAATATATCTCCTTTATAAGATAAGGTACTGTTACAGAATAGAAGGTAGTTTATGATAAAATAAAATAATTGCCAGCAATTGAAAATGGATCCGCTATTTTTAATGCGGTTTTCGCTTCATTTAAAATTTTGAAGAAATCAAGGTCAAAATTCTGGCACTCCTCGTTGAAAGATTTAGTGTGTCGTTATCGAGTATCACATACACGTACACGTATACAATATACAGTATCTTTTATGTAAGCTACATACGTCAAATAGCAACATTATTACATATCATTTAATATGTATGACATGACAGAAGATCTAAAATACATGCCATCATATTTGTCGCTTTATTATTCAACATAGTAGTTTAGTAACTTCCTTCTTGATTATGGTCCTGTCTCTAAAAATTTCGAGAAAGATGTACTTGTAGTAGTTATGGAATTATCTTCGTTACGCAACATGTGTTGCTAAATGATACTACTTGCCAATTTCTTTTCCATTATTTCATTAAGGTGTACTTCGAAACTACGAAATGCATCTGCTAGTAATTCTTCTGACGGCTTTTTATCTTTTTCTGGTAGAGATTCAATAAAGAATTCCATCAATGTTCCACACTCAAAAGTATCACTCAAAATCGTGCTCTGGAGTCGATCTGCATCACCCAACTGGAAGAAGTCGTTGTTTACCTACAATTTACATATTAAGAATCATATTCCACTATTAATTAATAGTTGGTTTATATATCGACTGCGAGAAATAATAAATATGTCCTTAGGATATCTTGGTGTCTGTGTAAAGCTTATGTAAATAGATACCCTCAACGGATAGCATTCATCCTGGGAAAAGTGACCATCCCAAAGACTAATTTCGAGACTTGCAGTCGGCTAAATAGATGATAGTAAAACACGTGTTTGATTTTAGTGCTTAAAGAGTGGTAACTGCTACCCTAAAACGTTACAAAAACCTTTGCAATCTTACTAGAACAGAAATTTTTTGCTGCTTGATAGCTGTTTGCAAAAGACTTGATATTGTCTTTGTCGGAGATATTGACAAAGCCGCCTTTAAAATTGTTAATTAACCAGAAAAAAGTATGAATTTTGAAGATACAATTACCAAAAGCTAGTTTAATTATAAATTAATACCTGTGGGTAGTTGTCATATAATGGCAATAAATATTTGGAACAGGCAACGCAGTTACTATTCGTAAGATGATTTAATGTTTAAATATCTTACAATTATAAAGACGCCATATTTGTTATGACTTAATTAAGTATCAAATGCGTTAGTCTGAATATGGAAATTGTATTGAATGTAGGACCTGCTGAACAGTGGTAATATGCTCCAGCCGATATATTTCGGGTCTAAGTCTGGATCATTTTGTGCAATGGTAGTTCCACTTTGCGTGTTCGTAGTAGGAATGTAATTAAATCTCTCCACACCGTAAACCATAAGGACTAAAGCAACAGCATGACCATATGGAGGCTGAAATTTCTATGTTAGAAAGTAAAAACATAATTATTAGATAACGCCAGTTTTAGTTTTTGCTTTGCAAAAATCAGCGCTAACATGCTGGGAATCGATGAATAAAGGTGATGCGGTTTTATGCCAGCAGTCTCGTTTGTGAGAAAGTAAAAGACAGTTTCCTTCATCATTAGAACGCTTATTCATCCATGTGTAACAGAAGACATTTAAGTAGCCCTTCGATTGCATTCCATAAAGTCTATCGAGTTTTACTGTTAAACCAACTGACTCTTCGTATAGCACAGAGCGAGATAAATCAAGATAAGATAATTGATCTTTTGTACGAAAACGAGACTTTATGTACATATTTATCTCCTGCTTAGCTTCTGTACTAATATGTTGCTTTGGCAATAAATTCTCAGTCGATATGCTATTGGCATCGTTGATTGTACTTGCATTACTTACTGCATCATCATATATTCCTTTAGAAACAACAGCAGCAGAGCGCGCTAAAGAGACTTTTTTCCTAAACTGATTAACAGCGTTGCCGACAGCTTGAGCTGATAAGGTTGATCTGTCATGATTTGCACGCATTAAGTGATGAGCTGCTTGACGAACTACTGGCTTATCCTTCAGAATCAATGATTTGGTAATATCTGCTACAGTAGAAGAATAGGTTGTGGTAGTTAAGTAATGATTTATCACGTCTATTTCAGACTTCGTAGGATAACAAGCTTCTGTTTTGTAATATCCACTTGTATACTCTGGTTGTGAAACATAGTCCTGCAACAAGATATCCAATATTAAGTATGTATCTAAATTAAAATTAGCGTATACTAAATAATGAATAGCACGTAATTATTGTGCTATTTACAGTTTAAAAATATTAAATTAAGCCAAAGAATTCCTCTATGGCTGAATACAAACTGATACATGTACCATCATAAACAATATCTTACTTTGGTATGGGGAGTCAACCTTACTACAATAGATGCTGCAGGTACTTTTACACAAAAGCGTGCGATATTTTCCATGGTTAGTGACTGATTTCGTTCTGGTAAATTTTGATAAATTACCAACTGGTGTCCACCAAAATTGAGGGTTGTCTTCATAGTATAAAAAGTAATATAATTTAAATTCAGCAACTGTTAAGTTCAAGAATAGTTTTAGGAATAAAGCGATACCTTATCATCTATCCTAGTAAAAATCGGTAAATATCCATTTCCGAGTACAGCGACATTACCGAAGTGAAGATCAACAGTCAAAATGCGAATTAACAATATTGCGTTGCGCTCCCAACACAAAATATCTTTGTCACTATTATCAGAAACAAAGGAGTATCGATATGTGAATTTCGGGCATTTTGCAGATGAAGTTAGAATTGGGTAAGAAGTCGACTGATCGGCAGGTACGAAATTAATTTTTTCCCAAGAGGAGGTAAAAAGTGAATAAGCTACCTAAAGAGAGAATAAGACATTAAAAATTTAAAATACTTCTGTAATTATTAAGTATGGATTTTACGCGATAAATATCAGTCGATTTAATCGAGATTTGTACATTGCAATCTAAAGTGAAAGTTTATTCAATTACTTGAAGTAAATGATCGCTCATTTACACATTGCCGCTCGCGTTTAGTCTTATTACCTTAATAATAGTTGCATTATCTGGCAGGTAACGGATTGAGTCGATATAAAAGTCGAGATCACTTGTTAATTCAGTAATATGGACAGTTTCAGTTGACTGAAGTTGAGGCGTCCAGATGTTGGGATCAATCATTTGTAGAGATAGATGTTCCGAAAGATTTTCACTTACTACAGAAGCAATTATGCATGACTTTATAGACTTTGATAACTTATCAGAAGCTAGCGAGTGGCTGGACTGCCAGTTAGAATTATGATGATTATCAAGGGAAATCAAGTCACTTTTCAATGTGAGTGACTCCAAAGACCAACGAATAAGATTTGGGTTATCATTTTGTAATTTTTTCATAGAGATTATAGCATATCCTAGCAATTTATCGTCACCATCTAAATCTGTTTGATACTTTAATTCAATATACATTCTTGCATGAGCTTCACGAGAACCAGATTGGGATTGAATATCATGAAAAGAAATAATTTCAGATATCGGCCATATCAATCTGATTGATTGACTATTTTCCAAATATTTCTCAACGGTCGGTTGTGATTTTGTTCTCTTTGAAAATATAATTTCGTTGTCGAACAGAATACTAAAGATTACGTAGGCACTTGCTCGGAGAGACAGTATAGCATGTGACTGAACTATGTCGTCATAGTTATCTTGCGTAGCATATAAGAGAGAAACATTAATTGATTAAATAAATCAGCACAAGGACTGAGGTGGAAGTAGTTTTGATATGATAGCGTAAAATATTAAGTATTGAGCAAGTAATAGGTTATATTAGTTACTGTGGATGCTGCCTTTACGTATACATGTAATAAAATTCTTGTTACCGGTTTTGGCCATATTAATAGCCGTTGAAATATTGAGGCTTAAGGTAATTCTTCTTAATTGAAACGGCTGGAACGCGTGTAATGAAAGCTCCGTAGATTTTTCAGAATAAGACAGCCATGCACTACAATTACAATATAATAATCAAAGCCTGATATCACAAAAGTATATTTGGAACTTTAGAGAAATTCTTAACGAAAGCTCAGGTTGATATTCAATACTTGAATTATCATACTTTCTATTAAGATGGTTGATAACCGATTGAAACAAAGGCTGACCGCTACGAAGTGCTGCCACAGCGTCTTGTATATCAGTCGTATACAGCTTGCATGGTTTTTGTATCATGGTCTAACCAAAAATGTTATTGAAGTAATTATAAACATGAGACAACGTAATAGATTTTCTTAAAGTAGTTATGATGATTACACCATGAATAATCATGCACTAGTATACAGTATTTACTGTGCCTATTGAATCTTTACAGTATTGTAAAGAATAACTTTACCCTCAGTAACGCAGCATGGCCCTTACACTGCATTAAGTCTTCACGTAAAAGCATAATTAACGATAAACTAACGTCTTCTAATACGACAGCCTTGAATTTATTCATAAGTAACTGATCAAGAACGAACATTACACTGGGTAAGTTAAGAATTCCTGTGAACATTTCTACCATCCATTTGCGAATAAGATACTTAAATAAGGACATCTGGCTTGAAGAATTATGTAAACTATCGGTGCAAATTTCATCGAAGTTAAAGTTAATTTTTAGTTCTCCAGACATTAGCTCTAGTGGAAGATCCTTGCAATCGTAACGTAACGATAAAAATGGAGCAAGATCAGTTTCGTTAAGAATCAATATTATTTCCGTAGGATCGATTGCTTAAATAGACAAATTAGAGTAAAATTTAAATTTTGACTGCTTTCATTCCGTGCTATCTTTTACCTTTATATTTTCCATATTTGCAATATTTGATATATGTGACATTAAAGGCTTATCTTCTGAAAATAATTTAGCCAAAACTCTTTCAGTGGCTTCATGAATTTCAGCTATAATTGGGAAACAATATGGCCAAAGCACAGCGAACACCAGGGCTAAAAACATGGTCAACTCTAAAAAATTTAAAATAAAAAAATTTAATGCTACGGGTATTAACTTAAATGGGCATAAAATTTACGCGGTCCGTGCACGTATCACATAAACTGTGATGGTATGCAATAGCTTCCAGAAATTACCGTCAATCGAAGAATAAGCGTCTTCATATGTTATTATTAATGGATACAAATTGTAAATGTATTGCGGCTCATAAGTTTTATTATGTGCGTAGACGATACTCAGAACTTCAAATAATATCCTTTCTCGCCTTTCGGTGGAATTATCACGTATAGCAGGTGACTGTGCTATAACCTACAATAAAATAAATACGCCATTTTAAAGTTACTACAACAAACTAGTTAATTTGTAATCAGTAGAAGAAATAAGCATCGGTAATTGAGTTCGATTTTCTCAATTCTAATGAATCTTTATATATCACATCACTGAAATATCACTGGATTACCCCGCTTATATTCTGACGTAAAAGTCCGGCAATTGATGATCCAATCAGGGAGCCGTCAAAAAATGTTTTAATTTCACGCTCGATAGATGCCTTAAAAGCAGTTTGGTGCTTTTGCAGCAAGGTCTTAGGGCTCACATCTGAATAAATATACGTGTATAAGTATGTAATTTAAAATCTCAAAAATAATACATAGCTGACGGGAATATATGAAGATTGGCTTCTTCATATTCGACAGTAAATAAGCAAATTGAAAAGCACTTACCATAATTATTTTCGTTTAATAGCGATTCATTGAGTAGTACATTTATTAAGAGCTTCTGTCTTAAACTTTTCGGTAGTAGGTAGCCATTAAGATGATTGCATACTTCCTTGGTAAAATCAAAATCTATTTCTATCATATTGGCCAAAATGCTGCCCATAGTTTCACTTTCTTGACTAAATACACACGTTCTCACTGGAAGTATTATTGGAGGCACGACATCACTTACTCTGACTGTATTGTTAATAAAATAAAAACTCATATAACGAGTATGGTACTGGTCCACCTAATACTCGTATCGGGTGGTAAAATTTTTGATTTTAATCGACTTTAAATGTAAGAAAGTAAATATTAAATTTAACTTACACTTGGTTATATCTCGCTTCATTGGCATGTCCTGATTACTTAATGAACTGATATACTGGTTAATTCTGTTAACACAAGTTCTAATGGTATAATTAAGAAAAGCTTCAGATTCTTGCATTCCATTAATAGGACTAGCAAGGTTTATTCTTCGCTTTTCAAATATTGTTTGTAATTTTTTCTTTAACCAATGTTCAGTTTCAAGTCTATTAGAATTTACATTACAGCTTGCAGTCGAACCCTGTAAGTGCAATAAATGGATTCATTTTTCGCTTATTTACTTTATTTTATTGAATTATTTAGTTGCAATTTTTTACAGTAAAGTAGCACCATACTATTTAATTATTAAATTTCTTCTGCAGACTTGTATTTTCATCCGGCTAATAGTATAAGTTATTTTATAAGCGCTATCAACTTTGATGCTTTCGTGAGATTGTGTACAGTATCATCACGCTACATAGCATTGGTTAATTTAAATGTAAGAGGAATTGAGTATCTTACGCGGTAATTTTGCCACGAGGTTACATGATGAGTAAAATTAAATCCTAATAGATCAGAAGCAGCAAATTGAATAATTTTATGAAATGCTTCTTCAGTCAGTATTTCCCTCAAATCATCACTGGCTGCCCTAAATATCTACGAAAAGAATCGTTCGATTAATAATAATTAAACAGCATTTTATTAGTTATTGATACTGTAGGATCATGTATACGTTTATTAGAGTTACCAGTCTAAAAAAGTACCAACCTCATGCCAGGGTGATGATGATGCGAGTAAGTCATCAGTTATATTGAGCTTTAGCTTTGCATAAGTACTATCGGTGTCCTCAATTACTTGCCTATCCGTATTCATTTTTATGTCTTACTTTCATGCAACCATAAGTTAATAAATCAGAGATCGAGATAATCGGTTTATAATATTGGTATATGATAATAATACTGCATCTACTAATTTTGACATCGTCTTCTTACTTTTGTTCGTGTATGTAAATGAAATTGATATAATCTACTGGTAGTACCACTACTCCAAGTAGATTCTATTTAGATTCATTACGTGGATAACTGAAATCTGACGGTTTTAAAAGTTAACTCTATTTTTTTTAAGAGGTTAATTCTGCTGCTTCCGCTCCGTAACAAAAACGAAATGTAGAATCCCTGTAACTATTTTCGTGATGAACGCTCTATTCGGTAGAAAAAGTAAATTAGGTAAGGGACAGCTACGATATTATAAACAGTATTAGATGAAACCATGTAAATGCAAATTACACGTGAAGATGTTCTACACTGGATTAAACAAAACTCGAAGCGGGTCTTTGCCGAGGTAAGAAGTTGTTGGATTCCGTCAGGTGAATTACGGATTATTTCTTTCAGGTCTAAGGCCTAAAATAGACAGTATTGGTTTAATTTCAATGATACACTCGATACTAAATTATAATCGCGAGCATTCCGATTATGCTATATCATATTATGTCGGTTAGGTACAATGATAATGTTAGATGTTTATATTCGTATATTCGTACAAACGAGATTTAATTACCTAGAATTAAAATAAACAAATGCTTGCCTTTCAAAGTTTAGTAAGCGAGCTATTTTATGCAGGAAAGTATTTCTATCTTTACTTTACAGCTCACAATTCCAACGTCTACAGATTCAGTACAACATTGCGTGCGAACTGCACGATGTATTTAAAGTCACATCTTTACTATACTATCACTCTTATTATATAGTATTATCATTTTTAGGTAAGATTTGCATATAAGCACCGCATAGTATTTTGTTCTTAAAATCGTCATTGCTAAAAAATAATTTATGTAAGAATATACGCCATGTAACATGTACGATATGCTTTGTACGCTCTTACTTCTTTCCGATATTGACAACAGGAAACACAGAATTCGTATTGATCACAGCAACGATTACTGTTGCAGGTGTGGCAAGCGCTTCCGAAATTTCTCTTGAAAGTTATCTTGCCACAACATCCATTATTTAGTAATCGAGAACGATTACAGATTAAACCTAGATGTAAAACAGGTGAACAATATTTACTTTATTAGTTTTAGTTTTAATACTATTAGTAATCATATTTGGCATAATCTAATTTAACTCGTACAACTTTTAAAGAAATGTTTAACTGTAAATAATAAACGTTGAACATTGAATAATTTATAGTAGTATTCCACACCTAAGCAATAAACCGATCAATTATATTTCAATATCCATAAAAATACATAACAACACTTGCCTTGATCGTCAGCAACTAAATCTCTCCCCTGTCTCGTATTTAGACACTTGATTTTACTTGGATAAGGTTTGTGCAAGGATTTACCTCCTTTTAACGAACGTATGTGAGGTTCGTTAGGCAAGAATGTGGATGGCCTCAGAAATCTGTTTGAAGCAGGAACTGTCACAATTGTTGACGGTTTTTGATATTTGTTTAGTTGATTTCTATTGTCCTAAATTGTTAAACGTTGTTCCATAGCAATTCTTAGCACCAATAATTCAGATTAAACAAAATAAGCCCCAAAAATAAGCATAGATCATTTGATATTCATTGCTGTGCATGAAAGTTTGACAGTTTTTAACTTAGAATATTTGTATTAGGACTTTAAGATGATTACAGTACTATATATAGCCAAGTTGCAGCTCATAATTATAATTAGTATATATTTGCAACATGTTAAGTTAATAATATAGCATTATAAAGAAATTAAGGGAAAATGTAGAACTTTTATCTTGAAGCACCTTACCTTTCTTAACGGTAAAAATAGCAATGATAATGCAGTAAACGTTAAAAGAATAAACGAAAATAAAATACGACGACGATAACAACTGCGTGCATAACGCGTTAAGTAAGAATACATTAAAGGAATTAGTTATTCGTGAAGACTAATATCTTCACAAGTTTTGTGTTTATAAACTAGCTCGCCAAGTCTTAAACCGTAAATACTAGATCAAGTATTAATACAACATCGTTCGCCAAACAACTACTGTACTGTACAGTACAGTACATAAAAATATAGCTCCAGTACTGTAGTACTGTACACTGTACAGTACAGTACAGTACAATGCACAGCGGAATAACGGAACTACAGTACTGTACAGTACAGTACTACAGTAGTCCCAGGCACCTTTTATTACAGTGCAGACTACAGAATGTACTGTACAGTATTGTACTGTACTGTACTGTACTGTACTGTACACAGTATGAAAAAGAGAAGAAAATCTTTCAGTCTTAGTACTGTACAGTACAATTTTAACAACAGATTGTCATACAGTACTGTACTGTACTGTACTGTACTGTACAGTACTGTATGTCATACGGTATATAATATACTGTACACTGTACAGTACAGTACGGTATACTGTACTGTACCAGGGACTTCCTGAATTCTCTGGCAGTGCTGTAACGTATAAATGAGCTTTACGACTTCCGAGTGGGTGGATTTATTCTATCGTAACTCGAACCTCGGAAGTACAGTAAGTGGCCATAATAAAATAAAATTAAAATTTTTTTTATCATACGCTGCTCGTCTTTTGAATGTTACTGAAATTTCAGAACCTGAGGAGAAAACTAGCACTGCAGTATTGATAAATATTTTTCCTTTAAAATCAAAATTTATTGAATATAAATATAAATAACTAGGAGTTGAGTAGTTGTTTACAAGCGCATTTACAATTAACACTGTAACAAGGGAATGTGTTTCGGGATTTGAGAGAATTTACCGTAAAGTGATTGTTGCGTTTTCACATAATTTATTTTTCCTATAAAATGAAGTGTGGTAAATTGTTACATCTATCGTAGTAAAACAGATGGCATCATACTGCAAACTATAGATATATTCTCTTATGACTGACTGTACAGTATATTAGATATGATCCGACTGTTCTTTATTTATTTACCAACGACAAGCTCAGTACAGCATACTCGTACATAGTATTACATGAATAGCAATACCTTTTGCGTGATCTCACTAGGCAATTATTACTAGTTGCTGTAAACTCCCGACTGAGTAAGTACTGATGGACATTACGGAAATAGAGGCTAACATTGGTATAATGCTAGTCATAATAATTAATTATGGCTTATCTGCGAGACTTTTCTAGTCGTATTACATAGGCCATCCAAGTTTATAAAGCTAGTCCAGTCAATAAGCAATTACTGATAATTATAATTAAGCGTATATAATGAACTTACGATGTTTTGGTTGTAAAGAATAACTAGTACTGTATAGTGATGAAAATATTTTAAAGAGGCGTGCTTGATCTTAATTAAAATTTGGAAATACAGACTGCATGCCGTTAAGTTTTTAGTAACAATTGTTACCGGTTTGTAGAAATTACTGTACAACATATTTTTTTAATTAACAGTAAACACTTTATAAAGTTTAGCCGCAATTTTACTGCATCGCAATGAAACTTCGCTGACATAAGCGAGTAATAGTATACGTTCATATATGCATTTTTAATTCCTGCTGTCTACCTCTACCTGCTTTAAAATGCTGTAACTTTACACTGCGGTTTTTCATTGTCGTCTTCCATTTTGTCGCTGTTGTGTCCAGAAAAGTGATTCCAGACACTAAATTAGAAGTGCAAGATGGCAAATCCTAATTATGATCCTTGCGAATGCGTATTTGACCAGGAAGGAGCGATGAGAAGGCTTATTTCATTGGTAAGTAAAGACCATCGATAAATGGGACATGTCATCAGAAAATAAGTGCAGCATAGTATTGTGTTTTAGTAGAAATTGAACGCTATAATATGAAATTACTGATGAATATCAAGCAATTAACTAATGAAATTGGATGGATCAGTTATCAGATAAATTAACACGAATTCGATTTTTGCTGCAATGAATAATCATAATTACAATTGTTTATTACTTCAGATAAGAAATTCTCAAACCCATTGTACGGATACACAATGTTTCCAGGATTGTAAGTGTGCTGCTAAATCATAGCTATTAATCCTGTCTGTAAACAGTACTAGCATTTAGCTTCTTTGTCTATTCATTACCATTTTTGATTTATCGTTGTTAGTGTTTGAGTCTTAACTTGTTTTTGTAGCTGTAGATTTACAATCCAGTAACGAAACCCCTCTTCCCCTAATTCTAATTACCGCTTGGATAATCATGGCAGTTTTATTATATCTCGCCAGGTTCGTAGATGTAAACTTTGTTTAGTTACCTTAAAATATAATAAACATAGTTGTGTCTACATGTAATTGAAAAGTATGATATAAACGTTATAGACCATCAAGCCTTCATAATAGCCACAAGCAAAATAATTCCAATGTAAGTTGATTGAATAATATCTGGCCATAGAATACAATTTTATTAAAATTTAATATATAGTAATGTATAGACTTTTATATTAACGAAGTGATTAATATGTTATTATGGAATCAGAGAGATTCGAACCTCCCTCCTTCACCACCAGCTAATTTGTAGCTGGTTGAGTTCGCTATCGATTGGTACTAATGGTTTGCATAGAATTTAGTACAGAAAATATGCGTCTGATACAGGATTACAATTATGGGTGATAAGTTGGCTCCCATTAAACAATCCATAAATTGAACCGTAAACCATTGCTTTTAATGAACTATGGGATGTCACAGTATAAAAACTACTTTAAGAACATTTTACGTTATTAAGCGATGCAACAGAAATGGAGTTCAGATGCGGCACGATAAGTATATGTTATTTAGTCGCTATTTTAATTTGAAGGGTGACTCTCGTAAAGAGAATATACACTCGTATATCTAACATTAATGTTTTTGTGGTATTTTGCTATAAATTAAGATTCTTTATCTTTCAGGATCAAAATTGTACTTCGTTAATATAATAATACAGTATCTTTTCAACAAAACGAAAACTATAGTATAAACTGATTTACGATAATAACTTTTCGATATAACATTTTAGAAATGATTCTATATTTAAGATAACAATGTCACACTGTACGTTGTGGATTACTAAATTTTCATGTGTATGCACATTCTTTTACAACACAATAGTACTTTATTTTTAGATTACAATTCATAACATATATTTACATTTAGTCCCAAATAAGACTTAAAGGATAATTGACATGTTATTTATTAAATTGCAATAAATTGATTATAATTGATTATTATTACACACGCGCTTAAAACAATGGTATTTTAAACAGACGTTACGACATTTATTAGATTTACGAAGATGATGCGTATTAAGTTGTTCCTTAATCTACAAAGTAACAATTTATTCACTGTAAAGGTGTACGGATCCAAAAGTAAAGCTTACAGTTAAACTTATACGCTGTCTCATATGATATAACCTTTCATTTTACTTTACTATAATCACCTTTAATTATTTCAAGAATACCAAATGTGAATTTCTGGATATCTGAGAATGCAATAGATGACCAGTTGCTAAGTTTGTCGATAACCTGTAAAATTGTTTATTAAAGTACAGTATTTGAAATATTTTGATCAATCATTTCTTTTGGTTCATAACGTTTGTACTACTGCAGTTGATCAATCAGCACTATAAATAATCGCTTAATGTCATTGCTCTAACCTTGAAAGGAAAACTCTTATTTTCATTTCCTGCAACAACGAAACTTGCTGACGTCACAATTGCCACTGCAAGAAGTTTATAGTCGTACTTAATGATCATTTTGCTTAGATCAGTGAGAACTTTCTTAGGATTATTCGCATAAAATTCACGATTTATTCTTTCATATATTTGAGTATGCCTCATGTATGTTATGTCTAACAAAGCTACACAAGGTTTGTGAAGAGCTTGAATCTTGGTTTCTCGTAGATCGAAACCTGTGAAATGTAGCATAAGAGTACTAGTATCAACCATGAGGAATCAGGAGTCAGGATAAATTTAAAGACTTAATTTTCACAGAGCTACTTATTATTTTAAGAAGCAGTTGTGTAATGTTCCCTGTATCTACTAATCTCATAAAAATATAGGAACATGATATTAACTTTCATCCGGTTTGTATTTACATGTACTCAAGTCCTACCTAGAGCTTCTAGTAAAGTTTCGACAAAAGTATATGGCATAATTACACCTAAATCGTACTGTAGTGTTTCTAAAACGTATACTTCTGAATCTAAAATTATATTAGAGGCATGACTATTTCCTGTTATTCGATCCAAGAGGTTTTTTATTTCGTTCACTGTAATTTGATTTTTCTGTTGTATTTAATAGATATTTAAAATTGATTTTAATAAATAGATAGTCGTCAGTGATATAATACAGTACAATGAGTACATGCAATGCTGTAGTCATGAAGGACTGATGCAGTATAGTTAGCCATCTCTCTACCATTCGGTAAATACGGTGAAATAGTTTCACTCAAACTTACATTGTTGTTGCTTGCGTATATTTTCGCACATATCTGCAAACAAGTTAGGATTCGCAAGGGCAGTTGATATACAATTATTTTTTCAACTTCATACCATCGTCTTTTTAAATCAGTAATCTGCTTGTATTCTGATCTAAAATAGACAAAAGCACTGCGAATGTGCTCAATCTCAAACCTTGTAAGAATAAAAAAATTGTAATTACTGTAGCTTACATACTGACACTAAAGGACATAAATGGATCTCTTTTACCTATTGAAGATTTCTATTGTTGCATAGCGTACAATCTCTTCCACAACGAAAAAGTCGCATAGAGTGAAGACAATTTCTATGGAAGATGCATAAAATAATATTTTAAAAAAGTATGAAAGTAAAGACAGCTCTTCCATGCAGTACTTAATGAATAGTTTACTATTTTATCTCCAATATTCGATATTTTAGTTATCGAATGGATAAATATCATACTTAAGAATCATAAATAGTTGGTAAGCAGTCATTGCGGCATACAGACACAGTAGTAAGAATTAACTATTAGAAAACATAAAATCTGAATTACCTGCTATCTTATCCGTCTTGAAAAACATAGGTCGCAAACCCTGTCTCCCCTCTTGCATGAAAATTTTGTGTTCTTCTACCAGTAATTCCAGAGAATCCGCTATTATTTTCTTACTTGGTCCGTAACGGTTCGGATTATAAAGTGGATCAGCTACAGTAGCAGGTTATGGCATGCATTAGAGTTTTGATTATAACAAAATACGGATTTTTTGGCACATAGAATTTAGGTTCTATCTTCCTGAATAATCAATATTACCAATTTCGTCCATATCGTTGAATATTGAATGATGTTCTCCTTAGTTACGGACGTATCAGTAGTAGTCTTATTTAAAAGCCTCTTTTCGTCTTACTTTAACTCAGTTTGAGGACCTTCTTGATACGCATATTACTGTACATGATACTACTGTACTTCATTGCTAAAATCCATAGTACATTGTCTAAATATGGGACATATCCGGTAGTATTCACCCTCATCAGATCGTTTTAACTTATTGTGACGACTAATACAATACCGTGAATACCGACCGAAGGTATGAACTGTACGGTTGATAAGTAAGATTATTTTTAAAACACTTTTACGCGATACTCTAGGAATAATTAAAAATTTTCTCTATTTCTAAAGTCTAGTAACTTTACGTATTCAATATAATTGCGAAACATGTTAAATTCTTTTAAAGTATTATAAAACTACTATTGATAAATGCAGGAAGAATATGTTAACTTATACTGTCAATGTATGTCGTGTCACGTATTTCATGTTAGTCGAGAAATTTCCTTTGCAACGTTTTTGACAATGTTAGTAGATACATACGTGGAGATTTAGAGATGTTTGTTCTACAAGTATAGCACGATACGTATACGTGCATCTATACAGTGTACGTACATATATAAATGCTTTGTATTAAAAATTGCTTGTAAGTACCATGTGATCCCTTACATTCGGGTAGCTGTTTGCCACAACTATAAAATAATCATTTCACTATGTCTTTCCTATGCTGATACATACATCTTGTATTTGATTAATGTTTGAAAATAAATTGAGAAGATTAGTAATATACTATGAACTATAAAGAGATTAAGAATAAGAATTATTATCATAGCGATAATATATAATAATTTAATTGAATTGAACATTTTATCAAGAGTTTATCTACTTTATTAAAGAAAAATTTTTGTATCACATAATGTTAGTTCTTATCTTCTAACGTGTCAATCAACGCGTTCCTACAATACTGGGGTTGCACTTGACTAATTTCGGGTTAGAAACAAGGTATTTTATGTGTTGATCTCAACTATTTAATTTGGCACCGTTCTTCCTTCGACTTCACTCTCTACATTAGTAAGAATAACGTCTTGAAATTCAAATTAGAATAAAACTATATGCTCAATTTTTATTAGTACAGCATTTTGTAAATTGGCAATACAGGTAACGCTATGGCATACAGTGCACTTGTACACTGAGTAAAAAGTTTTAAAGTTTTCTTAAATTCGTTCTACTTGTTGGTACCATATCCATAAGATTATTTATGTTAAAGATGCTGCCGTGTTTACTGTGCGTAGAATTTGTGATAATGTGATGCATGTCACAATCCATTTATCGCATATTGATTAAATGCCTAACGTTAGGTAGGATCCAACGATAAATATTTTCAGGCTGTAGCTTTGTGACGCTATTCTTATGCCAACTTCCACACTGCATCATTGTCAAAACTACTTTCTAAAATAGTAATAGATGATATTCCCAAGAATAATCGCTTGGTCTCAGTAATGACAGAATAAATAGACTCTAAGCTTGGCCCTAACAAACCATCAGCAATTGTATTTCATATACTTTATTGATCTAGAGTACAACAGTGACAAATTTGAATTCAAAAATATGCATAAATTGTATTCACACGTTTACTGAGTCGCACAACAAAAATAGCCGCTGAAGGTCGTTCAACAGTAGATATGCACAATTCAAGATCAAGTACGCTGATATTTTTAAGGGCTACGGATAAAGTACAATACAAAATAGTCATGCTACTATTTAGACAATTCATAACAACTGTTAAGATTCTATTTGTAGCTGAAGTAGCTTCTGGCATTCTAAAAACTTAAATTAAGGTTGCCCCAGTCGCTTGTCCATAAATTTCTTTCGGGAAAAACACATCCACCACTAGAATTACATTCGAGCAATATGAATGACATTCAATTTTCCATATCTAGTTTCATTGCGTAATGGTTTATCAGTTCTCATATAAGTATAAATACCTTGCTAGGCTTGCCATCAGGTTCACAGTAGACCTTTTCCAATAAACGAACACCAAGCTCTTGACGTAATTGAGTGAAATATAGTCTCATTAAATCTATTAGAAATTAGTAATGATAACATTTTTAAATAAATGTAAGTTTGAGTGTCATCCAAATTGTAAGCAATAATATGACGTAAAATAAATGTGACTCTTCGTATATTCGTATGTAGTTAATATTCAGTTCTATTTATTCGATGTTAGGTAATTTATCGCTAATGTATGCAGCAGTACCACCATCTGATTTTGAGGGCTTCTGATACAAAGAACTAAGAGGGAATCCAGCCTCGCCTGGTATAACAACATTGGTTAACGCTTCTGTATATAATTCCTTAGTACCAGCATTTTTTGTTGGACACTAATAAAAGACAAAGCATATAAAATGCAATCACGACCCAATTACACGTAATAGCTCATCAAAATTATTAGAAATGAAGACGCTGTTAAAGCACGCCTTATCTCAATTTACCTTCTGCAATTTTTTAAGACATTCAGATATATAAAGAGTCAGGTATATCAAAGTTCTATCTGCATCGCTCTAAATAATAAGTGTCCATATTAAATACAAACATGACACGAATACGATAGTAATTTTTGAATAAAAATAGTTCCATGCTTTACGAATGGCTCTATCGTTGAATATCAAAATTCAGCTTATGGTCATTTTGACAAGTTTGGTAAGCTACAGTGCAGTACCTTACTTCGTAAAATTCTCAGCTAAGGGGACTGAAGAGACTATATTATAGAATACTAGCTGTCTATACTCGCACACAATGACCGGGAAGCTAGTGCTATTTTCTGACTAAGACCACTAAATCTGCATAGACTTACTTACTCATACATAAAATATTGGAGAATAATTAATTAACATACGAGTATATTATATCGTCATAACTAAGAAAGCTTAAATTTTATCCTATACAGGGAAGATAATTTTATATATTGGTTTCCTAGTCTGTATTAATAGATAACACAAAGCATATATCGCAGCAGCCGATCCGCAATCTCCTTGTACTGTAGTGTTTTATGGCAACCGTATCATTATTACCATCCAACGCTTATGGCGTTGTATGATTGAGAAGTAACAACTATTTCAGTAAGTTTTATTCTAAGAATAGACGAAGTACGCAATTCTTAGCAACTACTGTACCGTGAAACCGAAACATACTAACCTTAACTTCATAATTCTTAAACCAAATGTTAGCTTTGAACAAATATAAAGCTTCCTCGATGATGTCTGGAGATCCATCTTAGAAATAAAATGTATCATTAGTATCAAATATAATGTACATTACTAGGGACGGCGTAATACGTCTATCAGATTAATTCTACTATAAACTATTATTATTATACAATCTTTCAAGTACTGTACTGCAATATCAACCTCCTTTTGGAGCGGGACCTTTATAAGATGTATTTATTGGTAGTAAGGCCACGTTACCAATAGACTTTCCTTGATTGGCAAAGCTAGAATGATAAGCCTTAAATAAAGCATTTTTATCCTATTTTTTAGATTTCGTTCGAAGTACAGTAACTGATACGGTATCGTAATCCACCTTACAATAATAATTATCACATGTTACGGATCTTACGTAAATTTTCGTAAAATACTAGGCCCATCGCAGGGCACTTAGCTGCCCACTCATGCGTTTATTGCGGTGTAATATAGAACTATACAGTGGCAGAGAGAGACTGTAAAGTAAGTCACTGATAACTGCAATATAATTATCACATCATGTACTTTATGTAATTTCATACTCAGCTGAAAAATTGTAAAATCGGCTTCAGATTTCAAATATACGTAACAACACAGTATTAGTTATCACTGGTGCGGATTCTTGTTAGGTTACTACCGAAATTATTTTGTAGTACTACTGTATACATACTGTATTGCGTATATGTCTAACGTTTAAGTAAATGATTCTTTAAATTAACCCGATTCGAGAATAAATAAATGCAACGTTACTTCGCAAAAGTAAGTCTTTCCAAATAGCCATAATAATCATAACGCACAATTATTATAGTACAGTATTGTATCGGACTTGGATCAAATGGATACCTTGGTCACTCAGAATCAAAGTCAGATTAATGTAAAATATATAATTTTAAATTTGATATTAGGTACAGTTATAAATTAATGCGCAGAATATCGAATTGCGATTGTACCGTTTACTGTACGTAAATACTGTAGTGTACACCTTCAGTACAACTGTATTTCTTCAAGAGTTCATCCGAAAAGCAATCACCGAAATTGCAAAATCAGTGTCGATACTAAGAGGTCTGGTCAGTACTATGCTATACAGCGCTGTAACTAATATACACGTAATCGCACTATACTATAATTATAAAAATTTAAAATATTTAAGAAATTAGTGGGTTACTTACAGGCATAATAATGGCCAAAGTCTAGGGAAAGGCTGTAAAACGTTAAGGAGGAAAAATTACTTTTACGATAGAGAGCTGAGGACAGCGGGAGGACTAGATGACAACAGTAGATAGATTAATTAAAAGGTTTTAAAGGACAGTACAGTACCGTGCCGCTTCGCTAGCAGTGTCTTAAGTATTTTGTATGCTGTACTGTACAGTACACTGTATAAAAAGGTTTTAAACCGCTGTATCGTACCGTACTGTAAGTACAGTGTACAGTGTACTGTATACTGTACTGTACTGTACTGTACTGTAGGCTAGGTAACAGTTTTCTACTGTACTGTACACTCTACAGTACTTTACTGTACAAGTGTACAGTACAGTACAGTGTACAGTACATACAGTACAGTATTGTACTGTACTTTACACCTGTAAGAAGGGCAGCCTGGCCGATAACATACTGTACTGTATATTTTGTCCTCTCACTGCGTGACCCCCGACTACTATCGTCGCGAATCTCTACACATACTGTACACACACAGAGTACTACAGTAAATGTACAGTATTGTATCCGTTAAGCGATGCAGTACAACACTACATTTCACCTGTCAACTCAGAAGCAAATTACGCTTTAATCCCTATAATTATTAAATCATACGAGATATATTATTGTTGCAGTAACTGCAAATCCCAAAATCGCGTCGCTACCTTTCTACACTTCTGGACACCATAACTGCACTGTATTTATATATATAGTAATTAATTAACTATATTACTGTAAGTACTGTCCAGTGTTCATGCATGACTACGTTCATTGTTGAATAATCGTTATGTACAGTATTTTCGAAGTTACAAATATTAACAGTATGTTAATTTTTATGTTGATTGGAGTTTATCTTTTTTTCAGGACTTTCAGAAGTTCTATACCGTTGTAAGCATGGTTGCGAGAGCCATAAAATTCTGAAATATGAAAGTATTTCTCGTAGATATTTACCTTCACCAGGATAAAAATGCAATTATAATCTTTACATAGCCCTGGCATAATCTTCGTCGATATACCGCATACTGTACTGTTTTACGCAAAGCAATTTATATTCTTATATCACGAAATTATCTTCCGCCAATATCAGTTACGCTGTGCAGATCATTGTAATGCAATAAATAGTGTTAGATCCAATCGAGAATCTTTCACTGTGCTATACAGTACTATACTGTACTGTATTATCCAGTCATACCCTGTGAAACCTTTTATTTACTCAACCGGAGAACTATTTTTTTGGCTGCAGGTTAGTGTTACCATATAAACATTTAAAGGATTGCGTTACTCAACTGACATGGCAGATCATGATAACCCGTTTGGCCGATCACACAGACAAGCATATATGAATCACTCAAGATCTGCTTCTTGGTCATTTTCTAACACCAATCAGACGAACTTGAATAATAATAATTCGGAATTAAGCAGTGGATATGCTACATTAAGATCAATGTTCATTGACCTTGTAAACCCTAGTTTCTCTCCTACTTTATCAGTGCCTTCGAATGGTAATGGTGGGCAACGTACGGCATCATCCCTATCATCTGAACATCCGAATGATATTGATCCTGCTCTAAGTGGGCGTCACACAGACAATCATCTTTCTAATACTGTAAACTTGGGCGAATTGGCTGATACTTCATCACCAATAGAAGAAGATGCTGCAAATATCAGTAATAATTCTGCTTCTAATACCGGGAATGGTCGTGGGGAGTTTAATGCTGTTGCGAAGTGGTTAGAAAAACATGTACCTTTCTTTTTATTAATCTTAGTTCGATTCTTTTGGGATCATCGACTGGGTAACTAAATTTGAATTTTATATATGTATGTACAGTAGTTACTGTATTTCATGGCTTAGCATTCCTGATATACGTAAATGCTCTTAACTATTAAATGCGCAGTTTAAGCTACTGCACTATGCATTTACCAACGTGAAAAGAAACATGCTATACTGTATTATAATTAAATTTTACACTAATTTAATCTATGCTTAACGATTTCGTTTATTAAGTTTCATACAATAATTTGGACAAATTACATAGTATAAGATAACCGAATACATAATATACTGTGAAGCTTCGGTAATATTGACCTTATATTCCTACGAGATTTGACAATAATTATAATTGATCTTTCCGGTTGCAGGTTTACTTGTATTTTTAGGTCTATGTGTTACGTTTGTTCATGGTAACAATACCGTAAGAAGACAAGTAGCTCTGAAGGTCAAGTATACGTAATTTTAATTGCAGTAAACTTCTTAGACTGTAATAGTCTTAAAATATATACAAAGTATAAATAGTTACATGCAAGTTTGGTAGGTTCAACAATTTGCTTACCCATGGCCACCTGTCAATCAGATAATTACTACTGCATGATACCAATCTCTCGATAATTTGTAGTCTGATGACAAAATTTGTTTACTTTGATACAGGAGCGTAGGCAATTTCGTATATTGCTATGGATGATAATATTTTTACTTGGGAATGTCCTTTTCATATATTACGTGTTTCATGAGCAGCAACTCTATAGATGGTATTTTAACCAGCTTCTATACATAATTATACTTTAATTATCTTCTGTAATTTCTTAAATTAAAGACATATTCTATGGAAGCGTTAATATATCTGTGCTGTTATAGCAATCAAGACTTTGCTTGCAGTATAGGTAAATTTACTAATTCAGGTAATAACTTGGATAACACTACTATAGTTTATACTTGATGGCGGCGAACTTTAAGGAATGTACCATTTGGAATGTGTTTTGGGTTGTAGGAATTACAGGTAATGTAATAAAGCTAAAGTAAATTATGATCACACTCTGTAATTAAAAGTAAGACTTTAAAAATTGTAATGTAGTGGCTTTATGTTTAAGAACTATAACTTAAAATTTGTATGTTGCTTTGGTCATATGGATTTTGTGATGATAATGACCAGAAAATATTGGTTATTGAATAATTTCAGATTATGTGATACGGTTTGTGACGATGATGCTCAAGTGCCTTATTGCATCGTTATGCAAGCGCGTCATTGCGTTTAAAATGAGGGTAAGTTTACATAGTTTTCAACCATATCAACTACGAATCTATAAGATACAGTATATATTAGATGATGAAATAAACCTCTAATTATATTCGAAAGTGAGTTCGTATGTGGTAAGAATTATCGGTGTCTCGTATGTTAGTTACCCATTGATTCTTCTCTTTCATACGTAATTACACACCAGATGTATCGCGTAATATAGATATAATTTGCTATATTTCAGGGAAAGTACTACATGTTCTTAGAACATCTATCTCAGTTATATCGGATGTTAATCCCAATACCGTTATGGTCGAAGTACTTTTCCGAAAATGACGATGTTGGACACGTCTTTTCCGTTGCTTCTGTAGCAATATACTTTGCAATTAAAGTATGTTTGCTGATATTCAAGCAGATTGTCTTATTTTGCACTTAAGATGCTAGCAGTTCCATTCAGATATTCTTGTATATACATATCAATCCTTTAAAGTTCTTTTGCATATTTTAGGGGGTTATGACCTTTAGCAAGCTTCGTGAGGTTTATCAATCATATTTAGGCCTTTGGCAAGATCTTGTAAGAGCAGTTTCTGAATCTTGTGTTCAATAAGGGAGCTAGGTGTATAAATTTTAGAATTTATAAGTTCATATTATACTAAGACAATAATATTATATTCATACTATCTTAAAGCAATACGGAACAACGCCAACCAAAGAAGAACTTATTGAATCAGGAGCTTTATGTCCTATCTGCCAGGAGGAAATAAAGGAACCAATCAAGCTTGATTGTAAAGTATGGATAGAAATTTATTGTTCGCTTATTGAACGATCTTTAATTTAATATTATCGCTGTTTTACATTTTAGCATATATTTTGCGATGACTGTATATCACTGTGGTTTGATCGTGAAAGGAGCTGTCCTCTTTGCCGGGCACGAATAGCGCATGGCCCTATGTGGAGAGACGGATCAACATCGGCATTTATTCAAGTTTTTTAATAGAAAAGCAATTTCAATACATTTATCGCTCTGGAAATACTATTAATAAGGATTTGTAGGCTATGATCTACGCAATAAGAGAAATTTGTATGAGTATTTTAATAGTTGTATGGTATTTTCAGGATCTAATTTTCAGTTAAGTAGTTCATCGTATCTGTCTTATCCAGTGTTTATCTAATGATATAAAATATGTTATCAAATATCCTCTTAGGGATTACAAATTTACTGGTACCATAGATAAATTAAAATTGTAAATATGGTTCATCGAACCACGCTTATGTTAAAGATATCCAGTTTTGTATATACTTCAGTCTGCAATAGACCTTCTATCAGATAAGATTAGCGAGATATTCACTGTCAATTTGTTAAATTCTTTATTCGCTTATTTTTGCTGATACTAGAATGACTTCATCATCCAAGGCCAGTAATGATTCCATTAGAATACTTTACAATTTAGTAGTTTAATGCTGCAATCAAATTTTATTAAACACAATTACATCAGAGTGTACTGTTTGCACTATTTATTTTAATTCTATTTGCTGTTACTTGGATATCAAGCTGTCAACATTACGTTGTAGATACATCACTGTATAAAATAGAAAATTCTGTATGATCAATTGCCGGCGATCGTGTTAACAGATTGTATTATAGTATCGTAAAGTGATGAAAAAATCTCGTAATCTAAATTCAACTCTACTAAATTCCGCTTAGGCTGTAATTCGATGTCTTCACAAATTGCCAATTACTCCAGTTAATTCCTTTAATTCTCGTAATATTGTGTATTTGAATCATTAGCAGGCTAACAATTTGCTTATAGCAGAATGAGGGGACGATTTTAAGCGAATATGTATCATTTTGACATAGGCTTTGATATACCAGTACAAAATAGAGTTAATGTTGTTAATTGAAATCACAGAACGTTTACTAAATACTGTTAGTCATATAGCAATTTAGAGTATATGCGTATCCAGTAAATACGTACACTTAAGATAAATTTAATATCAGTTCAAGATGGGATTTAAAAGATGCTAAAAGACTGATATACTGCAGTAGTAAGATGAGTTTATATTGACTGCTTAATAGCGTTACATGCGCTATCAAAGCTTAGAAGGCATACCGGATACGTTACTAAATATTTTGTATTATGATTTGATCAATTGAATGCAGATATATGAAAAATTAGATTAAATATTTCGTGACGAGACTAAATTGCTCTACTGTACAATTAAAATTTCGAAATTAGGTTGCGTACCGTTACTCATTCTAGTCTATGTTCTAGTTACTGTTTTATAAAAATAGGTTTTTAGGTACTTTCTAGACTGTATAAAATTAAGATATGACTACCGAAGTAATGTAGTGTATTTTAGCAAAGAAATAGCCAAGCATAGTAAGTTAGGTAGTTTATTACTCGATTCACACAGTGCAACTGATAAATACAAAAGTTAATTTAAATAAGTAGATTAATTATAACATAGTATTGCTATAGATCATAAGGGTATATTATGATTCAGGACATTATATTTCTACATCATACAGTATTGAAGTTACAATGTATTGCTTTACATCTTATGCACTACAATCTTTTTATTATAAGTCAGGTAGATTTCATCGTGCCAAAATTGCAAAAGCAAAAGGCAATACAGTTGCTTTACATAGTATCTAAGGTACGCGTATTGTAAAGTTTAAGGAAAATGAATGTGATATCAACTCCTATTTTCTGTTTATAATAGTTAACTAACGGCAGAGCGCTTGTGAAGTTTCGCGTTCCATATCCTTTCATATTATATGTTAGCAAAGTCCGCAACGCTTTTCAGTACGGTTTCGAAACATTAATGGATCGAAATCATAAGGAATCCCCAATATAGTACAGTTAGCCATTTCTGTACTTTTAGTACTTCCGATAGAGTGTAAGTTTTATAAAATTACGGAAGAGCTTCCGACAAAAATGCCTTCAAAGGCCTTCTCTCAAGCTGTACACGTATTCTTAATGAACTTAAAGTAAAAGCTCGAATCTTAAATTGAGTCTTATTCACATCTTTCTAAAGGTGACTATAGCTTCAAACGTGAACTATTTGCCATTTCTAATTGATAATGTAATCATGTCAGCGACTTCTGAGAGAAGTCCCTACATCATACCAAGGATTAGAGTATTTCTGTAAGCTTTAGATCAAGTAAATCTACTGCAAAGCCTCTTCATCTGAGTTAATTCACTATACTGAATACGGATATATATCCAGTCATTCGCATTACGATGAGCGCATCTGTATAATATTCTAAAAATCTTCGCATTGCAGTAACAGTACTGCACATTTGTATTTATAATAATAATTCAAACTATTTACAAAGCTCCACTGCTTACGTGAACGATCTTGTAACGACATCATAAACATATCTCGGCTGCTAATAACTGCAATAAACGTACTAGTAAATATTGCATTCATTGGCATCAATCTCCAGCATGATAGTTAAAAACTAATGATGCTATACATTATATATATATTACAATATTGAAAATAAAAGTATTAAAAAATCAAGCTGAATTCATGACATGAGTATTGATTAGTCTACGTTGAAGATAGCCTTCGATTGTATCTTACACATACAGTATTTAAGGAGACATATCTCGTCAATTCAGCGTAACATTTGAAGGTGGTGTTTGAATTAATTTAATAAAATGCTGCTTGATTATAAAAATTTAACGAAAATAATGCAATAATTCATTAAGAACAATGAAACGTTCTTGTTTACTTCTGTGCGATAATCGCCCTTAATATCGAATCCATTCTTAAAAATTAAAGACTTGAAAATCAGGAAGCCGTTAACAACTGTAGTACGATATGATGCGACGTGAAAGTAATGACTTAATTGAGTAGATTTAAATACTTTCCCATTTAATAAAAGGATGAATTAGTAAATACCCGGTATCTTATCACATAGTCCATATTTATCGTACTCTTAATGTACTATACTTCAATTGTCAACGGCAAAGAGCTGTATATACTGCACGCTTGTGCACGAGACGTTCTTAATATCAGAATTGACGTACTAAATTTAATTGACTGATAATTACAGTTAATTGTAATTTTCACCTCCTCTTTGCCCAAGTTAATGCTGTCTATTGTCCGATTAGACAAAAGTTAGTAAACCTTATTACTGTATTATACAGAATTCTTTATACGGCTCCTTACCTATCAAGTATTCGGTCGTGAGTCATGATATTAGCAATTTCATTAAATTGCGCTACCTATAAATTAGAAATAATAAATAGTGCTGTGTCTAACTGTAAATAAGAACATCTAAACACGAAAAAAATTAAAACGACAGTATAATATTAGAGCAATACTGTAATTATTAAATTCAATCTCATCATTCATACATATGTATTATAGTATTATCATTAATTGGTGCCAACACAGCCCGACGTACCGTAAGTATTAAATTGTATAATTATATGAGGATATCATTTCTAAAACTATTTGTTATACGCCATTAATCATCACTGACTACCTAGTAATTATCTACTATTAACCGCCGTATGTATTTATGTCGCTATACGAGTTTTCTTATTACATAGTAACCTTTAAAGTATTATTTAAAGAATCTGATTGTAGAGATTACAGATCACAGCAGGTATTTAATACTAATTTAACAAGTGTAGATTCTAGTGTAGTGTATTATGTGCTGCATAATTGGGCTAATCTCTTAAAACATAATCGAGGTTTTATTCAAAAATTTTCTTACAGAATTTCATTGAAATATAGCCTTCATCGCGATATTCTACTTTAAAAAGAAATAGAATAGAAGTTATTCAGTTTCAAGAAATAAAAACAAGAAGGGATATTATTACGTTTAAATCGAAAACTAATTACAGCAATTACTTTTTGCTTTAAGTAAAGTATTAAGCAGTTTATTCCATCATTGCAGTAAACATTAATACATTAGTTGTACGGCCTGAATATCTTTACTGCTGGCTAGTTTCTTTATTACGTTGAATTTGGCATTTCGTATGTCCTTTGTAGAGTATAATTTGAAGATTAAGTAATATCTTATAACTAATAATATATATCTAGTCATATTAGGCTAAGTTAATAGTAGGCAACAAGCCCGGCAGCTGTACAGTATTTAAAATAGTTTATTAATTTGTATTCTTCCTTCTACATTAATAAATCCCCAAAATTTTGACTACAATAATTGGAACTAGATAGACCGCTACGACAATGAATATAAAACATCAGTTTTAGATTTGCGATAAACTTATAAAGTTATTCAAATCGATGCCAATCATTGCTTGACAATTATTCTTAACATTTACATTAACAGTATTCAAAATTTTAATTAGTTAATATTAGATTAATTCATGAGAACCATACTACCTTATATGTAGATCATTAGAAGAACAGTATCGACTCTTTAGGGCTACTGTAGGTATTTACTTGTAATACTTTCAATAAATAAAGTATTTAGGATGTAATTTGCGCATGGTAATTAAATTAAAAATGTTAGAAATGACACAACAATGTAATTTAGGCCTGCACAATGAGATGATGAGAATACAACTTTGTCTTAAAATTAACACTGATCTTTAGTCAATAGAACATATCCTACCTGACTGAATTTAAAAAATTAAGTCTATAGAAAGTACACTTTCCTGTACAATGTATACATACAATGCATATACTTCTGCAAAATACTAAAGTGATACTGTCGCTTTAAATAATATTTAAGTTATGCTGCTAGAAATTACTTATGATAATGCAGTATGATAATTCTAAACTGTGCAACCACGTTTGAATTACTGAATACTATTTAAAAAGCTGATTGATGATACGGGCTCAAGAACTCAATTTCAATTGAATGATCTGTGCATGAAATTGAAAGGACTTGTAACGGTTTATGGTGTACCCTTCTGATTGTTGTATCAATATGATACAATTATTTAATAATGAAGATAATTAAGATGTCAATGAAGTGTATTATACAACTTTGAATATTTCATGTCAATCACGATCGTAATGAGAAATTAATCATTCTTACTCTTATCAAAAACTTTGACATTAACAACATTATCGTGTCATTAATGATACGGTATAGTATGTTAAACACTAAACCATCATCACTCCGAATCTGGCAAACATTTAAGCATTGTCTTAAATGCGTACAGTCGATATAAACGACAATGTATTATATAATAACAGTTCCCTTTTATTTTTGTTTACAATCCTTTAGTACATACTATATTCTTCTTTATTTACTTTGTTTTTCGTTTTCCTTTTGTTCATTAACGATAGTTTTCAATTTAGCAACTTCCGAATAACAAAAAATATTTTAAATTTAATGAGAATATCTGTCTACATGTTTTAATGTTTCAATATCTGATAAAATCTTCATTTTAAATGAATTTTTATTGTTTTAAATAACACTTTAAATTGTGCTTTAATCACTACGTATATTGAACTGGTCATTACTAGCGTACCCCTGCCATTAACTGATTTATGCTTGACATTACATTTGTAATAATGAAAATCATAGCATTATTAATAATTATGATCAGAATGATTTAATTGAAAATTTTTTGATTCGATTTAGCACAACTGTCAGCAGTAACTTAACAGTAGCAAGAGTAAAATCGTGTTAATTTTTTCGATCAGATACGTTTCAATAATACCGTCATCGAAAATAGAAATATGGAAGCTAAGCAGTCTATTAGCCACGGCGTTAGTCATCAGATGATCAGTAATATGGCTAAGAAACAACGTCGTGCTAGAACGACATTTACACGTGATCAACTAAAAGATCTGGAGTCGTTGTTTGAGAAAACGCACTATCCTGATATAGTTGCAAGAGAAGAGATTGGGCAAAAACTAGGCTTATCTGAGGCAAGAATTCAAGTAGGTCTATTAGTTTCAATTTCGTAACTTTAAAGAGCACTTATGCTATCCTGTACAGGTTGCTGATATAAAATTAGTAGCAGACATTTTAATCAGATTTAGCTATCATCAAATACTATCTCATTATCACATTAAAGTAGCCGTTATAATTATTTAATCGACTTGATGGCTTAATTTTATCATTAGAATACTAAAATGAAAAGTAGTAACCATAAATTAAGAATAATTTTTCCCATTCTCTTGACTTCTAAATTAATTTCCCTGATACTTCCTATGTTCATTGGAGTTTCTACATTCTAATCGTTTTAATTTATAAAATTGACTAATTAAAAAGGTATTTGAGTTCTGAATCTACCCCTGATTAAAATACTAAGTTTCAAGTAATAAGTTATTGTTAGGAGCTTTAGGAATTGCAAATTTTTTACTATTTTTGCTTATATAATATGACCATACGTATATCAACGCTCATTTTCTAGCCTAGAAGGAGCAATTATTTATGAGAGAATTAATAAATAATATAGAATTAATCATTTCTATGTAGGATTATGTTAACAAATATGCAAGGGGTTGATGGAAGCAATTAAAAAATAAGTCTTTTGATCTTATTTATTGTCGTTTTGGGTAGATATTATCAAATGATTAAAATACATTAGTAAATAATAATTATAGGAGAAATTAGAATTCACGACTTTTCGTAGTTATTAGTCTTTATGATCTGCGAGAATTGATAGCGATAAAATTTAGTCGAAATTTTTTATAGTTTGAATAAAATTCTGGTATAAGAAAGATATCAATAACTCTTCTGTTCAAATTTTATTCTCTATTACAACGAACTGGTTGTAAGTTGATACCTGAAATTTTATTTAATTAAAAATATCCATACTGTGACGTAAGTTATAATTCCTACAACTATCCTAAAAACGTGGGTTTTGTATAATAGCACTTGAAAATGTTTGTGATAGAATGTTAATAATACGAGTAAATAGTAGATTAAGATATGATAGAAAGTATACGGTGACTTACTACTGTGTAGTTAACGCTTGCAACTTCAGTATTTTAAATCTTCTATTGAAATATTTCAATACCAGATTTGGTTTCAGAATCGCAGAGCACGTTGGCGTAGAAAAGAAAGGATCTACAATCCGTCATGCTACGGTTTAAGAGCGTTACAAGCGCAAGTTTTCTCTCTACCATCCACTTCGGAACCACCACAGTATTATCCTCCACCGTGTGTTAGTATGGGGAGTAATAGTACTAATCCAGTTTCTGTTCACCCAAATAGACTCTTAACACCTTCATCTAGTGTCAATAGTCAAAATGCATTAACTTATCAAGTCTGTAAATTCCCACCTTATGGAAACTCGGTGACATCAGTCACTGCCCCGATGGATGTTTTACAACATTCAATGCAGCGGTTATCGTCATCTAATGAAAGCGGCATATACTATGATGGGCTGAATGTGGTTCAGCGTACCGACAGCGCACCATTCCTTAGTCAAATGAAAATTTCAGACAGGAGATATGGCGATTAATTTCTGATACGGAAAGAAATTCTTTAAGTGCCGAAGATTAATAAAACTAGAATAATAACATATAGTTCATGTGCGTATAATTCATATTTTAAGGAAATTATTGGAAATAGTTAATTAAGATACAAAGACCTTATGATACAGTCATCACCTAAAAGTAGAAGATTATGATGGTATAATTTTATTTTACTTTATCATTTACATTCGATTAACGATATATAAAATATCGTTCTGTAGATATCAGTTACGATCACTACTAATTCGGCTCTTATTATTGTGTAACGATGATTATCAACTTAGAATATTCATTATAATAGTTATAGATTCCGATAGTGATCCTTTTTTTTGTATCCTCGTTCATGATTTGACTATTTGTAGGGTGAATGAAAATAAAATAAGTACAGTACAATTACTCGTTATCCTTCTTAATTCCTTTCTTAGAGATTTCCTTCTTCCTGATAAATGTTTATCGGATGTATTAGTACACATATGTTATCTTAATTCAGTATATGGTACTCACATATGCCGTTAGTATGGAATACGAATGCATACGCATAATTCGATCACTTCTTGTATGTGACATAATATTTAAAAATAAATAGAATTCTGACGTGTACTAAAATACCTTCGCAGGTTATTTGTATACCTTGCTTTCGTTGCATTTTAATAACTAAAATCAAAGTTGTAATGGCACTTAAATAAACTTATGACTTCTTGAATACCGGTACTGAAAACTGTGTAGCATACGTATTAATAGTAAATTATTACTAGCTACGTTAGCGTTTACTAAAAGTTGTCTTTTAGCTTATTTTTTGCGTATACTGTACGTGTATATTTTTTAGAGATGCTTCAATTGCGACGACCTATTATATCTTGAATCTTGTAATCATAATGATCACCTGTTACTTGTACAATAGACAGTTATACAGCTGGGCAGTGTATGACTTTACTTCATTGTTTCAGCTATCATAAGCGCTTGTCACCACCGTAAATGCACACGTAAATTAATTTTTTGCGATAATTTAGTTTAAACATTCGTCTCGTTAATTGGTGTAATTAAAGCCACAACGATGCTGTTCAAAATTAGGAAGAAAACGTAATTTTACAGTGTAATCGATACTGCGTTATACGTCTGGAATAGTACAGATCATGCGAATTTCACTTTAAGATGCAAAAATGCATGTTTATTGTTCACATCATTCATTACATAATTATTGAAAAAAATAACAACTATCGTTACAAGCAATGGGAGCACGCTTATAGATCGAAGCTCGAATTGATACAATTAAAGTATCTTTGAATCTTAATGATTCAAATACTGTAATGAAATTCAAAAGTTTGAAATTAAGCTTATAAGCATATGCGGAAGAACTCAATCTGAGAAGTTCTGAATGCCATCAGCAAGAATAAGCAACAAACTTTGTACTAGATTTAAATGCTAATGTTTGGATTCAATTAAGTACTGATATTACATACACCGATGTACTCTGTAATACGTTAGCAAGATAAAATTATAAATTCTACGTAGAACCTACTACCAGAGAGGTAATTACGGAGATATTTCATTGCTAGATAAAATTTTGGCGAATTAAATCTTTAAATGTAACCTATTTGAATATAGCATTAGTAATACAGAAAATATTGCACGGCTATCTTTAAAGATCCGGTATACTGTAAATTGCAAGCTTACAAATAAGACGAAATAAAACTTGTAAGAAATGTACAAATAATTCGATTTAAATATTCACTATAAAGCTATTTCATAACAAAATTCCATATAACCAATAATAATGTAATAAGTCTTAGCGAAACTATCTAATAAAATTAACAATTTTTTACGGTCGCATTGCTTTAACGATATCTTTAAATGTTATTTTCTCGCTGATTCTTTTCAGATTAGCGATAGTATTCCACAGAGTTTGAAAGAACGGTACTTCATCGTAGTAAATATTGTTACGTCTGCAAATATCTTTAACCATTTTCTGAACCTCTCGGTACGTGCTTCTAGGAAGTTTAGGGAATAGATGATGTTCAATATGCAAATTGAGGCCACCATGGAAAAAGTCAAACCATTCAGGGTTATCAATGTTTTGACAAGTTTCACATTGCCATTCAAAAAAATTCATATTCATGGTTTCGTCTCGATCATGAAATGGTTTAGAGTAATGATTTAAAATAAGTTGCACATGCAATACACCTTCTCCTAAGCAGGCAAATAAATACATAAGTCCAATATGTGTCCAGTTAGGGAGAAAGCTGATTAAGAAACCTGTCCATATAAAATGCAATAGTAGTCCAACCCACTGATACCAACGAGTCTCTAAATGGAATGCATCAACAATTACTGCAGGGCGGCCAAAGACAACTGCCAAAGGAATAAAGGTCAACCACTGGATTTTTATAAAAAATTTTTGAAGTTTTGTATTGAAAAATTGTAACAATCTTTCATTTTGAGCCCAAACTTCTTCAGTCATTTGAGGATCGGTTACCCCAACACCTTCAACTAAAGTATTTGTTAGACTATGGTGCGCGAAATGTTCTTCTCTCCACCAATCGCTATTAATACCTATTGCAACAGTGCCGGAAAGAAATCCACCAACTCTATTCCAGAATCGCGATTTAAAGATTTGACTGTGTTGAAAATCGTGTAAAAAAAATCCGCATTGTTGCCAAAACCAAGCTAATCCTAATCCGCATAAACAATGTACGAATAGGCTTTTGCTATTAACAACCCCATAGATCACAGCAGCCAAGATAGTAAAAGGCACTGACCATTTCTGTAAGAGCCAAGAATTGGACGGATAATAATAGTTGTTTTCTAGAAAATATTTAAGTAAATTTCGATACTCTTGCATAGCCTTTGATGGTGGTTTCTTAGAGGTGTAGTCGCCGACAGGTTTACGGTGCTTTAGTAATTCAAATGCTTGCGGATGATTAGCAAAGAACACATCCGTAGCGTCTTTACCGATAAATTCTTTGATAATATCTCCACCCGGATGACGAGGCACGAAGCTTGTAACATCGTACCATTTACCGTCAATGGCAAGTAGTGCACGTCCTGAATCTTTTAGTGATTCCTCTTTCAGGGTGGTTCGATGAGTTAAAGTTTCTTCAGGGTTGGGAGCCATTTTCGTAACAATTACACACGCAATATGTATCCTATAAATGTAGTACGTGTAGTAGTAGAACTGTGTTAGTGTAAATGATACTTAATCGAGTATTGTTGTAACAATTAAGTAAACAGCAAATTATGATGTAACGGTGAGTAGTGAGCAGAATACGGCAGGGGATGTATTTAAATTGAATATTTAGATATAGTACATTAGTACAGTAGGCTAAATAAAATCAAGATTAACTAACACTACGCAAGAAAAGTTAATAAATTAGGAAATACTGTACTGAACCAAAAGCAGAGAAATTAAAAATAATAAGAAACAGCTGGACAACTCGTATAGGGATTTTAACACTTGGAAACGCTCAAGATCCAGTCGAAAGGCTTACACTAGAGAGACCCTTAGAGAAAGGGTCTCTAGCTTACACTAATAACAGGATTGTATATTATCTGTATTCTTGAAATAAAATAGATAACCAGCTACAATTGTAATAAAACTCAGATATCAGATGTCCTTTACCTTCGATATTGAATTAATTTTGGTATCGATCTAAAAGATGAACAGACTTTTTAGATTTCAGCTCAACTTCGGAACTTGGGGTCCCCTACTTTGACGTCGCGTCGTACTGACCTTAGAGTGTATAACCTGTATATTGGATAAATGCAATTATACAGGGGGCACATAGCAACCGGCAACAGTGCAGTTTTAGGCTTTCAGCCTGCTGAATGTGCACATTCTATCACATGGACAATTGACAATGCCATTTCAACCGTCGCACAAGGCACGTAGAACGGAGTGGCGTGATCATTTTTCAGGGTGTGGCAATAGCACAATACAGTACTTACAGTACAGTACATTTAATTATCCCATGGTACTGTACTGTACTGTACTGTACAGTATACTGTACAGTAGTACAGTACAGTACAGCTTCTGTGCCTTTTCAAATGAGACCACTATTGCAGGGGCGTAGCAAGCAAGTACTGTACAGTACAGTACAGCGTACTGTAGAGTACATGAGGCGAGGCATTAATCATGGGCGTGGCGAGCTCTCCAGTTATGCAGGATAGTGTACTGTACTGTACTGTACTGTACAGTATTCATTGCAGCCCTCATTTTTTTTACAGTGTTTTCTGTATTGTTATACTGTAAAGGTTAAGGTTAATCATTGCAGAGGACTTGGACCGATTGTCATTGCAGCTACAGCACACCTGTACACTGTACTGTACAGTACTGTCCGGCTGTACCGTATGAGCCTTCTGGGCCACCGTAGAGCACTATACTGAACGTGATTATTTTCTTTTCAGATAAATTACACTGTACACTGTACAGGTGCTGTGCCTTTTCAAATGAGACCACTATTGCAGGGGCGTAGCAAGCCCTCTAAAATGGTTGAAAGATGTTCAGCCTTCAATTATATCTTCAAATTTTGAAGAAATGTACTTTCAATTTGGCTCAAATTCCATACAGACAGATCAGTACAACCTTGGGAAATTGGCTTTTGATATTTTTATTACTTTTTATTGCAGTACTGTATTGAATAATTATATTTCTTTAAAGTTTCCAATACAAACTCTCAGTCGCTGTTACATGTACGCTCGCTCCAACCATCATACAACTCACGTCGTAATACCGGTCTACTGTATAGTACTGTACATTAGCACTGTCTGTCCAGAGGTTATCTCAATCGTACGGTAGCCGAAGAGGGCCAAATGCTTTCTTGCACAGTCGGCCTAGAGCTCTGATAGTACCGCCCCACTTTCTTTAAACTGCCAGCTGCCGAACTGCGCTTTCTTACACAATGTTACTACTTACTAGTTACCACTTTTGTATACAGTATGCAGTTCTGTACAGTATATCTGCATGCTTTTGCTAGTTTCGCGAATGCGCAATCTCAGATACTCAACATGTTTCACATGTGATCTAAGCTCACCTCCACGAACCTGCAGACCTCATTGCATCATACCGTATGCACATTATTGCACAACTGTAAACTGCCGAACAGCCATTGAATCCTGCGCTAAGGAGCTGGATAGCAATATTACATCTGCGATTACATTTACTCTACTATCATTCTTCAATACTGTAATTTGGAATCTGTGGCTTTGTTAGGGACTTTAACTTAAAGATACAGACGGTAATACCAGTATACAGTACAGCGTGATATTTAAGGCAATACACTTAAAAGTAAATCTAAAAATTTTATAGATTATGGTTAGTCTTCAGAGATTGCGAACATTTTGCTGACCAAACTAAGTGGTGCAATATGTGCTTAAATTTTCTAAGTTTCTATGACTGTTATTATTATCATATATTATGTGAAGTGTAATGGAGATTAACGGTAAAGGAGTATAGATACTGGCTCTCGGATTGTGATTGACAATAATTTACTGTATTTCACTTTACGAGATATATCGTGCAAATTCTTTTATTCTGCCTTAGCTATTAACATGTTGCAAGATATGAGGCTTGTAATAAGACTATACCTGTATACGTGTACGAGTATGCACCTAGTAACTTTGATCATAACTGACTATTTAGCCTGCCATGCCAACAGCAGCTGATAATGAATCAAATGTTGTTTCTGACAATGGCGGTGAGAAAGCACCTGAGCTTGCCGCAACAAAAAATGCGAACACTGAAAATGATGCCTCGGAACAAGACCAAAGTATGGACGTAAGAGGTGAGTTTATAACTTCGTTAACTTGAGCACTAAGTTTTTAAACGTACGGTAGGTTTTTATCATTGCTACCTTTGCTTACGCATAGAATTCTAATACACCACTTTTCTATATCGACAATCAGAAATAACCTTACAACTTTCTTTACCTGGTATACCTGAACCGTTAAAGCTAAGTGTATGTCAATGACGAAATAGCGCACCTTGAACACAATGTAGTATCAATTACGCTAATTCCTGATGGGTAGATAAGTTTGACTGATCCGTTTAATTTGTAGTTTGAGCTCTAAATATTATTGATGACTCGTCACTGTCAAGTACGCAAGGGATGTGTTAGTGCTGTCCTGTATGTTATGTGAACGTTATTTTACGTTGATCTTTGGACACTGCCACAGTTACCTACAACAGTAATATATTCTGTAGTGTATGAACGTGTGAAGTAGTTGAAACTGTAGATATGTGAGATTAGATTTTATTACTGTACTTACCGAAGTATGTGAGTTTAAACTGAACGATGGTTTGTAGTTTTTTAGATTGATATTAGCATTAATTGCCTCGCTCTTAAGGGATTTTATTAGTAATAATGGACTATTGTTCTTATGGTAGGTGTCAACATATGAGAGACTTATGGAACTACGCGATTATATTTCTGATCGGCCGGAGACATGCGATAGGACTTGTTACTCTCTACAAAATGTTGATGGAGTGCGTTTAGATGAATTGGCCGTGATAGGAAAATTGCAAGATATTGATGATGGGTCATTGATTCGCCTGATGGATGGTATGTAATTCGCTCAAATTTTAAATAGTTGATACCTACGATCAACATTACACATTATGATTTATAAAATATTATAATTTTTAGAGGAATATAATCTGCGGGATGTAAAAATTCATCTAAGACGTTTACGTGATCTGCTGACCAGTTTCTCCAGAGTCAACGCTTATACTGCTCAAGATAATATGTCATTAACATTTTTAAGTGGAATAACAGAGATTGATATTGAAGGTCTGAATTGTAAAGTACAGATGTAATTTACATAGCACAAGCGACAAAATTTTACTGCAGCCGTACAATTGTTTGAATCCAGATGCTGTACTCAGAGCATAGCTCGGTCACGACAAAAATATACCGTAAAAATTTCTCATTTTACTGTATACCATATTTTTTGTATTCCGTTTCCAGAGGAAGCATTGAAAAAAGGTTCAACTAAAGAATCGCAACTGGATTGCGCACCTCCATGTTATCTAATTCCTGGCAGCGCAACTTCTAACGGCGTACCTCTTACTCCATTATACTTTAATGAATCATACCAAGATGTAAGCTATCCTTGAGAGTTACAAAATAATTTGTATACAAAATTTATATAAATGTTGTGTAGGAACAGACATGATTTATCATTCTTTAAATAAAGCCTTCGCAGTGTTTGAAGGAGTTATCAACTAGCGGATGGAATCCACCTCCCCCTAATCGGAAACTACAAGGTTCGACGCTAGAGATAATAAAGTTGCAATTCGATTGTAAACTTTGCGTTTCCTTTCCTTTATTAATTGCTTAAAGTAACAACTTTATTCGATCATCTGATATTAGGTGATTTAATGTATGTCAACGTGGAGACCTTAGAAGGTGAAACTTATAATATCACAGCATCAATAACTGGCTTTTTTGTCAATAGGTAATGCTAGTAACAAGGTTTATTATATTTCTAAGGTATACTGTCAATTTGAAGTGAATGATACTTAAGATCTAAGCTGATGTTGAGTAAATAGATTTGATCTATATCTTTATCTTTATGTCTTATTATCAGGACTAAAGATCACATTTTCAATCCTGCTCCAAGTTCTGAGTTTCCTCTTAGCCACACTTTAGCTGGATTACTAAATAGGGTATCATAACAACAGATTTTCTGCTTTTATGAAAGAGGTTTCGATGTCATCCATAAATTGTGCTTTGCTTATTATGTATAACTTACCATTAGATAAGCCCTTTGTTTAAGAAGAATTTCTTAATTCTTCAAAAAGTCAGGTTAGTGCTAACATGGTGCTAATAACGATTGTAGCTTTAAATGTTTTTACCCTATTAATTAATTTAATGGCGATATGGATAATAAATTTATAGTCTTAAGACGAATCCTCTAGAACTTGTTCCTACGCCTTACCAAGGTATAATCTAATTATTTATTTTATTAAATCTATTTTAATGTAAATTAATAATTTATTTTCGAAATTTTCAGTTTTTCCATGGGCGGTGCCAAAATTAGATCACGGTTATGATAAACAGCGAGCGGAAGATTGTATGTTCTGCGCTATTATGTCTATTTACAATGCAAATAATTTCTTTGGTCATAATTTTGTAATTATATCGGACGTTTCATTACAGATTCGTTTGCTAGAGTTGGATATGAGGAGCACCTAGCAGGGCAGGTATACAATACATAGAAAATATTAAAATTCTTAAATTTTTTGTGGAGAGTAAATTTAACTTACGTAAACACCTTACAGTTACGCGATTGGAATGATGATTTTCAATCAGCTAAAGAAATGCCGACAGAAACAATTCAAGAAAAAATTGAGCGAGATCGGACCATATTTAGAGTTAATACGGACTTCGTGGCTGTAGCTACGAAGGGTGCTATCGCTGTAGTAGATGGAAATGTTGTTGCAATGAATCCAGCTGAACCAGAGAGGTCATACCTTTTCACAATATATTTATATTTAAGTATATCTTGTACCTTAATTTTTATTTTGAGCTTTAGCTTTAAATTGTGATACCGCTGTTTATTATCTTAAACAGGCTACGACTATATATTTGGAATAACATCTTCTTCAGCTTTGCTGTAGATTGTCGTGATCAATATAAGCAACTTGGAGGTAAGTCCATATATATATTACTAAATTATGAAAATACTTGATTATTTTTCATAAATTTAAATTTATGTTACATACGTCATGTAGGCGACATAGCTGCCTATCGGGCTGCGGTAAGTATCACTTTCGCTAAGTAGTATTTTCCTTTAAGAATAACAGCCTTCAAGGTTAGTAGTTATAGCTAGAATCACCGCTTTATGATTTCACGCTATTCTTAGGGGCAAGACGTACATGCGATAGACTTCGTTCAAAAGTTAGACGTTGATGGCTTACATACGCTTGAAACTGCCGTAATAGACTACTGTGGTCGGAGAATCATTGCTCAATCTTTAATTCCAGGTTCTTTATCATGTCATTGTTTATTGCAGCACAAGCCTAAACTTCATTTTATGAAATAATGATCTATTTATATGATTGTAACTGTAGGTATTCTCAACCGAAGTCAGGAGAACTCTGTAATTTATGGTTCCATCGATTCAGGTTTAACCATAGCTGCAGATGAAGTTTTTATAGAGCAGGTGAAGTAAATATTCGACAGTTCTTTGTAAGATAGGCATAATTGCAATATGTATTTAATCGTGAAGATACAAGCTATGAATTCTTGTGGTGCTTATTGCTTATATTATCTTAATTATTTCTAGTTGAAGAAATATTCACAATTATTTCGAGTTCGACCGATTAGGTATATCTTATGATTACCAGTATTATATATGTTTGTATAGATAACATAACATTTTTAACACGACGTGTTTATGTGTACTTAACTTTTTTTTTTGCTAGCGTCGTAGACAAATTTGATCAAGACGTTAAAATTTGGTCATCTATAGAATTAAAAGTGCGTTTTGTTCATAAAGAAATATATAAATACACACGTTTATTTGTATTTCTGATAAGTTTAAGCTTTAATTTGGCTTTTCTGATGAATTTACATAAATTTATTAACTGCGTAGGGCATCCTTGGATACGATCGAAGACGATATATTGTTGATTTAATTAAAACATTACCAATAGATGTAAACTTCATTGAGGGTACGTAGAGATTTCTTTAAAGATGGTAAAAGGTCTAGCTATCAATAAAGTATTGCTTAGATATAATGTACATTATAATTAATAATAAGCTTCTTTTATGGGTATATTTATAGCAAATGAGAGTAATCATGATGATAAACCCCGTAAATATTTTCCTTTGAACCATGGGCACTGCTTGTCTCGTTTACGTCGTGAGCTCGTGGAAGCTTTTATTGCGTACGTAATTTTATAGATCATCTACTAAAATGGAAGAGTGAGTTTATGGAAACACATTTATTCTTTTCAGAGGTCGATACATGCTGTACTGGAGACTTGTCGCCATATACTCTTACGCTGATCAGCAAAAGCAATTTAAAGATAAGGTGTCTTCAGAAGCATACTTTTATATATTTGCAGCTCAGAATAACTAGGTTTGATACATTTTAAGGACGGAGTTGATCAACATGGAAATGAAGCTTTAAGTGAACTTCCGGTGGAATCGTTACCATCTACAGAAGAAATTAAAGAAGGTGGCAAAAATGAATTAAGTGATAGTAACGGACCTAACGAGGGACAAAATCAAAGTACCGTATAGTATTTTAAGCTTACATTGCTTTACTCAAACCAAATCTTTTTGAATGATTAATTACAGTTTATTCTAATATTTTCTCAGATGAAAAAGTAATAGAAGCAAAGAAAAAAGCTGCCGCTGCTGTGGGTTCATACTCTAGTACTGGTAAATTGAAACTCGCATGCCGCGTTTTAAGTTTATTTAATTAAAAAGTAACTCTTGTATGGATTATAGAACTTGATATTAGGTTTAATCCCGACCTATTTACACCCAACATAAAGTTTTCGGAATCTGAGGTACTATTGCTCTAAAGGTGATATCGCTGTAACTCCATAGTAAAGTCTTAATTTTTCACATCTAGAGTGAAGCTTTGGGAAAGGATAAATCACTCGCTCATGATGCAGCCAAATTCTTAGTTGAAAGTATTATCCCTAAAACGGTACAAGCTGTTATATTTAAGTGCTTAAATTCGCCTATACGGTAAATCATACATTAAACATGGACTCTAACTTTTGAAGATTGAAGAACTGAAAAGTCTGACTAGTCCGGTCGATGGAAATTCGTTTAAGGATGTATTGCATCAAAGGTGCCTTATTTGGCTATTTAACTTAAAGATGATACATTATCCATTTTTCGGGGTAATTTGATGTTACTAAATATCTTTATAGGGGTATCAATATTCGCTACATTGGCTATATAGCATCTTTAATTGCTAATACGCCGGAACTGTCTTATGTTTATGTAAGTCCGATGTGGCGATAGTTTTATCTATTAATTTGTCTGATTTGTTTGCAGTTAGATGCTTAAATCTTTTTCGACAAAATATAACATTTCAGAAATTAAGGTTTATATTAAAATTTTTTTAAAACTAGAAACTGTGCTTGACGGAAATGATTACTAGGATTGCAAAGAGAACCTTTAAAGAGCTGATAAGACGTAGTACGATGTTGCTGCTAAACTTATTGATTTTGATAGACTATATGTAATATGCCGTAGTCAAAATTGCAGTTAAATTTATAAACCAATAAATTACTCTTCACTACTACCAATTCTAGCCAGCTTCCGTGTTTTATCTTGCGCCATCTCTCATTTTTTAAACTGCTTCCTGGTAATTGAATTTTCATGCTTGATACCCATTTATTTTTAAATCGTTTTGAGTATATTTCTTTTACATACTTCGTGTTTATCACTTTCCTGGTTACTAGGGCTCTGTTAATAATCCATTACCGAATATACCAAATGATGTATGTACATTACATCGTATACAAGTATTTCAATTTATTTATAACCTATATCTAACCTATACGGAGATGTCAATTAAGTCTGCTTCTTCTGTATTAGTTACGACCATCAAAGAAAAAGAAGAATAGAAAGAAGCATACAAAACCCCACAACTTAGCACAAGATAAATCTGATTTGCGTTAGTCGATGAGTTACTTCGAAGTATTTTCAAATCATTTTATAAAAACCTAGGCGTATATGATACGAGTAATTTAATAATTCGAATAGAATGATTTAATAAGGGCGTAAATTTTGATGGCATACTTAGTAGGATGGATTTCTTTATCACCTGAAGATTTATGGAAGCAAATATCCTCCGAAATTTCCACTTATTTTGGATATGAAATACCACAGTATGTGTACCTGTGCTTCAGCATTATCAATTAACGTTTGCTTTGTAGCTAAAGGAAAGTTAATGAACTCTTATTCTAATTTTAAAGAATTCAAAGTGATAATATTCCTGGCCAATACCTAGCAAAGTTGCAGAGAATATCTGTTTTGCGCGCTTTTTGTATGCAAACAGGTACGGAAAGGAACCGCTGTGATAGATATGGGTTTGAGTCATCACCAGAATAGATTGTTTACTACAAGATCGATTTATGCTTTATTTTAGGCGTTCAGGTAGTCCTTCGAGAATATATATTTGATAATAAAAAGGTCTTAACCTTTAATGACGATGACATAGTGAATATTATTCCCCGTGTAAAGCACTTAAATCCGAAGGTTAGTACCGGAGATTGCCTTTCAAAATAGACATTCTGCTTAGAAGTAAACATAGAATGTTTAAATTTTCAAGGCGTTAAATTATACGGAGACTGCTTTCGAAATTGCTCAGCAAAGACTACAAGCTGGTAAGGAACCTTGCTCAAGAATTGGCTAAATTTGCTTGTTACTTACATTGTAAACGTCCTATTGTAGGCGTATGCCTTAACAGGTATTAGCACTGCAAATTTTATTTATATCTTTATTTTTTTATGATATATTCGTATATCACAGGCCTAATTCAGGAAGCTCTAGATGTACTCATTGAGGCGCTAGCAATTTTTCAGCAAGTTTATGGGCCGCTACATCCTGATGTTTTTGCATGTTTCAGGTTATTTCTAAATTCTAAAATTAAATATAGCTTTGTCGCAATTTTGGTCGTGTTATTGAACTTAAGGAACAAAGGTAACAGACATAAAAAATTGTGTACTCATAATCTTATATCCAGCGGTCTGTGATGAAATAAAAATAGTTATGAAGTTTGTAATGATTCCTAACATATACGCTATACTGAGTACTCGTTGGATGTTACTGTAAAGTTTAGGACATTATATTAATTTTAGAGCAATATTGATGAAATCAAGTCTTTACTTGTTATTATGTAGATCTATTGCTCGAATTCATCACAGTTGTGATGATCCTGTTCAGGTGAGATTATTTTTATTAGATCGATATAACCTGACTGTCTTCGGTGGTTAGGATAAAATTCTAACATTGAGATTAAAATTGTTACGAAGTTCTAGAAAAATTTACTAGATTATTTTATTCGCAGGCTGTCTGTTTTCAAAAGAAAGCAACTATAGTGAGTGAAAGATTATTTGGTGTTGACAGTCAAGAAACTATCATTGCTTACGTACGTACCTTTATTATCCTTATATTTAAGCATAAATACGCATATAGATTTATCAATCCTTAAATAATTAATTACATTGGCCCTTTATTTTAGGTGCATTTGTCGTTATATTGCCATGCTGCTGGCCAAAAACGTGTTGCACTGCGTTTGATGTATCGTGCACGTTACCTAACATGTTTGGTTTTTGGCGAAGATCATCCAGATATGGCTACAATCGATGTAAGTTTGAGCATTTGCTGTAATAATTAAATGTACTCTTATGAATTTGTTGCCAGTAACTGGTTGTCTTAATTTGATTTAGAGTAACATTGGACTGATATTATTTGCTACTGAAAATAGTCAAAACGCTATCCAATTTTTAATAAACGCTTTGGAAATCCAACAACGGTAATGTAACTTTTAGTATTGATACGACAACTGAAAAATTCGATTAAGATAATTCGAAAGTGTATCAATTTTGTTTAATATCGTGCTTTCGCTAAATCCTAGATATTATGGAGATGATAGTATCAATGCCGCAATTAGGTACATGCTACATAAAAGTGTTGTACTGTAATTTCTTTAACTATCTAAGCTTTTAAACTCTTGTGCCTTATAATCGTACTTGAATTTAGCCATCATCTTTTAGCTATCGTTAAATCTACTGCCTGTGACTTTCGTTCAGCGATGCATCACGAAAAACAAGTATTCAATATTTATAACGGCAAGGTGTGATATATTGTTCCTTAAAAACTTAAGATATATTCGTACACTGGTATATTTGGCATCTGTTGTACGTTATTCAAAGATATCTTTACAATAAGTAACGTAATATAGTGTTACCAATAATGTGATATTAAAACGTATAACTGATTGAATGTTTTGCAATATTCATATAATAATGATACTATCTGACGGTACGATAACTTTTGTTAGTTTGGAGAAAAGGATGACCGTACTAAGGAGAGTTCTGAGTTTCTAAATCGCCTGACTGGACAGGCAGTTGTAATGCAGAAAAAGGTAGCTTTGTATTGCGATCTTCATTGCACTACATTACCGATGTTATACTGCAATATATTCTCGTGAAAATTGATGCATATGCTCGATATCATGTAGATTAAGGAATTAACTGCTGGCATAAACCAGAATCAAGTCGCTGATATAGTGAGTTTGCATTTTAGTTTGCGTAATGTAACTAAGGCATTAACTGCTTTAATAGATCCGAACAGTAATATATTGTTTGTTTTACATGTTTGTTAAGCCGACTGAAATTGGTCATGACAATAATCAAATTGCTCAATTCATAAATATGATCAATGGTCTACAAAATCTTTCGACTTCAGCTCCATTAGCAACTCCTGAGACCAGGTAGTGTTTATAAATTCGAATGCATAGTATGATGGACCTTCTGATTAAGTTTTAATTTTGCTGTTTTATTATCACAGTGATAGCGATAAATGAACAAGCTATGGGATACTATTTAACGTTGCTATGTGTAGAGACCCCAATTGCGTTAATCAAGAATATTTTTACTCTTGCTTTACTACGCTACCATTTCATGGTTAGTGTTTCCTGATTCTTTCGCGATTTGAGAAAGCTCCAGTGTTCAATAATTTAACCAACCGGTGGGATGAAATATATTTTGACTGACTTTATTGAGGGCACTAATACTCAAGCTTATTATAATATGGAGATAAATTTCATATCTATTTGCTGGAAATTATTTTACGGCCTTTTATCAAGCTATAATTATTCTTGTGCATTGATATAACATACCTACGGTGTAGTGGTTACGGTTTTGTACCGCAGCATTACTGTTATATTTACTAAAATGTTAAAAGGATTTTTAACTGGCACATTGTTAAACAGCGAATCTGACCTTGCATTAAAATTATTGATTAACGATTAACTATTTGCATATATTAGCGTTTTGTCGGTCTGTTAATTGAAAAAGTTTTGGAGACATAGTAAGCCTCATTAGCGTATTCTATGCTATACGCCAGGGTTCTTGCACGAACTTTTTACTCAAGCTTTAATTATATTAGTTTACATTGTATCCTAAGCTACGTTTCTGTGTTACTCATGAAAGTACAGCAGTACTGTTCCTTCTATACAATTATTTGCTACAAATTTTAGTCACACTGACGTCACGGTCATAATGCCGGTGGAAATTGCGGTCAAACTCCGTAGTGATTTCAAACTGACATCGTGGTTGTACTTTTAATCGTTTACGTGTAGGAACGCAAGCATACTGCATTTTGTTTGCGCGATCGCACATCGTGCAGACCTATTTTCTAGATCGAAACACCACTGCTGATCGAATTTGAAAAATGCTGTTTTACAGACTAGGATCGGATTATAGGAATAAGAATTCGATTTTTATCTCTGGGACCAGATCCAGGGGCCTCAAACAGGTGTCCACTACCACTACCGTTATCTTTAGCGTTGATTTCCAGCTAAATTTCAGTACTCGTTACATCTTACTACTGATTCCATCTATTTAAATGACTGTTACATTTAAGCACTACTAGTTACTAATTACCATTGCAGATGTAGTTAAAGTTCTCATTATAAGAACATTACGTGTGCAAGATTCTGATGGTAAGTAAACGTAGCTCAGGGAACTGATAATCGCTTAATTAAGTACGAAATAGTTGCAAGGTCAAGGCTTACTTTGTCACATATTACCGGTAGTGACGATACGAAAAACAAACATACACAACTGAAAACACTAAGTGATTTATTAGACATTTCCATATAAAACATTACAAATTGCGTCCGCGCCCCAACGATATTCAGATTGCACAAAGTTCGCTGCAATAAGAAACTCAAATCTTCATGTAACAATATCCATTAACATCTGAACAAGGCATATACGTAAGCTCGAAAATATTAGCACCTTGCCATCTGCATTAACATTAATTATATGCTGTCTTAACATACGTCTTGAATATTCTGGCTTAGCCAGTGTTCTTAAGGCTTTTTATACACATTCTTGATAATAATCCGGACAATTGTAGTAAAGAGTCTATTCCTTCCACAATTCTCATATGAGTAAATCCTATTTCCTATGTATGTGACAATATCGGTTAGCAATAAGTTTACTATAACCAATGATATGATAGTTATGTGTATTATGCAACCTTTATGAATTCCAGCTTTAAGTATTCAGGCATATCGTAATTTTTACACACACGAAAGATATTAGTGATAATATCAATTGGAGAATACCCAAGCTGCCACAAGTGAGATAGGACTTTATAAGCTTCGTCAATGTTGCATTCAATCGAAGCTTGTATCATTTGTTTTATAAGTAAAGGATGTGGTTCATCACATACCTTCGCCATATAAATTTTGTACAGTTATGATATTCAAAAGAAAGTGCTGCATTAAATAGATGGAATCACTAATATTTATATTTAATGATTGTTAAATAGATCTACTTAACTATGGAAATCTCCACTTAAGAGAAAATATCAACAAAATGATAAAAGAAAATCATAATACCGCGCAATGGATAGAAAATGACGTGTAATCGTAATATATTTTAACAATGTTTCGAGCGTAATTGTTCGATTTATATTATTATCATAGCATGTTTAGACAAACTGTAGATTTTCCAACACATTTACAAGAAACAGTATTCCTATTCGTCAATAAACTTACTTTGAAAACATTCTCACTATTTACGTGTCCAAATCCAGCGTATGTTGACTGTAGATTGTTTAATGCCTACAGCATGTTCATTATCGAAAGTATTGACGTAGTATGAAGTGATTGCACTGATAACATCACTAAATGATGAGTGTTACTGGAATTAACATACCAACCTGTCTCATGTCTCCCTGAGCAGTAAATATCACTGCTTCTAAGCCATCGTTAGTAGCAATAACCTAGAACAAAGCCGGTCAAATAAAAAGGGCTTTTTAATAAAACTTAGAGGAAGTTAAAAGTCTAGTGATTGGATTAATGCCTTACGCTTTCTTGCCGACAAACTTCCATTAATCTAGCCAAGATTTGTGAGTCGTTTAATCTCGTGAACCTTAAAACGGCACATCGCGATTGAATAGGCTCTATACCAGAGATTTAGAAACTGCTCAATCTTTTTAAATTAAGCTAATAGGGTCAATATGATGAGGTAGCAAACTGGAATCGTAGGTTAATACCTATAATTTTTTCAGATGTATTACAAGCTAGAGCAAATCGCGTGGTCTTCGAATAGATCTCCATTGTCCGACGTAATGCCTGCTGTGCTCCATCAGTCATGCTTAAGAATAGTAAATTAATAGTTAATGTTGGAGATTATCAAAATACATATTAATCTGATATTAAATGATGCAGTCTTCGAAGCCGCATTTTTTTTAACGCAATGAATAATTGGAATGGAGCAAAGAGTGAAAAATCTGATACCTGTCTGCTTCATCTAATATAATAATTTTATGTTTGCCAAGAGGTAATGTAACCTTCTTTTGCGCAAACATCTTAATTTTGTTACGCACCACGTCGATACCTCTACAGTACATATAGTAAGAAAGTTAAATTATGGTATACTTTCGTAAATGGTTATCTATAAAATGTAAGATCTGCGTAGTCGGATGTATTCTTGTTCATCACAATTAAGGTATAATTCTCTTTTAGGTGCACTGGTAATGTCAAGTATTTAAAAATAATATTGCCCCTTATAAAGTGAATTATGAATGTATCGACTATTATTATCATGAAATAATTATTTCTTAAATCTATTCATAATATACATATATAAGCAGTATATAATAGTGCTGAGTCTGCTGATTAATACTAGTTCGTAAGCAATTGCATAAAGTACTAGGATTAAATAGTATGATCAATAGCATTCGCTTCACCGACTCTATTGCTGCGTAATGTGAACCAATTAAGCATAATGAGGGGCTAATTTTACCTGTCATTTGAAGCATTTAGCTCTAAGACTGCATCTTTCATTGAAGTTCCAAGAAGCTGTCTAGCTATGCATAATATACTTGTTGTTTTACCAGTTCCAGGAGGTCCCTAAATAAAAACAACACCAAATACTTAGCAGAGTTCAGCTATTTGAGCATCAAACAGTCTGAAAAAAATTTGTAAGTACACCAATGTTAGTCATTATGTAATAAGGAATTTTAGTCAGTACGGTAAGTTAGGAAATAATATCGAAATTACAGTACTGTACATATATATTAGGCCGTGGGCATTGCAATGCTCCACGTACTTTACAGTGTACATGAGCAACGAATGAAATTTTGATGTGCTATCCAGCGTGTATTGCGCTGTACGTATATGTACCAGTAAGTTTTGTCGAAATTCAGTCTCACTCCAAGCTTCGACAATCCTTATAAACGTATATAGCTTACTCAGGCAAAGGTGTTAGTGATCCTTACTGAAATGGAAGTGCAATCATGAACGTAGAGAAATACTTTTTCAATAATAAGTACTTTTATTAATTAGTGTCCAACTCTGAATGCATACACGTACAGTACATGTGGGACATTCTCAAGCTTAATTCAAGCTTATCTTCTACTGTAGTGTCCTTAGACAGATTTACGCCTTACAGCAAACAGAAGAAAGTCTTTTACTGTGGAAGACAACGCATTCAAACATGCCATGATTGTGTAGCATTATACAAGACTTACCGCAATTACAATATTAGGCAAATTACCTTCCTTTGCAAATACCTGCAAGTTAAAAATAGGAAGTTTTTATTTACGTATCGTACTAACTTTTCTACGTAGCCATTTTAGACTAAATTTACGCTAGCAATTTATTCGCACCTCCAGTCGGCTAATAGTATCTTCGTTACCAACGACCTCATCCAATTGTTTTGGACGATATTTTTCAATCCTAGATTTGATAGATGTACAATTTTACTACAGAATAGAGATAAAACTGTAGCAGAAAATTAACTGCAGGCTACTGAATAGACTTAGCATGTATTACTACCAAGGAATATTGGAACATTTTTTAGTTGATTCTCTTTGGTCATCCATTTTCAATTCGTTATTTAGTGTTTAATGTTAGCTACAAAGTTTTCGAAATTTTTGAATTAAAACTTCTTAAAAATATAGAAGCTCATTCAGTACTGTACATTAAAGGAAAGACTGTGCAGTATGCTTTGTACCATTTTCACTGTTTTTTTATTAAATTCGCGCGCAAAACATGTCTCTTTACTATTGACATACTGTACAGTACTGTACAGTGTACATTGTTCGTACTGTACACAGTGTACAGTACAGTATATCGTGTCGGGCTGTTAAATTTGTCAAGATCCATTTCACTGGTATAGTACAGTACGTATTATATGTACACTGGTGTACTGTAGAGTACGGTACCAAATTATACACTGCGCCCATAGAGGTCATAGAGGTTTTCTTAACCTCTATGACTCCACTTGAGTGCACCATTGTCTGAGGCGGCCTAGACCTGACTCTGAGCCTTCTGGGGCCGCAGTACAATGTACAGTGTACAGTACAATAACAGTATACTGTAGTACTGTACTGTACGGTATCTTAGGCCTTCCAAATTTTACGTACAGTACAGTACTGTACAACTACAAAAGTGATTACTGTACAGTACAGTACGTTAGGTTTGGATAAACGTACTGTACACTGTACACTGCCATGCACTACTGTAAGCAGAGGCGCACATGTACCGTTATAACTGCTGTACTGTTACAGTAGTAAACTTTTAAGGTTACACTACAGTATACTAGTCCCCGCTCGTACCGCATTGTGGCCTCCATTGAACAGCTACTGAGCACGCCGAATGACGGACGAAAGCGTGACAACTTTTTTCTGTGAACCATAATTATGTTACGAAAACCAGTGCAATCGAGTAGTCGTACAACTGTACTATACAGTGTACAGCAATAGTGTACTGTGCTGTACTATACCGTGTACAGTTTTTCAGTTTTATCTGTTACACACTTGACACTGTTTTTCATTTCTGTTCAAGCTGCAATCCCACGAGCTGCGAAAAAGAAGGAATAGTAAAAAGTAGCACAGTCTTTGCCATTTGGGAGATTTTTGAGTACTCTTCAAAACTAATTTTTGTTGGGAGTCAAGGTTGTGGCCCGAAGGTAATATTTAAAATTCCTCCATTTTTATAATTCAGTAAGAAAAATGCCCTCGGTTCTCGTGGTTAGCATGCTGTGATCCAAGACTTTCGTTAATATTTTTGTATCGTTATTAATGGCGGCTGAAATTAAAAACGACCCCAAAATCTTCTTTAACTTAAACCTACTGGTACTGATATTATAATGATGTAATCTGTTTTATTTTATAACTGGGATGAATTTAGGTAATTTATAATGCCGGGTCAGCCTCAACATTCATCTTTACAAGATGAAGACAAGATCAGGGAGAAAGGTAAAATTTGATTCTTAAACACTGACATCAGATTGAAAATGTGAATGCAAAATCCAGAATTAAACTATAAGCAGTGCTTACTGGAGATCTATTTTTCTATAATAATTTATAGCTGCTACCTGGTTTAGTAGTACAGTACTGTCTGATGATCCTTTTTGGAGTTGAGTAGGCATTTAGTGTTGCTAGGGAATTCGCTTAGCGAAATAAATCGATACGTATGTGGGGTAATGTTTCGGTTACAAAACTTAATCTAAAGTATATAACAAAGAATAGCATTACTGCTCCTCGTTTCTCCTATGATTAATAGTTTGCATTAGTTTACATTAAAAAGTTGATCAGCATCCAGTGAGATGATTTTAGATATCTTCCATCATATATTTTACAGCTAGGAAATGGCAACAATTGCAATCGAAGCGTTACAGCGAAAAGCGCAAGTTTGGATTTGTAGAAGCTCAGAAAGAGGATATGCCTCCTGAGCATGTCAGAAAGATTATACGGGATCATGGTGATATGAGCAATAGAAAGTTTAGACATGATAAACGTGTCTATTTAGGGTAAATGAAATTCCTAAATTTTATGAGATTATCGTTCAATTTTGTGCTTTTATGTTATTAACGTTATTGACGATCTTAACGTAATGGTTTTTGTTTACGCATGGTTTATATCAATTTTCTCTTGATCCTTAACTTAGTGCATTAAAGTATATGCCACATGCCGTACTGAAATTGCTTGAAAATATGCCCATGCCCTGGGAGCAAATTCGAGATGTCCAAGTTTTGTATCACATTACTGGTGCAATCACCTTTGTTAACGAAATTCCGTGGATTGTCGAACCCATCTACATTGCGCAATGGGGGTAAATTTATATGGATAGCTGATCTGTTAGATCAACGTTTATAATTAGGATTGTTGAATTATTGTAACTAGTGTTCTTGCATTGATCAGTTGTTCCTTTGTATACTTGTTCTAGTACAATGTGGATTATGATGAGACGCGAAAAGCGCGACCGTAGGCACTTTAAAAGAATGCGATTTCCTCCTTTTGATGATGAAGAGCCTCCACTGGATTATGCAGACAATATATTAGATGTGGAACCTTTAGAAGCAATACAGATGGACCTCGATCCTGACGAGGATGGCGCCGTTTGCCAATGGCTTTACGATCATAAACCGCTAGAAGATACCAAGTAAATTATCACAATATATGTATATATAGTTATATTTGCAACAGTTGTTTAAAGACCTGTAACTTCTAAATGTTTTTCGGTAGGCATATGAATGGTTCTTCTTACCGTAGATGGAATTTGTCGCTACCAATAATGTCAACATTATATCGCCTTGCTAATCAACTTCTGACAGATTTAGTGGATGATAATTACTTTTATTTATTCGATATGAAGTCATTTTTTACTGCGAAAGCTTTAAATGTCGCCATTCCCGGCGGTCCGAAATTTGAACCTCTCGTGAAAGACAAAGAATTAGAGTATGTTACTTATCTTTACATATGTTGCATTGTGTCAGTTGATAATTGGCAAAGTATTTGCTAACTATAATTATGGATTTTTAGTAACCTACTGAAGCTAGTGTCGTGATCAAATTTTTTAAATAGAGACGAGGACTGGAATGAATTTAATGATATTAACAAGATTATCATGAGAAGTCAAATTCGAACGGAATATAGAATTGCGTTTCCGTATCTGTATAACAGCTTACCCTTGCATGTGCATCTATCATGGTAATTTCAACTTATAAGCTTACTAAGCACGTTATTGTCTCGCATTATGCAACCAGTGTCATGTATTTGGCCATAATTTTATCGATCAATTGATCCAATTTTATTGCTACATGTATAAAGAGAGTGTATTTTATAGTGTTTACTCCCTGGTACTTTACCAAATTTTTTATAAATTGCATTACTTTTTGTTATTGCTTGTAAACTTATCTTACTGTATATAAGTTCTAGACTATTTGAAATAAGATTTGGATAGTATTTGTGTCCGAACGTGATTAACTTATTAAGAATTCTTTTTATTTCTTCAGGTATCATTACCCAATGGTTGTATTTATTAAAACCGAAGATCCCGACTTGCCAGCGTTCTATTTCGATCCATTGATTAACCCTATAACTCAGAAGTCATCAAAGGTACCCCCAATATTTATTTAATATTATTAATGTACTAGTGTGTACTTATACCTTCGTAACGTGCATATATTTATTAAAACATTGTGTATTATGAATAATTTGCGTATAATCATTACTTACTTTTTCTAAAATAAATTGTCAAGATGTTGCGAAGCAAAAATCCAATATAAATATAAGTTGCCCATTGTTTAGTAACTATATTACCTTGATTTAGAATGACATCCAACCCGAAGAAGACGATTTTGAATTACCGGATGAAATACAGCCATTCTTTCAAGATAATCCGCTATACACTGATAATACGGCTAACGGTATTATTCTATATAGTAATGGACAAAGATTTGCACTGTTTACTCCTTTTCGTTCCAGTAGCACTATAAATATTATGAAATGCACGATACACGTTTCGCCTAGGCTACGCTACATAGTAACATTGTAACAATTTAAAATATTGGCGGTTTTACAGGAATTGCTCTTCTTTGGTCCCCAAGACCGTTCTATCAACGAAGAGGTAGAACTCGACGGGCGATTGATGTACCTTTAGTCAAAACTTGGTTAGTGCAATTAGTAATCTACAGTATATCGTGATGTTGTTGGTACAGTATTTTGTCTTATCGAATAATTTAGAAAGCAAAACTATTAAGTCGGACGTATATATACGTAAATGATTGGTCACTGTACGGGTTGCCAATATTGGCTTCGATCGAGCTCATGCATACCTCCGTTATATGTGAGACGAGCTAAGCCATATATAACTTTTTCTCATTATATTTATGTTGAGCCTGATATAAATGGCTCATCAGCTTAGCATGGGAAATACATTGTAATTGAATTAGGAAGACTTCTAAGGTTAAAACTACCGACTTGATAAAAAAATACATTAATTTTACAGGTACCGAGAGCATTGCCCGTCTGGACAGCCTGTTAAAGTTCGTGTATCTTACCAAAAATTGTTGAAATGCTACGTTCTAAATGCTTTGCATCATCGTAAGCCAAAGGCTCAAAAGAAAAGGTATGATTGGGTGGAATTATTTATATTAAGGTATCAATATTAATAAGTATTCAAGTGATTATAATTTAATCGATTTTTTGTCATTGTATTAGGCGACTATTTCCGTCTTTCAAAACTACTAAATTTTTTCAGTCTACAACCTTGGATTGGGTAGAAGCGGGACTACAAGTTTGTCGTCAAGGCTATAACATGCTTAACCTCTTAATTCATCGTAAAAATTTAAACTACCTGCATCTGGACTATAATTTCAATTTGAAACCTGTTAAGACCTTAACGACAAAGGTTAGTTTAAGGCAATTAGATTATCAGATAGTAATGTGTTGCAAGTAATTGATGATTGGTTGATTTTATTAATTAGGAGAGGAAGAAATCACGCTTTGGGAATGCTTTTCATTTATGCCGTGAAATATTACGTTTAACGAAGTTAGTTATCGATTCGTATGTCCAGTACAGGCTTGGTAATGTCGATGCTTTTCAACTTGCGGATGGATTGCAATATACATTCGCTCATATTGGACAGCTTACTGGAATGTACCGTTATAAATATAAACTTATGCGACAAATTAGAATGTGCAAAGACTTGAAACATGTCATATATTATAGATTCAATACAGGCCCTGTAGGAAAAGGTCCTGGTGTCGGATTTTGGGCACCTGGTTGGAGAATTTGGATGTTCTTTCTTCGCGGAGTTGTACCTTTACTTGAGCGATGGTTGGGTAATCTGTTAGCTCGGCAATTTGAGGGAAGACACTCAAAGGGCGTTGCCAAAACAGTCACGAAGCAAAGAGTAGAAAGTCACTATGATCTCGAACTTCGAGCAGCGGTTATGCATGATATTGTAGATATGATGCCAGAAGGTATAAAACAAAATAAGGCCCGAACTATCCTTCAGCATCTTTCTGAAGCATGGAGATGTTGGAAAGCTAATATTCCATGGAAGGTGCCAGGTCTTCCGACTGCGATCGAAAATATGATTCTGCGTTACGTAAAAGCAAAAGCTGATTGGTGGACGAATACTGCCCATTACAATAGAGAGCGCATTCGCCGTGGAGCTACAGTAGATAAGACGGTCTGCAAAAAAAATCTTGGACGCTTAACGAGATTATATCTCAAAGCAGAACAAGAGCGTCAACATAACTACTTGAAGGATGGTCCTTATATTACTGCTCAAGAAGCTGTAGCTATTTATACGACCATGGTTCATTGGTTAGAAGGTCGTCGATTCTCTCCAATACCATTTCCTCCTCTTTCATATAAGCATGATACTAAACTGCTCATTCTTGCTTTGGAAAGATTAAAGGAGGCTTACAGCGTTAAAAGTCGCTTAAATCAATCTCAGCGTGAAGAATTAGGCCTTATTGAGCAAGCGTATGATAACCCACATGAAGCACTAAGTCGTATTAAGCGTCATTTATTAACTCAAAGAGCTTTTAAAGAGGTTGGTATTGAATTTATGGATCTATATAGTCACTTAGTCCCGGTATATGATGTAGAGCCACTCGAAAAGATTACCGATGCCTATCTAGATCAGTATCTTTGGTATGAAGCTGATAAACGCCGATTGTTTCCTCCCTGGATAAAACCAAGTGACTCTGAACCTCCACCATTATTAACGTATAAGTGGTGTCAAGGTATTAACAATCTGCAAGATGTTTGGGATACTTCTGAGGGACAATGTAATGTAATGCTGGAAGCCACGTTTGATAAAATGTACGAAAAGATCGATTTAACTTTGTTGAACCGGTTATTACGGTTAATCGTCGATCATAATATTGCTGATTATATGACAGCGAAAAATAATGTGGTCATCAATTATAAGGATATGAATCATACAAATAGTTATGGTATCATCAGAGGTTTACAGTTTGCATCTTTTATTGCCCAGTATTACGGCTTAGTATTAGATTTGCTGGTGTTAGGCTTACCTCGTGCAAGTGAAATGGCTGGTCCACCACAAATGCCAAATGACTTCCTTTCCTATCAGGATGTACAAACTGAAGTTAGCCACCCTATCCGGTTGTTCTCTAGATATATCGATAGGTTACATATATTCTTTAGATTTACGGCTGAGGAGGCTAAAGATCTTATACAGAGGTATCTGACGGAACATCCTGATCCTAATAATGAAAATATTGTTGGCTATAATAATAAGAAGTGTTGGCCTCGTGACGCTAGGATGAGACTTATGAAGCATGATGTGAATTTAGGCCGTGCCGTATTTTGGAATATTAAGAATCGTCTACCTCGTTCTGTTACCACAATAAAGTGGGAGGATGGATTTGTATCGGTTTACAGTAAAGACAATCCGAATTTGCTTTTCGATCTTAGTGGATTTGAAGTTCGCATTTTGCCTAAATGTCGAATGGTTCATGAAGAATTTACACACAAAGATGGTGTTTGGAATTTACAAAACGAAGTGACGAAAGAACGCACTGCCCAATGCTTCCTACGAGTAGATGATGAATCAATGCAAAAATTTCATAACAGAGTAAGACAGATTCTAATGGCCTCTGGATCAACTACTTTTACCAAGATCATCAATAAATGGAATACTGCGCTCATTGGACTAATGACATATTTTAGGGAAGCTGTAGTAAACACCCAAGAACTATTAGATTTATTAGTTAAGTGCGAAAATAAGATTCAAACACGTATCAAAATTGGGCTAAACTCTAAAATGCCCAGTCGTTTCCCACCTGTCGTATTTTACACTCCAAAAGAACTAGGTGGCTTAGGTATGTTATCTATGGGCCATGTTCTTATCCCTCAATCAGACTTAAGATGGTCAAAGCAAACTGATGCCGGTATAACTCATTTTCGTTCCGGTATGAGTCACGAAGAAGATCAATTAATACCTAATTTATACAGATATATCTTGCCTTGGGAAAGTGAATTTATCGATTCACAACGTGTTTGGGCAGAATATGCTCTAAAACGTCAGGAAGCTAATGCCCAGAATAGGCGTTTGACGCTGGAAGATTTAGAGGACTCTTGGGATCGAGGTATTCCGCGTATTAACACTCTATTTCAAAAAGACAGACACACCTTAGCGTATGACAAAGGATGGCGAGTACGAACTGAATTCAAGCAGTACCAAGTCTTGAAGCAAAATCCTTTTTGGTGGACTCATCAGCGTCATGATGGTAAACTATGGAATTTGAACAATTACAGAACTGATATGATTCAAGCTTTAGGGGGTGTGGAAGGTATTTTGGAACATACGTTATTCAAGGGAACCTATTTTCCAACATGGGAAGGTTTATTTTGGGAGAAAGCTAGCGGCTTTGAAGAATCAATGAAGTATAAGAAGCTTACTAATGCACAAAGATCAGGTTTAAACCAAATTCCTAATCGACGTTTTACATTGTGGTGGTCTCCAACTATCAATAGAGCCAATGTCTATGTCGGTTTTCAAGTACAATTAGATTTAACAGGTATTTTCATGCATGGTAAAATTCCGACCTTAAAGATCTCGCTAATTCAAATATTTAGAGCACATTTATGGCAGAAAGTACACGAAAGTGTTGTCATGGATTTATGCCAGGTATTTGATCAAGAGCTGGATGCGTTAGAGATTGAAACCGTACAGAAGGAAACTATCCATCCTCGGAAATCATATAAAATGAACAGTTCTTGTGCTGATATATTATTATTTGCGGCTTACAAATGGAATGTTTCACGTCCCTCACTGCTCGCAGACACGAAAGATACCATGGACAGTAGCACGACTCAAAAATATTGGATTGATGTACAATTACGCTGGGGAGATTATGATTCTCATGATATTGAACGATATGTTCGCGCGAAATTCTTAGATTACACAACAGATAATATGAGCATATATCCATCACCAACTGGTGTCATGATTGGCATCGACTTAGCATATAATTTGCATAGCGCTTATGGAAATTGGTTCCCTGGAAGTAAACCACTCATACAGCAAGCAATGGCAAAAATAATGAAGGCAAATCCAGCTTTATATGTACTACGTGAGCGTGTTCGGAAAGCCTTACAGCTATACTCCAGCGAGCCGACTGAGCCTTATTTGTCTTCTCAAAATTATGGTGAATTGTTTTCTAATCAAATTATTTGGTTTGTTGACGATACCAATGTATATAGAGTAACAATCCATAAGACTTTTGAAGGAAACTTGACCACGAAACCTATTAACGGTGCTATATTCATCTTCAATCCTCGTACTGGCCAGTTATTCCTTAAAATAATCCATACTTCTGTATGGGCAGGACAGAAACGTTTAGGACAGTTAGCCAAATGGAAGACTGCTGAAGAAGTTGCTGCTCTTATCCGTTCTTTACCAATAGAAGAACAGCCGAAACAAATTATTGTGACTCGCAAAGGCATGCTAGATCCTCTAGAAGTTCATTTACTGGATTTTCCTAACATCGTAATCAAAGGTAGTGAACTACAACTACCGTTTCAAGCGTGTTTAAAGATTGAGAAATTTGGTGATCTTATTTTAAAAGCAACTGAACCACAGATGGTACTATTTAACTTGTATGACGATTGGCTGAAAACGATCTCTTCTTATACGGCTTTTTCGCGCTTAATTCTCATCCTGAGAGCCCTTCATGTAAATCAAGATAAAGCAAAGATCATTTTAAAACCTGATAAAACTACAATTACTGAGCCTCATCATATCTGGCCATCGCTAACTGATGAAGAATGGGTGAAAGTAGAAGTACAATTAAAAGATCTAATCTTAGCTGACTACGGTAAGAAAAATAATGTAAATGTAGCTTCCCTTACTCAGTCTGAGATCCGTGATATCATTCTTGGTATGGAAATTTCTGCACCCTCCCAGCAACGGCAACAGATAGCAGAGATTGAAAAGCAGACAAGAGAGCAGTCCCAACTTACTGCTACTACTACACGTTCGGTCAATAAGCACGGTGATGAAATGATCTCAACGACAACGAGTAATTACGAAACGCAAACCTTTTCCTCGAAAACCGAATGGCGTGTGCGTGCGATCTCAGCAACCAATTTACATCTAAGAACAAATCATATATACGTATCATCGGACGATATCAAAGAGACTGGATTTACTTACATTATGCCAAAAAATATCTTGAAGAAGTTTATCGTTATAGCTGACTTGCGTACTCAGATTGCAGGCTATCTATACGGTGTTAGTCCATCAGATAATCCTCAAGTAAAGGAAATAAGATGTATTGCCATGGTCCCTCAATGGGGAACTCATCAAACAGTGCACTTACCAAACCAACTACCTCAGCATGAATTTCTCGAAGTAAATATGTTGCATATATTTGAATATACGTATATATATACTCATTACGCTATTATTACTGTGCTATTGTATTTATAACATTTATGATACAATTCAACCTGAAGGAGATGGAACCATTAGGCTGGATACACACTCAGCCAAATGAATTGCCTCAATTATCGCCCCAGGACGTTACCTCGCATTCAAAGATAATGGCAGATAATTCTACATGGGACGGCGAAAAAACTACTGTTATTACTTGCAGGTACCTTTGTAGATGCAAAATTTAGAAACTATATGTAATGCTTACTATCGATTACATGAAATGATATTATTAAAGATATTTACGGATTTATGTTATTAGTTTCACGCCAGGTTCGTGTTCCCTAGCTGCATACAAATTGACTCCATCTGGATTTGAATGGGGTAGAAATAACAAGGACACTGGAAATAATCCAAGAGGCTATCTTCCCTCTCACTACGAAAGGGTACAAATGTTATTATCGGATCGGTTTTTGGGATTTTTCATGGTGCCAGGTGTTGGTTCATGGAACTATAACTTTATGGGTATGTCATTACGGCATTTTATTATGCGTATTCGCACATAATATTTAAATACGTTTTTATCAATACTTCTTAAAATCTATTCGAGCGCTACCAGAGACTACTAAAAGAAAGCCTTTTATAAGTCCCTGATACGTACTACATAACGGATAGTTTATGTTAGGAGTAGCATTATCATTAAATAAACTGAAGTAATAGCTAGTGCGATGAGATATTACCTCGATACTGGCACTTTCGAAGCTCACTTATAGCTTTAAGCAATAATTATGTGGGTCAAAATGTTGCCTAAATCATGAACTTTCTTACAACGGTCGCTGACTTACTGATTGAATTCATAGTTAGCCAGCATTACCATTAGAAAATACATTCTACAGATCTTCACCAATGATCGTAGTCACACTGATTTAAAAATATGCTAGACTATAATGACAAAATTACCGTAGGAAAGCTAATGGCATATCAACGTCTTTCTTTAAACTGTTGTAATGACTTTTGGCAGTGATAATTATCTAATATAGAAGATGCTAATTGCGTTTATAGGTGTGCGACATTCAGACAGTATGAATTATGAACTTCGATTGGCAAATCCTAAAGAATTCTACCATGAAATTCATCGTCCGTCGCATTTCTTAAATTTTAGTACAATAGAAGAAGCAGATATCGCTTCAGCGGATCGAGAAGATCTCTTTAATTAGTTTTTTGAATTTTTGCCTTAATTGTGAATCTGTGGAGTTACTACCTTAATTATGGTCATTTGTAGTTATGTACGGTTTCACTGACTTTTTCCGCATCGATGGTGATATAATAGTAAACCATATAAATCTTCCCTAATTAAGTGAACTTTCCGTAGTTTACTGTTGACAGATACCGATCCCTTCAGTCACTTTTCTGATTTTCAACGATTATTATGCAATTTCATCAAGGCAGTTTATTAAACTAAACTATCTTATATGATAACGTTGTATACAGTTAGTCATAGCGACTAAAACAATAAAAATTTATAAAAGCTTGCATAATTTTGAGATTGCGTATTGTATTTGTGTATTGTTATAAGTATAATAGCGAAGACATTGTGTATTCAGCTACTTGGGATTGAGACTGTTCGCATCGGTTTACATCGTATATATATATATATACAGTATAAAATAAAATTACTATAGATAACAGTGCATGACTATAGCTCTACGAATCTCTTTGTAGACAACTTTTTATATACTTGATCCTATGATCACCAGTTTAATGTAATTAGCTGTATACCGTATTTGCTAGGAACTTAGTGGAGTACGATGTAATGAATTTCTAATCGGTAGTTAGTAGTATTTATCTGCGATCCTTGTATGGTTTAACGTTTGAAAATTCAAGCAAAATGTCCGATCGTTATTGCATTATCGATACCGATTGCGGTATTGATGACTCCCAAGCGATTATGATTGCAATTTGTCAAAATGTCAACATCCTAGCTATTACATGCGTTACAGGAAGTGTTCACGTCGATCAAGTAGTAAAAAATGTCGCTTACGTCTTAAAATTATGTAATCGAAGCGACATACCTGTTTACAAAGGTGCAGCTAAGCCTATTCTTGGTAAGCCTGTCTATTCCACTGAGTTTCATGGACGAGATGGTTTAGGTGATATACCAAATCGAGAGGACGATGAGGCTTTCTTAAACCAAGTTTTACGAAACGAAGACGGTATCAGTACACTAGTACGTTTAGTAAACGATTATGAAGGAAGGATAGATATCGCATCTATAGCTCCATTGACTAACATTGCTTTAGCTCAGCGGCTTGATTCTACGTTCGCAAGTAAACTATCTAGTATCACTATTATGGGCGGTAATCATGAAGGTAAGATTTTTATTATGTGAATATGTTACAGTATTTAATTTACTAAGTATCAAAAAAGTACATAACAAGTTAATAAAATATTTTACACGAGTATATCTTCATAACGACATAGCTGTAGATCCTCTTGATCGGTATCTGTTAATAATTCGTAGTCAATTTTTTTCTTTGTGCGTATCCTTGCTCTAAAAGAATGCTTCTTACTCACATTATACTTAAATTAGTCATAGACAACGGTAATATTTCTACGTATTAACTGTAGTTCGTGGTGGTATTACTATTTTTATATCACAATCTCGCCTTCGATGTTTTCAAATAACTAATTTAGTAAGATAATTAATAGACTTTTATCCAATAGTTATCGAATAGTGTACATCTAACGGTAGTGTACACAATCATTCATGATTATGTTATTAGCTGTAGTGAATATAAAGAAAGCAAATTTTTTCTAAATACAGTATAAATCAAGATATTAGTAAATAATAAAATATTTCACTCGATATTGTTCGCTGAAATATCATTTATCTAATTCATCAGTAATTTTTAGCAGCGAAATCTAGTGTATACTTCTATATAAAAATGAAATTTTATTTTTATGCATATATACCAAAGTCGTATTTTGTGTGTTACTTTTTCTGATTTTGGTTTCTTTGAAATTAGTCGCTTTCTATCTCTATTGTTCTGGAACTGTACCTATCACCTGCACTAAATATAACTATATACGATCATATTCGACTATCAATTGTCAATGACTTTGTATCTAGATAAGTTCATTTATAATTTAATATTTATTATTAATCTACTAAGTAGACTTGATACATTCTATATAGGCAAAGGTAACACAACACCATCAGCAGAATTTAATTTTTATAGTGATCCAGAGGCTGCTCATATTGTTATTAAAGAATTTCCTTCTGTTTGCATCACTCGACTTGTAACATGGGAGACGGCATTACTTCACTCAGTTAGTTGGCAATGGGTTTGTCAATGGCTCACATATCGCAGTGAAAAGGGTCGTTTTAATCATGCAGTATTTTCTAGCAATTTAAAGTTTTATCGTTCAAAACTTTTCACAGGTATGGCTATTTGTGATCCTATCGTGATGGCTTTAACATTTAATCCTGAATTAATTATTAAGAGTGCTAAAGTGAACGCCGAAGTCGAATTAATTGGTAGATTGTCTCGGGGTCAATTAATTGTAGATTGGCTTGAAATTGACACTAGTCAAACGCCAAGATTAGAAATCATATTAAAACTCAACATTGATGCAGTTAAGAATATGATGATCACCGCAGCACAAAATTAGTCGAAAGATTCTATCAATATGCCTTACTAATATCGGCTTTTGCTACATGCGAATTACGATCTTCTCATGACATAAAGCTATTATTTGTCAGAGTAGATCAATTCGTAATTCTGGTTAATTTATAAACTTTTCATCGTCTTCCTTATCCAATATCTCACAATTTAAATGATATCATGAAAATATGAACTAGACAGTTAATTGAAGTGCATTAACATAGTAGAGTTCTGTTTTATGATTCTTGTTAACGTGATTGTATTTATACATAAAATAAGGTCTTATACTTTATAATTTATTTAACTACTTCTTATACTATTATTGCCCATCAGATATTGCTTGTACATGATTTCTTACAAATATTATACTTAATTAATTTACTGCCAGTGTTAGCATATGATGATTGCACGTACGACTGATTTAATATCGATTATTAAATATATATTAGTGCATATAGCTATTAATTATCTAACTTAATTTAAATAGTCTTTGTGTTTCTTATCTCATACGATTAAAATTAGCAATATAAAGGGTTTATAACTGAATTTCAGATTTAAATTTCGTCTTTTGGGTCATTTTCAGTATGAAGATTGATAATTTAATCAGGGCGGACCGATATTTACCTTAAGTTATGCTAACAATTCCACTTTGACATCGAAATAGTTTTATCTTTACGTGTTTTTATATTATATCAGTGTTAGCTTGATGCTATTTTTAAGTGACGATAAATACATATTTCGGTCTATCAATGTCACCATAGGGGCAGTAGTAGCAGTATATGGAATTAAGTAATTACCTCTAAAAGAGATTAGAGATGTTATGCGTATTCTTTCAGTTCAATTTACATTACAAGCCAGAAAATTTGAAGTGATTGTAGGTTTACATTTTTAGTCATGGATGATTCACTATAATAATGTCTGTGTTAGAGCGCGCTATTAATTAATATTATAACACACGTCTATAATTAACAATACGTCTATAATTAACAATTGCATCATATAAATTAGTAATGCCGCTATTGATAACGCAAATGCGGAGAAAATATCATTTTATTGATTTTATATTCCACAGTATATTACAATATAGCCATTCGAAGCGAATGAAGATCCATTATTAATAATGAATGAAAGACCATTGACTACACACTAACAGTAAACACAGTTATGCTGACTAATATACAGCGGTACGCTAATACCTTGCAATAACAGTCATACTTTTACAATAAAGATTATCAAGTTAATTTGTTGTATTATAAAAGAAAACACAGATTATGAAAATGTTTTTTGTAGTTCCTATTAGTTTTACTGAGTAAAAGATGCATTAGTACTCCAGTTTCCTTGCATCTTAAATTCTTAACGGTGACATGTTGTAGTAACTCTGAGTATGCAAAGTAGAATCATGGAATGTAGTTATGTAAATAAGGATAATGATAATTATACTGTATATGAAGTACTTAGTTGCAGAGTACACGCAATGTAGTACGGTGCTTGTAACTCTGTATGATAGCAACTTAATTAATGATCGCTAACTAATACTACAGTTTAGTCTTGCTGGCATTGCATTGCAGACGGATCGTGACTCATAACGCTAGTTTATGTTGCAGTTATTGTACTATTGCAAATATCTACGTAAATATATGTCATAGAATAGTAGCACTTAGCAATTTACCCATCGTTCATCGTCTCATCATCAGTACGTGCTCTGTTCCTGTATAGCGGAAGACCAGCAATCGATTGTCAAAATATTTCCTAAGATAGAGTCAAGGGTATAGAACTTGTAATTTGGTTGTGATAATTCGTTGACAACGCTATTCTTAGAAGTTTTAAAGCTGTTTAACAGTATCTTGCGATAGTATAGTACAACTGTTTTCATCGCGATGATAGCAAGCAGGTGGGTAGTGTAGATTAATGTAGATTAAACTATACGCTTATCTTACGTGTTAGACCGTATTACCACTGTATTATGTGTGTATGTTGTATACTGCTTTACAGCGTATGTTACCGCTTATCAGATACCTTAACGTATTACGCGATTACTGTAATCTTACGGAGCTCTACTATAAAAGCCTAACGGGCTTTCAATAAACTTCACTTGTACCTACAGATCCACTTAGCTTATTGATTGACAGGTAGTACAGTAGATAGTAGATAACAAAATTTTATTATCTGATAACGGATAACTGACATCACTAGCTGTAACACAGTCGTGCGATTGCAATAAAGCTTATTCTAATCCTGAATCATCTCTGGATCTTATCTGACAGTTGTTGCATTTAGTTTTGGACCTACTGTCTGACTGCGTACATTACATTCGCTCATGATAGTAAACTATAATTTATAATTTAATCGTATCAAAATTAGAAAGAATCTACAGTAAATTACAGTACTGATTATTGTTGTATATGGAATATTAATAATGGTAATTATAATACAGTAATACATATAATAGACTACTAAATTATATGTCGTAGTCTATGACACTATGCTATACCCTGTAGCAATAATAATACGTATATTAATTAAATATAGTAGCTCAAATTTTACTCAACGATAGTTGTAAGAGTAATACGAGTATATCACTCAGACTTTAAAGGCCAGCGAATAGTGATAATGGAATCATGCAACTAGTCTTTATCAGTAATATACGTACGCAATATTTCCGTGATACTTTATTTGAGCTATCGCATGAACGAAAATAGTCGAACAGACGTAGACGTTTCTTCGTATTACCTTACTCATATCCAGTATCGTTCGATACAACAAAATTAAAGAATTACATTATTAAGCCCTGCTCGTCGCATATGTACAAATATAGTCCATAGTATAAAAGACCAGTTATCATTGTTATACATGTAAGAGTAAGGAGCAGGACAGGCGCTCAAATGAAAACTTAACCTAAAACCGTTACAGCAAGATGATGAGTCATTTTAATGCATAACGGGTGTAGGTAGACTCGCGAGTACTATTCGTGGTTTGAGGATAGTTGCACAGTATACTGTAGTGTAGTATGTCACTCATACAAACGTAACTTAGCGAATAATAATATAATATTTATTAATATACCGTATTTATTATTGTACCGTAGCTTTACACACAGTACAGTAGAGACCCTTATTTAGAGACTGTACTGTACACTGTCAGGTGTAGAGTACAGTAAAGTTAGTTTTTTAAATATACGCGTACAGTATTGTATAGTATGGATTACGTGAAAGTGGGAGGAGGAAAAAGCATCTTACTCCATGAAATGTGCCAGTTAAATAAAGTAACCGCGAGAGAAACGAAATTATTATAACAATTTTCGTAATACAGTATCTATTGTACTGTACTTATAATAGACCCACGATAGGTTACATATTGTACAGTAATCGATTCATTTTGAAATTATACAAGCGTAATCACTATTTTATTAACAAACGAAGAATGAATTTACAGTACTGTACTGTACGAGTATTAGATGAAATTTTATATTCTAATTTAAGAAATTTTTTTACGCAGTTTCCAAGAAAAACAATATACGAGCACAGTACCTACAGTATACTGTACGAGTACAGTACACCTAGCCATACTTTTGCACAACCTCTGATTGTACAGTAATGTAATCGTCGTCGATTAGTTTTTCATCGCTTTTGTTACCAACTTATCTAACATCGATTTCATCTCAGAAATAAATGAGTGTTACCAATGTGGATCAACTGTTTATTCATTAATTAATTCATTTAATTATTTACAGTTAATTCGTGTATTTACAGTACTGTTAGTACAGTACGTGATACTGTATTCAGTAAACTGTAAGACTTTTTATACCTTTATACAAGGGGTGTCAAACTCATTTTACCTCTGTTTATACACTAATTAATACATGTACACTGTACATTGTACAGTGTAGTTATACCGGCACAAGAACGATTTTTCGTACTTCGTACAGCACAGCATCGTGATTAAAATAATAAAAAAATACATGCTATCTTATTACACTCTGCCTAAAAAGATGAGTGGTCAGATATATTGGTACGATTTTTGTAAATTCCCCAATTATATGATCTGACGAGATCATAGAGGTAATGGACCAGACTTATCTAAGAGCTGAGATTGGTATTTGCAGACTGCCAACTGAAGGACTAGGTACTGTACAGTGTACAGTATAGTACAGTACTGTACAGTACAGTATGTACAGTATTGTACAATATACTGTACTGTACTGTACAGTACTACAGTTGTACAGTATTCTGTACTGTACAGTACAGTGCACACTGTACAGTACGTACTGTACTATGTACTGTAAATTAAAACTTTTTAGTACAGTACTAAGCAGTGAGTAGTACAGTACTGTACTGTAGTCCTGTAGTATAGTACTGTACAGTACTATGGCAGCTAGTGTTACTTACTAATGGCAGTATATTATATTTATATACTGTATATTTTTTATTATATTCAAGTTAATCTACGACATCGCGTGCTGAGCCAGAGCGCTCACGCAGCCGCAACATGCTACAGTATTGTACTATGTATGATGCACGATACTGTGCTGCAACCTTTAAAAAGCTAACAAGCAGTACTGTAGTGTCTCTTGAGCCATTGACTTCTAAAATCCAGATCGGCGTCGTTTTGCATTGCACAGTGCTTTCGCGTACAAGCTGCAGAGGTTATGGATAATACTTTTATTTATTAAATGCTACAATTTCCAATTTATAGGAAGAATTAAAAGCGATTGAACAAATATAAGAAAACCGTTATTGATACATTATATATTGTAGGTAGGTTATTTTTGAATCCAGTGTTAAACAATTTTTATAGCAGCGGCCTCTTATTAATTGCATTTTTACGCAAACGCCTTCTATTACGTACAGTATCTTGAACATGATTTGCTATTTCAGTTTTAGAATTCTCGCAAAATTTAAAAGTTTCACGACCTATTTTGATTGAATTTACTGACAAATTATCGTTAGTTTATGGCACTACGACGCTATCATTCTTGACTTTAGTTCACACGGTTATACTTATAGCACCTAATCAAGTTTTGGATTGTACAGTAGTGATGCTGTAGTTGTAATATTTCCTTGATCACCTTGATCGTGGAGAACAGAAACACTACGTTTTCCACTATTCAGAGACCATGTTAATTAATACTGTACACGCACTATACATTCATGGTATGTTAGACAGAAGCAGTGCTCTAATGTTTTTGCCTCTAGTACAGTAGTACTTTCTGCATTTACATTACTAGACCTTACAATTATTGCAATCGATCCCTACATACTAGTAAGGTAACGCAAATTCATTGCGCCTGAGTATCTTATTCACTTAGTAATTAATTAATTCAGGATCGAATACGAGTAAATGGACAGTACTGTACTGTATACATACTTTATAAAGGTGAGGAATATCGTTTAAATATACTGTATACATTATAAATTATCTAATTTCACATTACAACAAGTCGCGGTCGGTTTACACAACTGTTTATTAATGAGATCCATGCTATAAACGGTGTTAAATACAGTTGTCCTTCCATTAATTACAGTATTCCGTGGGTGCGAAAGAAGTAAACTGCTAGTTGGGCATGTACGCTTACATCTCAGTTTGTTGATTCGTTTACCGCATGTATGAGTATGAGTATGGGCCGCTATGGCTGATTTGATTCAGTTCAACCACGAATGCAAGGTGGTCTACAGAGCACTCTTCTCTGCACCATATTCGTATGACAATTTTAACTTGAATGAAGACTTATCTTTTGGTCTGTATCCAGTAGTCTATATTTTATGAATCGCGAGAGATACTGCTTATACACTATGCATCTTTCTTGCGATCCAGTTAAAAAACTTTATGTGATACGATACACTGAAGTACATTATTGTGCAAAGTCCCCTCGACAGAATTGTCTAGTAGCATTGAATAATTGTACTGCGTTACATGCTAAATGATGTATGAAATTAGAATTATTAAAATCTTACAAGAGCAATCTCTATTTGAAATATTTTACATCGTGACCTAGAATAGTCTTAAATGTCCTATTGCTATACTACAGTTGAAATACTTTTAGTAACATCTCAAAGTCCACAAGTATTTTGTTGTTTTGAAATTTGAATGAATACTGTATTCGAAGTTTAAGTTAGAAAACAGTGCATTATTGCATCTGGGGAAATACTGTATTGATTCTATTTACATTAAATACAATTGTTAGGGTTGCTTCCTTTACCTCTCCCATTGCCATTGGCAATACGTTACGCGTGTACGGACACTTAATATAGACTAGAAACAATACAGTGCTGTAGACAGAAGTTCTTAGCAAAATAGCTCCCAATATAATTTGATACGTCGGGTTGAGAGATTGCCCTCATCTGATACGGTATTTATTTAAATGTAAAGGGAATTTTACTACATCATTGCATTTCTTGATTCAGGTTAGTTAATCATAATAGTCTGCCTGATGATCCGCTCTAATAAACGATTTAGTAAAAAATTACGTTAGTATTATTGTAAAGCGTCTGTGACGCACGTTACGATTTGATGATCTACGTGAAGAAACGCATGCATCCTACCTACAAGTTCTTATCTGATTTTTTTAAACCATTAATTGAGTTGATCAAAAACAGACTCAGATTTATTTTATTATAGTATCTATTTATAGCACAATATATCGGCGACAAAGTACGAATTATGGGCAATTTCGTCCCTTTTGGCAAAGTTTTAGTACTGTAATTTATGATTTGTGATTCTGGAATAGATTTTGCCTAGTAGTTATCTGGATATTGTATAACGTGTGCTTTATTTTTAATGGCTCCATAGTGTATTGTAGGTCTAAAGTAGCTTAAAAGGAATTTTTGTAGCGTAAGTATACCTGCAATCTTTGCGTACAACTATCCGAATATGGTACTATCACCAAAGCAAGAAGAAGAACTGTAAGTTCCAAGCTTTAACCCCTAACCATAAGCTGATATTATATATAATATTAAAATGAGATGGATACAATGTTAAGTATTATAGCAATGAAGTTTTATTATATTGTCTCTAGAACGGTCACTAATCTGCTTATTTTAATAAAATGTACTGCACGCGTATGTGATATACAATTTTTATTGCGATAAGAGACTTGTTAGCTATGGATTGATGAACAGATTATTTTAACTCTACCATTTACCAACGCTAGGCGTTTCGCTGTCGCTGATTACCTTCAATCATGTGGATATACTAACGCCCTGGAAGCCTTTAAAAAAGATGCATCAATTGTACGTGGCCATAGCTACTCTTATAACTTCTATTTACCTTTCTTAGTCTGCTGGATCCTATTTTTCTTTCTGAGGGCGCTATACATTGAAGGAGTAGTTAAAATAGATTAATTTTCGTTTTGTAACTGTACTAGAACCATGAAATACTGTTGATGAAATTCTATATTCGTTTTGATCTTGTTAGCCCAAGGAAATTGATAACAAAAAGTACAGCGGCTTATTAGAGAAAAAATGGACCTCAGTAGTAAGATTGCAGAAGAAAGTAAGCATAATCTTAAAATTGCCACAAATGATAAATGCCTGCGTAAAAGTTATCAATTACTAAAGAATTATAATTATCCTCATTATTAATATGAACAAATGAACCATTATGAAGGATAAGATTATTTTATGATGATAGGTTATGGATCTTGAATTAAGGCTTAATAATACAACAAGAGAAATGAACAGCGGAGGTTAGAAGATTTATCTGTAACATTAGTGTTATCATTATGGTATTAATACCATCTACTTAACTGTGCAGTTCCAACAAGAAATTCTCGTTCCTCAAACGACTGGATCCCCAGACCACCGGAAAAGTAATTTATCGAATCCTCTATTCTGCTTCTCACGTTGAGCCAAGTGTTATAAAACAAATTATCGATTGTACTTTATAGACATAGTCTTTCTGGTCATCGAAGTCCTATTACCTGTGTTGTGTTCCACCCAGTATATAACGTTATGGTTTCTTCATCAGAAGACGCCTCGATGAAGGTTATATTAATTTATATTAGGGTATAATTATTTTATGATAAACGATAAGCTTTTACAGTTGATTAACGCGCTATTTTTCTTAGATCTGGGATTATGAATCTGGCGATTTTGAAAGAACATTGAGAGGACATACTGATTCAGTTCAAGATTTGGCCTTTGATTCTAGTGGTAAATTACTCGGTAAGCTTTTAATCTTGCAATTTTAATAGCTATTTTACAGTAAATTTATTAGATATTTCTTGTAACACTTTTCGACAGCATCTTCCTCTGCTGATATGACTGTCAAAATATGGGATTTTCAAACTTTTGAATGCAGAATGACACTTCGTGGTCAGTGTTATAACGGCTTGTTAATAATCATACGAACATTACTCTAACTGGACATTTTTGTGATATCAAAATGATATTACTTTAAGGTCACGATCATAATGTTTCATCGGTATGCTTTCTCCCGTCCGGCGACTTTTTATTATCTTCCTCAAGAGACAAAACTATTAAAATGTGGGAAGTTGCAACTGGGTTAGTATTAGCCTCTAAGAAATCGTTAACGTTTATACGCATTTAATCGTAGTATGATTTGCCGTATTCTGTTAGGTACTGTGTTTATAATTTCGAAGGTCATAGGGAATGGGTGAGACGAGTTGCTGTTGCATCTGACGGTTAGCGATATTATTAGCGCAATTTGAATGTTACAATTTTGTAGCCCATAATTCAACAACTGCACCTTAATTCTTTAGGATCTCTAATGGCAAGTTGTTCCAACGATCAGGTGAAATGCTCCCGCTATCGTATAAACGTAAATATTAAAAAATTTTGTAGAAACTTTAAGATTTATTGCAATCATTTACCTTTCTAGACTGTTCGCATTTGGTCACTATCCAGTAAAGAATGCAAAGAAGAATTGAGAGGTCATGAACATGTAGTTGAATGTATTAAGTGGGCTCCAGAAAGTTGCAATAGGTATATTAATGAGGCCAGTGGTACAGAAGTGCCGAAGGGACAAAAGTCTGGCCCATTTTTAGCTTCTGGTTCTCGAGATCGTGTAATTAAAATATGGGATGTCACTACTGCAGTTTGCCTATTTTCATTGGTATACCCTTATTTTTGTGTATGACGCTAATAGCCTTAAAAAGAAGTATCTTGCGCTCATAGTTATTTTTAATTATCATAGGTGGGCCATGATAATTGGGTTAGAGGTTTAGCATTTCATGCTGGTGGTAAATACCTTACTAGCGCTTCGGACGATAAGACTATCAAAATTTGGGAATTAAGACATAAAAGATGTTCAAAAAGTCTAGAGGCTCATAATCATTTTGTTACTACAATAGGTACAGAAGCAGCGTTGTTTAGTAACGTGCTTCACAATAATTATTGTTTTGACGTTTTAATTAAGTTGGTTAGATCCTAATGTCGTTGTTTTTTCAGATTTTCATCGTTCGTCACCGTTCGTTATCACAGGTAGTGTTGATTTAACGATTAAAGTTTGGGAATGTCGCTAGCAAATCTAAAATTCTTCTGGTGTAAAGACTTGAGGATGGCAAAATTTGTTCATAATACTTTTCAGTGAGTTTAATGTTGATTGACTTCCATCGATGCAGATACAGAAAGTTCATCAAATGTAATATATGCCGCATGGAAAATTTTAATTTCGTCCCTAGTAGTTTTGAAATGCGGCTTAATTATTTATAAGCAGTATAAGCTATTATTTTAGTTTTTCCCCTTGACATTGTTATTGGCTCCTAATTAAATTTAGTAATTCAAGTCAATATAATTATAATTATTGAAGACGTAAATTAGTCATTTACGAAACCTTCGTTAATGTCTAAATTAATTGGTAGCCTTATATTGTTATGATATTTTTTAATCACTAAAAAGGATTTGAACATTTTATTGGCTGTTTAAGATTGGAAATTACATACAGCTAAATATCTTTGTATACATAAATTAGTTTGCTATAAGAGCGTTTCTAGAGACGAGCAATATTATTTTATCTATTGCATAAAGTGTTGTATAATCGCCGAGTTGACTACCGTGATTAATATTCTCCTAAGGCGATAACTGCTTTAAAATTTGTTCATGTTTTGGTTATTAATTTTTTAAGTTTATTAATAAAGAATCGAGGTAAATGATTGCGTGATAGCAATTTTATGACTGGCTAATTAATGATATACTGTAGTACATATATCAAATTACTATTAATAACTTTAAATAGATGATAAATATATAATTTCTCGATAGTTAGGGACATTAATATGGCTAAATTCCTTTCTCTTATGCAGACTCAACTAGTATTACTGCATTTCGAATTGATTTTACAGTGACTGTATTAACTTGCACTTACTTAATCATAATTTGTAACATCTAATATTGGTGCATTACTACGTATATCCTTAGTATTACTTTAGAAATATTTGAGTTATCACTAGTAATCATCCTTACGCTAACGGATTTTGCACGTGCTACCGGTATTTTTAGAAACCCTGCTTACTTTAAGCTAAGGGAACTAAAAATATTTTCCTGTCTACTATATGCAAATATGTATCTGCTTCTATCCATGACAAATTATATCGATTTAATAATTCGTAATAACTTAAATCTGTGTTTTATACCTTTTGCAGTAATAATTAAATACCACTACGAGTAACAAATAAACTTATGCTAAATATTACTTAGGAATAATACCGTGTTTGAGACAGACAAATAAGTCTGTAAAATAAGGCTTATTATTATCATTTAACTGTGTTCCAGAGCATGTCTTTCAGCACATCAACGTTAATGTTTTGAACAAGAAGTAAATTTCCATCTTCCTCAGAGCCTTGCAACTTAATTTCTATATGACCTCGACAATCAGGATCTCTCAAATTAACTTCCACTTTGATTTGAGTAGCACCAATGACGATATGTGGATCAATAGCAACAGCCGTTGCTGTTGGATCAAAGACATAATATCCGTTAGTATCTCTCCGTCGATAGAATTGTAAGGCTTTACTAACAATTTGTTCAACAAAACCACTTTTTTTGGTATCATTCTTCAACCAAACATCATTTGTCCACTGGAAATTTATTGGATGATGGACTACTGTTTCTCCATTAATGATACGCGTAGGGCACATAAGGGGATATTCTTTTAGCACTATGTGAGCGGCTTCTGGATCTATCAGAAAGTTTGATTCTTTACTGTTTAGCGCATCTTCCAGACCTATCAATTACAAATTGATTTTATAATTGTTTTTCAAGCACAAATCGTTAGATGACTCAGCATTGATCACACTAGCATGTAGTATTACCTATAATCACATGAAAGAATGCTACAGAAATAGAGTATATGAATATACACCTGTAGTAAATAGCCTCATACAAACTGTGATAAGTCAATTTTGTAATAAGAAAATTAGCTAGTAAATAAATCATGTGCAAAGAAAAATAGTTACAAGTAGTAAATAGGACAATAATATAAATGCTGTAGTATAAGATGAAAGTTCACACAGTATACGAACTTTAGAGTGAGATTCTATTATATAGAAAGCAGGAAATTGTATTGGAAGATTTACAGAAAGTAAAGAACTATAACGTACATGAAATTGAGATGAGATACACGGAACGAATTTATTACGATATAAATATAAGAAATAGATTTTGAATTATCATTTATATATCAAGATATATTAACAATAAAGTTAATCTAGGATATTCTGTATTGATGATGAAAGGCAATTTTGTTAAGTACGATGGAGCACACGAGGTGTGTACATAGAAACTAGCGTGGCTAATATAGTACATTTTTAAGATATCTGTTTTAAAATTTAAGATATATTATATGGAACACAGTAATATATAAAACGTATTAATGCTAATTTATGTATTGTACCTACAGTATATACTATAGGAAATCAGACTAAAACTCTAGAGACGTCGCGCCCTCTATTCTAAGAAAAACTATATGTTGCATGTGTTTCGATACGTACCTGGACAGTACCTTCCACCTAATATTGTTAAATCTCTTAACTGCCGAGGAAAATTTCGATTTACTTTGCAGGCTAAAGCTAAGTTAGTCAATGGACCTAAGGCAATCAAACTAATTTTTCCTTCATACCGGCTGGCAAGTGAAACCATGATATTAATTGCATTCTCCGACCTGACGATTTTATTATAAAACAATCTAGAATCAAAACGATCATGAATATCACCTAAACCATCTTGACCATTATAACAGGGTTCGTTTGCCAATCCATCTCCAACAAGAGGTCGATCTGATCCTTTATATATTGGAATAGTATCACAATCACAAATATTAAGAACATATACGACATTTTTGACTGCTTGATCTACTGTTACAATTCCGTTGACGCACGTGATAGCTAGAATATTACCCACATCATCATGATGTAGAGCCAACAAGATCGCTAAAGCGCTATCAATACCAGCGTCTGTATCAATAATTAGCCATTTTTTATCCGATTTAAGCATACTAGGTAATAATTCTTCTTTCGGATGTTCATATCGTGAATACGTTTTAATACCAGGGTCACTCGAAACATTATGATAACGGTAGACTTTTTTTGAAAGATGACAACCCATTCTCGCTTTTATTCTAAAATTCAATAGACAAGATGCACTGGGACAGTTTGCATTATCTGCGAACACTAAAGTTCTACAAGTAATAGAAATAGAAACGCAAAAGCAGTTGCTACAAGAAAAATTAATTGATTAATGAAATTACCGTACCGTTATACTATTTAGAGGAATTCATTGGATAAAAGTGTAATAAAAACAGCTGTTTCAGTTATGAAACTAATAAATGTGGAACACATAGTACTACTAGCAGTATCTAAAAAGTTGACAATATTTAAGGTGAATACTAGATAATAAGAACTTATTCTGATTTTTATTATTATTATTATCAAACCATATGATTTATCACATCGACTCCCATTCAACTAACAACTAAGCCATTACGTTATGTAATGGTCTCGTAGTCTGTCGATTTTAACAGCAAAAGTTATGGAAAGCGCTACAGTACAGTAAATCCGAATAGACCGAAACCGTAATAAATTCATTGCAAATGCAACAGGCTTAAATTGTTGAAAATCCATCTTATATAACAATTTAAAATATCATACTTAATGCATCTGGTATCCAACAGATTGAAAAGGTTCACCAATTAGATATCATATTTATTTATAATTATAAGAAATCGATTATCTTCATCTACAATACTTCGTTTCACTTGAAAAGTTTAAAAACATTAACAAAATATGTACAGTACAATCTTGTAACGACAGTACCGCACTTGATGAATACAGTAGCTGGTAGTTACACAGTCCTGTGACCATCATTAGGGATAGCTGCAATTTACCGCAATTGCTTATTATGCACCTTCCGTAACCCTAAGTTTATCTCCATATAAGAGCACTTTGTAAGAAGGTAATCGACCGAAGGTCAATCAAAACTCCGCTAAATCACACATTCATGAATTGAAGGACGTGGGGAGTGTTCCGTTATAAATTGTAGCATCATAGACTATCTTCGGTCGAATAAACTCAGATAGCAGGTTGTTTACACGGTATAAAGTTACTGAACCTCTGACTGGTCTATCAAATGGTAATACTATACGGTATAAAGTTACTGAACCTCTGACAGGTCTACGACAAATGGTAATACTATCTGTTAAATGAGCACATTATCGTAAACCGTCAGCAAAGCGACGGGAGTTTGCACTAGTAACAATAATATAAGCAAAACTGAATACATAATACAGGTGTAACATTGTGATCTTATATAGAAGATGCCTAGTATAGTAATATCCTAATATACGAATACTTATCATATACCATTTAAGTACTGTATTGCATTACATTCATAACACACGGACATGATGACGACATATAGACGACATGCTATACATATAAAGACATTATCTCAATCTCATCTAAAACCTATAAATACCCTTGTAAGCTAACTCGTTAGTCAGTTCCTACGTTCCTGCTATCTCAAATACCTTATCTATAACAACCATATCATTGTTAGCCTATAACTATATCTCAATAAAATCCTTTATACCTTCTATCATCGTCTAGCTTAAACTACTTTACGCTACTTAAAGAAGATATTATTACAGCAGGTATTAAATTAGTTAAAATGTGCAATGGAGTATAAACTAAGATTTTTAATTTTATTACATGTTATCAAGATAACAATCTAAGAATTACTAAAAGTTATAAGACAAGTCAAATTGTTACAGGAACTGTCCCTAATGATGATTACAAGATTGTAACTCCAAAATTACACATATTTTATAAACGTACATAAAAGAGGAGTCATCCTTACGCCTACGAGAGTGCATCTTATTTACGAAATTTTACACTTAAAAGAATAGGTATTTACAAATCGAGAAGTTTGCCGCAGGTAAATGAGGTAATGTTAATTATCATCCGAAGATCTATTTTACTTCACATTGACAGGTGTAAGATGGGTTCGATTGTGTATTGTATGATCAAAAATATTTTAGCGTGGCTCTTCATTAATTAGTCAAGTCATTACTATGAGCTAACATGACTTTCCATTGACATGGTCGATTTATATAACATTTCTCGTAGCAATTCCCTATCAATTTTTGTAATTACTTCAACTGGGTAATCACATTTCATCCTTCGATCTATAACAGCTTGTCCTCTCGTCCTGCTGCCATGAAGTTCCACGGTCATAAAGGTCTTGAAACTATCACGAATAAAATTTGGTTGCAAGGCCGTAGCAACAGCTAGCACATCCCAGGCTGGATAACCCTCCGGTATCCCAGATTTAATTTTTTTCAGTAGGTTTTTCGTCATATCTCGATTCAATGTAGCTTTTGGGGAATCTTGTTTAAGCCATGTGTCGTACATCCAATCCCATTCGATGCTACAAGCATGAGTAACTTCTAAAGGTACAATCTTAACGGGACAGGATTTTGGAAATTCATCTAAAACTATGGCAGCCGCCTCCGGATCGACGACAAAGTTAAATTCTCCCGTTGATGTAGCGTTACCCATAGCTAAAATTTAAGTCAGAACAAAGTTTTCAAATTAATTAATTATGACTACAGTATATTAATTATAATTATTAGTCCATTAACCGGAGAAAGTTGCAGGAATAATTATATTATCTAAGTTAGGTTAGCTAACCAAACATATGACGATCTACTCAGAGTTATTCTGGGGTATAAATGTTATAGTACTGTGGGCATGCACAATATCTCCTACCTGTATGGCTACCTCCCATAACAATCAATTCCTTCAGTCTTGAAGGGAAATTCCCATCAATCCTGCATGCTAATGCAAGATTCGTCAATGGTCCAATAGCTACTAAAGTGATTTCTTTTTCGTATTTTTTACTTAAATTAATCATAGCTATTGCGGCATGCTCTGATTGCAACAAACTATCTATCCATTCCTTGTTATCACAACGATATTCAATATCGCCAAGACCATCAAGGCCATGAAAAGCTAAATCTTCGTATGTCCGCATTAGGGATGCTTGTGCTCCTTTATATACTGGAATCTTTCGATCATACCACTCTAAAATATAGCTAACATTTTTAACAACTTGATCGACTAAACAGTTGCCGTAAGTACATGTAATACCAACAATCTCACGGCAATTATCATGAGTTAATGCAACCATTAGAGCATGAGCATCATCAATACCGGCATCGGTATCCAAGAGCAAAGTTTTTCCAGCAATCAATGTTTCAATTTCTGACATCTTTTTAGTTCAAATGCCAAACTGCTCCTTCTAAAATTCAATCACAGTACAGTACTGTACAATACAAAGCCTACAGTATACAGTATACAGTACAGTACAGTACTGTACACTGTACAGTGTCCACTAGCTCTCGCTATGTACTGTACTGTACTGTACAGTGTACAGTACATTAGGCCCAGCCATAATAACCCCGACTACTCAGATACTCAGCGTAAATAGCTTAAAGACTCTTAGAATAATGTATCATCGTTTAAGCTATTTACGCTGAGTATCTGAGTAGTCGGGCTTATTATGGCTGGGCCTCCTGTACAGTACATTCAGGTGCTGCATCACCTGTACTGTACTGTACTGTACACTACGGTGTCAAATTTAGAATGGATTAATAACGTTTATCCCTCAACTAAACGTTTATATTATTGTTAAGCTATACAGTACACTGTATAACACTAGCGGACCCGTCGCCTCACTACCTACATCTCTTATGAGGTTAATAACCATAAAAAATTACATAATATAATCGACTATTAATGTACAGTAGATCTCAGGATGTCTTTTATGCGATGTTTTGGTAATCTTCTAAGCAAAAGAGTTGTTAGCCGATATTGTAATGTTCAGCAGACATTGTCAACATTGGCCCACGCTAAATATTCGAATATTGCAGAGAATAAACAAAGTGAAAATCTTTTACTCATGGATGTCGATTGTGGTATTGATGATGCAAATGCAATTATACTTGCATTATCCGCATTTCGTACATCGAAATTGTTGGGTATAACATGTGTTAACGGTAATATCAGAGTCGACCAAGTTGTAAAGAATGTAGCCTACGTTCTGGAAATTTGCGAGCGCGACGATATTCCAGTCTTCGCAGGAGCTGATCATCCATTGGTTACACAACACGTCCATGCGCCTCCTTTTCACGGGACCGACGGATTAGGTGATATCAAAAAAAGGAATGATAACCCAGAATGGAAAGACAAAGTACTACGAGAAGACCATGCTGTCCATGCTATGATCAATTTAATTAATCAGAATAGGAATAAAGTAAGTTTGATTATGATTGGACCACTGACTAACCTTGCCTTAGCATGCAGACTTGATCCCACATTTCCGAGTAAAGTCAAAGACTTGACCATAATGGGAGGAAATTATCAAGGTATGCTATTAATATAACGTCAGCCCCTTGAAATTGAATATTTCGTGATCATTACTGCAATTAAGAAACCCTAATGACGTTTTGGACCTACTGATCATGAATTGTTTCTGCCTTAAGACTAATGCGTGGATTACCCTTGTTAGAAATAATATCTGCCAATGCCCAATGGTAGCTCCAATATACTGTACTGTATTGTCAAATCCAATACATTATATTATGTCTACAATATGTTAGGGCTGTCAATTATCAATCTATTAATTAATACTAAATTATTGTACATGTACGAGCTCGTATACGGGTGTGCAATACAGTATCATCACAATCGCTATTGTACGTACGGCGTGTTTATTTGCGTTTCCAACTTTCGGATAGCAAAGTACATAGTGATTACTATGTGCTTCGACTGTTCTTGCATGGACAGTCGGAGTAAAGTTAAGTAAATATGACCGTGATGTTACATTATTAAATTAAATGATCTAACACCAAAAAAAATCTTGTTAGTACTTATCTACAGTATTTCTTTTAGGTAAGGGTAACATTACCACAGCCGCTGAATTCAACTTTTATGCCGATCCGGAAGCTGCAAACGTTGTCCTAGAAACATTTCCTGATGTCTGCACCACCCGTATTGTACCTTGGGAAAGTGCTTTAGCTAGCTATCTACCCTGGGATTGGGTTACAAAGAAATGGTTTTGTCAAGGGACCAAAAAAAGTCAATTTACTCGCAATATACTGGCTAATGTCCTAGACAATTGGAGAAACGAATCTCCTAAAGGATATACATCAAGTGATGCCGTCGCGGTAGCAACTGTGTTAGATCCAACAATAGTAAAGGACTATGTAGAAGTTGCGGCCAGTGTTGAAACAGATGGAAGATTAACCAAAGGCCAGGTTGTTATTGACTGGGATAATCGTTCAAATCGATCACTTATCCAAGTAATAACCCAAATTAACTTGAAAAAATTTAAGGAAATGATGTGGAATTCGACTTTATGAGTCAGTACTTTCAGTACCAGTCTTGTGCCTTAAATATTACTCTAAATTAACTTTAAGTGCATATTAGTAAATCTAATATTGCGTAAAATATTGATACAATAATCACTAAATGATAGACTTTGTCATCACTGAGCTAATGTTGTCTGATTCTTTTGTATTAAAAGAGTTATATAGTAGATTAGATAAAGAAGAGCGTCTTTGACAGCTAATTTACGTACAAGTTCGATTCAGTACATTTCGCAGTGATACCCATTGTGGTTAATTTATCTATTTTCTTATTACAAAAAGCATACACTTCGAATACGCTCCAGTGACAAAATAAAGACATCTCACACTTGCTTATTACACTTTAAGTTCTTTTTTTTGAATAAAATCACAGTTGATGTAATTGTACATACGTGCGAATATCTTCAATAAAAGAAAGTATATCGATTTCAAAGGCGATATTACGCAAGATTAATATATTAATATCACCACTAGACTTTACACAGTACTGTTACTTCATACCAAGGAAGCATCATTCTTGAAATTTATTTATCTGGAATCGTTACTCACTTTATAGATAGATTTTATCAAAACGATACGCGTATGGCCTTATATTTGTAGTTGATGAAAAAGTTACAAACATTAGTAATAATAAATACCTTACTAGTCATTAACCACGAAAAGTAGTGATCAATTAATTACAAATTATTAATTTCAAATAAGATCACCTCTTGCTATAAAGTAGGCCTATGTGGCCCTACACGAAAGTAAGAGTGCACTGTATTACTGGGTGCGGCTATTTATCGTTTATTGGACTGAAGGAGCTTACCTTTAGGTTAATTGTCGAAAACTGCGCTAAGAAATCGGTAAAATAAATCATCTAGTAGTTAAATCTAATTCATTGTTCGGATCATATTTTAAGAAAATCCGGTTAAATAGTAAAGATCGACTTTAGGTATGAAGTAATGCAGTTGTTTGTTTGATCAATAATAAGTAATTGATTAACTTATAATAATCAATATTCCCGACTCAGTAAACTCAACACCGAGGCAAAAGATCTCAAAAATTTCTGATTGTGATAACACCACACTGCTTATTGTCAGGGGACAATTTAAGAAGTTTATGGATGTAGGTTTGTCATTTGTACCTATTAATATCTTCCAATGAAAGGCCGAGAAGATGTAAATTCTACATGCATAATATCATCTCAACTATCATAACAATGCACTTTATGGAGCGTGAATATATAACTGTATTTTTATACTGCTAAGCATAATTCGTTACAATCAATCATATTGCTAACTTTCACTAACAATGGCTGAATCAAATTAATAATTAATCTACCGAAATAATAATAAAATTTCAATAGGTACTCCTAGGATACATACTTTCATGATACTGTATAGCTGCAGAGTTACAGATGCAGCAAGAGGATGACATGACCTTAAACATTACGAAATAAATGTGAAAACTGATGCCTTTTAACTGCTCTATTAGTGTACTTAAAGAACCGTTATAAGCGCTATAAAGCAGTAATGCCAGCCATAAAACAATTATCGGTCCTGTTACTTGTGCTAATCAACAGAAATAAGTACGATACCATATCGAAGCCTTGGTTTCAGTTTGTAAGCAGTCATGCAAGAACGTGAAAATTTCGTACAATTTATGATTTTAATAAGCTTTATGGAAAATGATAGAACACTGATTGCAAATTACTCCATTCCAAATGACAAACGCAGAATTGAATTAATTTTTTTGATGAAATAATTCTTCAACCACAGTTAAAAAATAAACTGCCAATTAACGAATAATACGATAAATTGGACTGATTCAAGACATGATCGTAAATAAGATTCCGGTCCAATCAATATTGTCACATACGACATATTTCCATCAGAATATGCCATACTCGTACAAGCATTAGCTGTTGTTATTGATGCAATCTTATATTTGTCATGCTTTTAAGATCATTCAACTATTGCAAACAGAATCATCGAAAATGACGATATCTTGTATTGGTTAAAAGAACATAGGAAATGTGCAGAAGATATATGGAAAATTATTGTTGGCTGAAAGAAGAAAAATCAAAGCAAGATAATCCAAGTTGCTGATTAATAAAATTTTTAAGTAAGGGGCGACAAGTTGATTCTGTAAGACACATTAGACAAATAATAATTGGGATAGGAAAAGTAATTACTGTAGTAATTAATCCATGCTGCTATCATGTTAAAAAAAAAGGCATTTATCTAGTAACTGGCTGAGTAAAAATTACAATAATCAATCACGGTAGTTTATAAGCTAATTATTTTACATCTACTTTTACTCTATAAGTGCGCGACAAAAAAGTACCAAAAATCAGTAGAATTAATTATCATTGTACACGTATCAACTCCATACAATGAAATAATCATGTTAACCTCACAAAATAGAGTTTTATACCAAATACGATCCGATCTAAACGTTTAAGCCAACAAATTAATGTCTAATAGAGAAATATAGATGAAATTGGAAGCCACTAACACAACTAAATTGGGATCTCAAGTGATTGATTACTTGCTCGTTCATATTTGCCGCCCAAAACTTATTACACAAAACCTTCTAATGTTGTTTCTTTACAAAGGAGGAAAATTTCTTTTAAAATTGAGTATTTACTCTGTTACTATTTTTGCTTCTTCAATTGTATTATCAACGGTCATCTTGGAGTGTTGCAATAACCGTAATTTGAAATATTTTACTATAGCTTTATCCTCTCTGTAAATAGACAAAATCAATGGATATAATAATCAGTAATAGCTATACAGTAGTTACCGTCCTGTACCGTAGTGTAACTGAAACAAGTCCATTAATCAACGTTAACAATATTATCTAGGTGTGTACTTACTGTCAATGTTGAAGGATGATAGCCAGCTCCAGGTTGCTGATTCGAAGCTGAAGGCATTGGATTATATGTAATAGATCCATTACCAGCCGGTTGCGACTTATTTGAAGCTTGACCATATGAATTATTGGCTTCAACCACTGGTCCAGGACTAGTAGTTTGTCCGTAGCCTCGTGCTCCAGGTGAAGTTGGTGGTCCATATCCTTGTGGTGCTCCATAACTATTCATTAATCCTATCGTAGGTAAAAGAGGCATTTTAAAAATAATCTCAAATCTAATCAGTGATATCTTTTAGAATAAAGGTATTTACAAAAATTATTAGTGTGGCGTCAAATTAATATTTCAGTACCATAATCAGCCTGATGGATAGGGCTGGCATCATTGCGTGGACCACCTCTCATATTACTACCACCAATAGGATATTCGTGATAATATGCGTTAGCAGAAGTTCTTCGTTGATCTGTACCTACGAATCCCCCCGGATAGCCAGGAAAGCCTGTGATCGTAATAGTTACATTAAGATATTTCTACCGTTATATATTTATATACTATAGACGTATAAGCATATCAATCTTGTCAATCTATCATCTTCGTAGAGAAATTATTGCGTTACTGCTGTACCATGAGTTCCAGGACCAAATGGATTCATAAAAGGTCTGCCCCTTCCACCTCGGCCTCGACCGTTGTAAGCAGCAACAGCTGCAGCGTTATAGCCTATGCAAACAATTAACATCCAATGATGATCGTTAGGAAATAATCACCTCTAAATTGGCAAAGATAAAACTAGTCCAACCAGCAAACGGGAATCCTGCAAATCCAGGGCCAAAACCTGGGTAACCACGACCAAACCCACCATAAGAAGCGTAATTTGCTATTTTAATTATAGAGTTTTGTTAATAAATTATCTTTAAAGACTATAGCTGTTACATAACAGGCTGATATTAAATTTCTACATACGGTACAGATATGGTATAAGAACTACATGATAACTTACGAATTCCACGATTGTGATTAGTTTTGAGATGACCCTTTGTTCCACTAGTCTGGGAATGCATGACTTCTTTAGGTTGTGCTTTCTTGACTTCAACCTATGAAATTAAATTTAGTTGGAGCATCATTGATAAAATTATGCATTATAATTATTGAGTCAAGTAAAATTTCTAAACAGTTTAGTTGTGCTATTTTACTTTTTTATTGTTGATTTCGTGGAAATGAACTTCGCAAGCCTTATCAGCAGAATCTTCCGATTCAAATATTACGAATCCGAAGCCTTAATGATTGATTTGGCCGTAAAAAAAGTAACGAAAATTCGATTAAATCTTGTGTAAATTTAGACCTAATGGAAATCTCCACTGCCCTTTATACGAGCAAACGATTATAATAAGTTCTTTTAGTAACTCATTGACTTCAAACCGTACCTCGATGTCTTTGAGTTGATTTGTCGAACATCAGCATAGCATCCTCTATCTATTGTTTATCCATGATCAAGAAAGGAGTATTTAGCATTTAGAAAGGAATTAAATTTATTATTACTGACGTATTATTGAGCTCATAATTATTTTATTTCAAGTTGAATATATGGGTCATAGAAATAGCCATAGATATGTTCTTTGTCAATCAAAATAAAAGCAATCCTAACTATACAGGCACATTTGTGAAATTGTTGATTAATAACTCTATTACATTACGCGGATAAATTAAACGAAATCTCAATAGTATTATATTAAAAATTTTGTAATAAGTCACTATACAGATAAAATTTTATTTTATCCTGAATTCAAATATCTACAAAATCCCAGGGATATATTACTATTTGTTTTAGTTCAAATCGGTTCAGCGCTAAATATTCATTATTATTAAACTGTGGAATAAAATTATTCATTGATCACACCACAGGAACCTACGAAGTATATGACTGAAAGCATGGACGTTGAATTATCCAGAAATAACGGATAATAAGTTACTTTCTTGGTTTATAATTTACAGAAAATCTTAATTCGTAGCTGTATGACACTTTGCAAGTCAATATTGCTGTATTCATAACGTTGGTATTGTCACATGAGTGTCTAAGATTACAATCTTATTTTTTATGTACCATTTGTCTAATACCAACCAGTTGATTTAGGGAGTTTTTTATTCCAGCATAAAATGAAGTCGATTATTTTACTCTGTAATTTATTTTTCACTTTAGATATACTTTGATAGAGTAAATTGGATAAAGTACGAATGGATTGCTTACTAAATGATGTACCACTTTCTGAAAATACCGAAACAAAGTTAAAAGCAGAACTAAACAGATGGCTAATTTCATATTAGTAAATCAACTGAACACTATTTATCTTATAAATTATCTAAATATCAGTAGTAATTAATACTAGAAGATAGAAAATGAGTCATTACTACGTATTTGCATACATACATTGCATGTTATTATGTACTGTGGTAGTGATTATAGCGCTATAACGAGCAGAAAGATCGAATATTATCGTATATGCGATTTAATGACATATCAATTATGCTTTACAATATCAAATATAATTGGATATAGTATACTTATCCCAGCCCCTCGAATATCCCGTAAAATTTATATTAAATATCATCATTTGATACTCGTTTTTTATAGTCGAGAAAAAGTATTCAATGATAAAACACTATTATTATTGGAGCAAATGAAAAGTGAATTGCAAACTCTAAGTAAATTTAATATAAATTCAAGTTATAACAACTAACTCATTAGACGATATCCTCCTTTCAATAAAATAGAAAAAAACATATTAAGACATCAAGTTGCTGAGCATAAATCTTTTAATTTACCTGGCCAAAAGTTTCAAAATACTTTGTAATATCTTCTGTCGTGGTATTGGTAGCAATTCCGCCAACGAACACCTTCTTCGTTCTAGTCACCAGCTGATAATAGAATGAGTAATAACAGAACTATCTTAACTTTTATAATCCTACGTTATCTCTACACTTTGAAAAATTATATAGATCATATCAGTTAGGGTGACTATCACTGATATTGAGCGCTGGCTAAAGCCACAAAGTAAGCTACGAATTTCAACGATATTTTGGACTAAGACAATTACGATGTGCAACAAAAATATTTTCACTTTTTTGTAATCTAGGTTATAATTCACGAGTTGAATGTCTAAGTTTTACTATTTGAATTAGGAGTTTATGTGAAATCATTTATCGATGATTAGCATTAATTTGTCAGTATTAGAATACTTGATAAATCACTTAGCCATTAAAAATTCAAATTGGCAATGTATAAAACGTTTTCACAGATCATCACTCACCTTCTGCCTTTGTTTTTTAGGATAAGCTACCTTAGCATCAATCTAGAATGATAATTATAATTTCAGTATTACAAAATTACTATGATTTTTTTACATTTAACTAAATAGATTTATGATATGTCATCAATATGTCAGCTGAGATTATGTTGCTATCATAAAAAAATTGATCTCGAAGTGATAGTGACATATAGAGTATCATTTTGTCATTACATTTCGATAAATCTGATATTATCGCAACATTGACATATAAATTTATTAATAGACAATGCTGATTTTTTAGTCATTTTAGAATTTAGGATATATTTATCATATCTTATATAATACAATATTAGCTAGCTGTTTCATATTTAATTAGCAATAATAAGTTCCCGAATAGGTAACTAACTAGATTACGGTATACAAATACTATAAATAATATTATAAAATCCTTCAACTAATGTATAAATTTCTTACTTTAGAACTATAAAATGTAATTAGATAATATTCGAGTTATTGATATATAAGGTAAGATTCGATTTTATATAAAAGTTAGAGGTAAAATTAAATAGCAGATGCAACCTGATTGAATAAAGAATAACTCTTCAGATTATTTAGTTTCTTTAATCAGAGTAAAGTTGCAGCTATTCAGTGATTTTTTACTATAAATACCATGTATTTAAAAATAATTGAAAGGATCTACTTCGACAAAGAATCTTAAAATATTCTTTAAATAACTATATAGTCATCTATAATTCAATTTATAGCAGCAAGAATAAGTATGAATACAAATAGATTTCTATTTATCCATTATATAACTAATAAAATGATTTTTGTTACCGCATAGAATTGACTAAGTCACTCATGCTCATAGTATGAAAATAATTACCTTTCAAGAAATGGTTCAGTTTATACTATATTGCCTGTAATTAAGTTACGTAAGTATAAATTATAATGAGCCCTACAATGCAGTAAGGCTAAGTTAATGTAAAATATCTGTCAAACTTATTAACTACAGTACATGTTAATAATCCAACTTCATTTTGCAACAGAGGCGATATTAGCTATAATAGTAAGTACGCTATGATTTTTTTGCCTTTTCATTTGCTGCTACTGATCTTATTTCGAGATATACACCTCCATTTATAATGTAGTAGGGTTCAAACTGAGTGTAACTGTCCATTTTCGGTCTTAAAGTCATAATAAATTGATTGATGGGAAGTATATTACTAAATCTCTTTAGGTAAAACTTAAATTGATTAACTTCTCATTCAATAGGTAAATGTGAAAGATCAAATAACCTATCACATATAAGTATCTTAAGAGGTGGAAGATTACATGAAATAAAAAGTATTGAAAGGAATAGTGAATATGATTTATCTATCAAATATCTGTCTAGAAATATTTTAATCAGTAGTCCCTTTAATTGATCAAGTGTACGACGTAAGTTTAAGGTAAAAAATAAAGAGCATAATTAGTAATTTAACGATAATTTGAAATTACTATTTATGAAAACTGAAATAACTTTGATTGTAAACTTTTAATGGATAGCGATGTACTCTCAAGATCACTACAATCTATCCATTCCAATTTCATGTTCTATCATTCTAGCAGAATCTTATCAATCTATCATATGTTTTAATTTCTGAATGTACATTCATGAGATAGATTAAATACACAGTTATTGATCCTTTAATTAGAATGCATTTTTTAATGACTAAATATCTGTTTACGTATAAACTATGGAAATTTAGCTCTTGTCAATTTATGCCTTTACTTTTAATACGTTTACTATCAATATGGACTTGCAGTTTTCTAAAAGCATTCTTCATTGAAAGGTATTTTCATCATATGTTATTTAATTCAGATTTAATTCTCATATTGTATTCATATATAAACTATTAATGACATATTTATTCTCAAGGCTATTTCAATCGCTAAAAAAAGTAAAAATTAATGAAAGCCAATAACAATAGTTAACTTTAGCTAGCTATAGTTACATTCTATTTGTATCGTTACATCTATTGATATTGCAAATGGGAAATTGTACTATTTGAATTCCAGTAGTTGTAATAGCAATAGAAGTAGTCAATATTATCTGCCATAAATTAGCTACATGTTGTAGTATGAATACTATTAAAGAAATCATTGTGATTAAAATGGATAATAAAGTAAGTAAAGAATACAGTATTATATTTAAAATGCTGGTAGCTGAAACCGTAACTGCAACTGTCTTTTCCTCTAAACTAAAATCCCTTTGCTGAAAAAATTATGATCGTTATGTAGAGCCCGTTTAGCAAAATGTATAGGAAATTGCCTTAGCATAATAACGTTAAATAATACATATGTAGGAACGGGACGAAATATTAATGTCCTGATGATATACGGCACATTTTTAAGGCATAGCGCTTCTAACGATTCTACTATACTAGTGTTTTACTAACAAGGACATGCAGTATTACTAGACATACTATAAAGTAATCAAAGCAGAAATTATATCGAAATAAGTATATACACGCATAGGTGCACAAAAGATCACACGCTGCAAGTCATATAGATTATTCCAAAAGCAATATAAACTATTCTAAAACAACTCACTACAGAATATTTTGATGTGATATTTGAGTATTCTGATCATCGTCTGTAACCTTTAACAACACATCACGTAGTAGTTGCTATTTATTAAGTACTTACATTTTTATCATCCAACTTATGTGGCCCGCTTTGCAAAACTTTTTCCACATTATCGGCATCAGTGAAAGTAACGAAGCCAAATCCCCTGTCAAATAAATTATTTCATATCAGTATAGTAAAAAGTATCATCGTTAAACTAACCTAATCTGAAGATCTGATAGAATGATCATTCATAGTGTATTTTAAACGTATCTTATGGCAATACAGCACAAAATTCAATATAAAAATCATGGGAAAGAAGCTACATAACATATTCTCGAAGATTTTTCATAAGAATGTATACTGCAGAACAGAAGTCTCACAGCATTGCGTATTCGTGGATAAAACTAAATATAGTCAAATAGACCCTTACAACTAAGAGTAATAAGGTCTAGTTTTTAAATATCGTGTCGAACGAAAAATTAGAATTACTAAAGGATTTAATTCGTATACAATCATTAAGATAGGAAAATTAACATCAGGAAACATGTGAAATAATCTAAAGTACGAAGGCTTAACAGATAATTTGAACGAACACAGTGAAGCTAGCTAAGTCTTCCATTGAAAATGTTCATACAGTATTTTTTATTATTTAATCTTAATATTATAGCGCAGAAATACAAAAGGCTTTTCTCTGTCAATGAGTGAATTTAAGTATTTCAAAATGATAGATCTTAAACATCAATTTCTTTCTATTCTTGAATAGAATTTAAAGATATTGGTCTATTTACTGTCATGCTATTCTCTCTATTAAATATGCCTTTTAGCAATAAGTCGAGCAAATATGGTCATAAATCAATAACATTAGAAAATTAAGGGAGTAGTAATAATACACACATAATAATAATGACGCCTATCAATCAATAACTATCCTGAATTGATATTCATAAGTTGAGCGATACTGTATTACAAAGTGCATTGGCATGTTTGAAGGCCTATCATTACCGAGTTTTACTGGCAATACTGGTAACTTTTTCGAACATTTATTAAAATGAAACACGACTGAGATAAAGAGAAGTAAAAGAGCTTACTAATACGGTATCTTATAACTGAGTGAGTGTAAATTTTACATTCAATTGGATTTGGACATCATTAGTTATTTCTTAAGGCGACTATCACTACCGAATAAAGGCTACACGATTTATAGCCCCTCTCCTAACTCTGGGTCGGAATTAGATACCCATATTTGAGAATTATAACCTAATAGTTATTATTACGAAGGCATAACTTAAAAATTTAGCGTATTTTAAATATGACTATACATAGATTCATCGCATTAAAAAACAGAAATGAAATTGATCGTTATGGATAATACAAATATTGCGATCCTAGCATCGTAATACTGAAAAGCAAAGTTTGTTGAATCTAAAATTCCGAAAAATTCCGTAAGTTATTTGACGTTTCGGGCACGATCAAAAGCGGTAAGATAGATTAAAAAGTCTCAAGACTTTGATAATTAATCAATTAACGGTGATATGGCCATCAGGTATGAATGATTTAACCTTCTATGATCTAAATTCTAACAAACCTTGAGCGTTTGGTAATGGGATCATGCATGATAACGCATTCAGTGATTTCACCGTATTTCTCGAAGTATTCCCGTAATTTTTCTAGTTGAAATTGAAACATAAAGAAACGTTATTAAAGCGCGATAAGGGAATAAAGTGGTTGTTACAACTACAGAGATTCAGATTTTAAATTTGTAAGGAGTCGTAACATAGATTTTTTGCAAATTAGTATTAGCTATTATACTGCAAAAGAAAAATATTTTGCCGTAGCAGTCTTACTGAGTACCATACTATTGAAGATTATGCAATTAAATCTAAAGATTAGCAGCAATCTAAAGAAGGAAATGATTTAAAAAATGCTTTAAACTAAAAACAAGCGGTGAGATTAGATGTGTATAGTAAAGCGTACGGACTTAATATTCCTTAATGGCAACAGCTTCATCTATCATTAAAACTTTTTCAACAATTAATTTTATATTATGGCGACAAGCTATTGCAAGACTGAATTAGATTTGTTGGACTGTTATAACCGAAACAACTTCCATAGTATGACAATAACAAGGAAAGAAGAGAATAAGAATACTAGTAAAGATACAATGGAGGAAGATAATAATTGACACATAACGTAAAACAGGAATGTCGTTAAACTATGCTGCTAAGGAATAGTTGATGATAAGGTAATAGCAATAATATTGAAGTGTAAAAGCATTGATGTATTCGACTCCATGTAAAACTACTAGTATTGCGGATCGAATTTAATTGTTTTATTAATTTGAATAGTTTATCTTGTACTCGTATCCTACTGCTTCTTATAATCACTGGAAATAGATACTGACCTGTGTTAGTCATCCAACTTAGACCACCTATAAACATTTTGCTATTGACCATGAGCGACAACCAAAAGCAAAGTAAAGGATAGGAAAGAAAAAAAATTAGATTATAATGGATTTGTTGTTAAATTAGTAAAATGTTAAACCATAGTATCAAACTTAGAGCGATAAATTGAGTTCTCCGAAAAAAGAAATGATACGGGAACCGATTAAGTTAGTTGATATAAAAGTTTTAGTAGTGTATCAACCCCCAGAGTTACAGTACACGGCAGGTCATTAATTATCTTGAAAAGGCAGCGATAAAGTTAGTCATCTGAGAAATATCTAGCTAGATCTATCGATATTGTACCAGTATTTGATATAAAAAATAGTATCCCATGCCAATAATGATCTTAGAGTGAAAAGTTTACGATAGTAGAGTAAAATAAGGATTGTTTGAAGATAAAATTATAGTATAAAAAACAGTTCAAGTTTAAACTGACAATTTTATGACAGCAATTGATCTAATTTGAAGATACTCCGGTTAGGAATGAAAATTGGATAAGAATAAAAGTGCTATCATAGATTAGGTGTCAAACTAAACTGTCGATTAAAATTACTGACCTGAATAAACAAAAAATATTTGAAGACATGCCCAGGAAAACGTATTATGACTTACCCTGGATCCTGCGATAATTCACTGCTTGACGCGTTCGCTGCCAATTCGTTAGCATTCGCTGTACTACTTGAAATCGAATTAGTAGACGTGGTCGTAGTCATCGCTGTTGTTGATGATGGTGGTGGTGAACTTGGTGCCGAAGTTTGCTGCTCGTCTTGCACTTGCTGTTGTTCTTCTGGTTTATCTGATTGTTTTTCTTCTTGATTATTTTCCATTGCTAGAATATTTTTAAATTCAACCGTTAACTGACTGATAAAAGTAAATGGTATGCCGAGGTAGAGTTACTGGTAACTTAGGTAAAGGCAGTCCTTTTCAAAAATAATAAGAATATTTTGTAACTAAATCGTAGTGAAATTAAGAATGACTTTAAGTGCTGGTAATCTTTTAACTTCCAGTAGTTGGTAAGATAGAATCACTTTATAACAGTTTATTCTATCTTTCTTGCGTTGTAGAACGGTATGTAAATCGACCAAAGGGTGATGCCAAAAGCGTTCGCGTATATTTGTATAACGAGGTTAAATCAATAATAGCGATTTCGACCTAAAATGACGATAGTGACTCTATCGATATGGCTTGTCTTGCGATGAGCTGATTCCAAGGGGCTTTATCTATGTATAGTATAGATAGATATCACTTTCTTCTATATACCATATATATCTATATGTCTCGTTATATAATTTTAATTGCTAGATAAATTCCGGCTTACGAAATATCTACAGCTGATAGTTGAAAAATGGTCTAGATGAAGGTTAACTATAGCAGCAGTTCAAACTAGTTTTATACTAGAAGCTGAAATTATGAATGTAGCGCACAAAAAACTACTAACCAATATATCACTAACTAGAATCTGTTCCTACTGTAATAGAAGTAGATAGTTTGAAATGCTACTAGCCTATTTGTTGTTGTTGTTGTGCTTTACTAAATTTTAAAAAATTTGAAGCGTAAACTACCAAAGCTACTGTACTGTAGTAACTGACTACACCTTATTTTATATCGTGCTACTCTTTTTGTCTTAGCGCAATAACTCTTTCCTCTTAGACCGTTGTTCTCATCAGGACTCTACGTAGTGGCGATTTACGGGTACTGTTCTGTATACAGTAGAACAAAAATAGTTTTGTTACGGTAGCACCAGCCCCTTCTTTTCTCCTTTAACCACGTGGATTAGTTAGAAAATATTTTACAAGGTGGGAATCAATTGCCCATTTGGCGCTTGATTTGATTGACAGTGTATAGTCAGTACCGATAGACTACTACTGCGATGTACTCAATCGATTTTTAACTTTCATGAGTTACTTTTCACCGTAATTAACGATGATATTTATACCCTATACTCTCTATTGTTTAGAACTGATGTCATATTAATCGATCATCATTCCAATTCTATAAACTCCCCATGATCCAACTCTTTTTTATTATCTTCTATACAATCAGGTAGTCACTAGCTCTCTTTTCATATCTGTATATGTTTTTATACAGAAATTTTATTTATCTTAACCATTTAATATGGGGATTTGATGTTGACGCCTGTGACCTGACGCCCACCTTTCAATTGATTGTACTGTATTTCAATCTTCGCGACAATACATTGCTTCTATTATCCAATTAGATGTTGCTGACAACAGCAATCCTACCAATTCCGTTAATTCTTTTGATAATTTTTGTTCATCATGATCATGTGACAAATGCTTGATCACCTCCTGGAGGAGTGTTTTCCTTCATAATTTATTCTTTTTCTGATTATAACTCAACTATGGAGAGTATGCAGCAAAATCTTTAGAAGAAAATATAGAAGACGATTGGTTATTCATATATATCCCTTCTATTAGATCGTAATGGTAAATGATTGTTATCCCTTTCAGAAATCATTGTCGTCTTTCAGTCAATAATATTTTATTTTGTTATTTCATTCCATTTTAATTTTTATTGACCAAAAGGAGGTACAGTTCATCATGAATTGAAATGTGATGAGGAAGTTATACTTAACTATAAGGCATGCATAAAGATTCGGAGTTAATTATTACTTTAGTAGTACAAGATAATTAATCACAGTAGATATCCAATTGATCGCATTTCTAATGTTAATTTAACACTTATGCTTACTAATGTATAATATTTAATCTTCGATCTCTTGATTTTCCGTTATCCGTTTTATTTTCATTATCTAGCATTCCTAGATTTCTGTAGCACGTATACATATAATCGTTCAAATTAATCTCATTTGAGTATGGCAATCATTTGCAACATCTTAACTCTCCTGTATTAGAGTATCTACAGTGTTAATTCTTATATCAACAGTAAAACTATCGTGATTCAGCTAATATCAGAAAACATTGCATTTTGGCTTTGTACGCTTTGAATGGCAACAGTTGCTGTATCATGTTTCAAAGCAATAATCATTCACAATCTATATTATCTCTATGTCTTACAATAATAGATTATGTTGTAAGTAAAGCTGAAAGCACAGTTATTCGATAACAAATTAGAACTACAAAATGAATTAATTTTATTCTGTTATAATTTTTAAGGAATTTTCATAGCTAGGCTCTTATTTTCCAGTAAAGTCTTTATTCATGTTGTTTTGAGGCATTAGGATTATTTTCTTCTCTCAATTTGTTGGTATGTTAGCAAGTGATGAAAGAATGTATGCTGGTTATACTTAATTGCTTACGGCGATATGAATAGGTTATAATCAATCGTAGGATACCATAACCATAATTGCGTACTACTCGTTCGATAGGCAACCACAACACCCTATCCAATATCCTATTATATAGATAGCGGTAAAATTAGGATATTAGCGTTATTACATTATCGCCCTCAACTCGCTGAAATATAATTTAATTTGATATATAATGGCCATAAAGTCTTGATTGAAAGTCTCCTATTCTTTTCTCTGGTTATATTTTATTAAATAAATCATTCATTCTTTCTGCTATTTATCTTAGCTCTTTGATATGTCTACGAGAGTATATCGTATGATATCAGTATATATTTTAATAAAGTAAATGTAGGAGGGTTATATGCATAAGAACATGATGAGTTGCGACCGTTAAAGGTTAAATAATAATATACACTCCTATGCAAGAAGATATCTATTGCATGGTTATCAATCTAGCAGTTGCAGGTAGCCTTCTTTGAAAACTCAACTATAAAAGAATATTTCTATAACTACGTAAATTAAAGGTATATAGAGATTTATGTATTTTCCAGACTAGAATATTCATGTCTTGTGGATAAGCTATTTTATGATTGTATCATTTTATAATGAAGCGATGGCTATTGCCTTAAAATTGCATACCAAATGTCTTATCGATCGTTGGTAACTTAGTAGATCTAGCGTGAACAATTACCTGTGCTAGGGAAATCAGAACTGAGATAGCATCTGAAGTAACCGTTTCTTAAAGACGGTAAAAGATCTTTCGTGCTGAATGTAAACCAATACTAAGTTCTTTGTATATGGTAGGTGAAGGTATCTACAGAAAATGTTAGCAATTAACATTATCTAAGCGTAGCTGCGTATGCAAGAAATGTGTTTTTAGTGCAGATTGATTCTATACGTTGCGGTACATATTTAAAACTTTGTTGTCGCTATCTATATTTTGCACATCATTCGGATTCAGAAGAATCATTACCATAAAAGCAATTCATAAGATTGAGTGACCGCCGATGGAACGATTAGCACAATTGGTCAAAGCGGCATTTTGCCACATTCTGCTCTGATTGGACATATTTCAAATTTAATTGAAGAGTGGCTCATGAATATTAAATTAGTGTTCTTAACAATGATCTTTTCATCGAGATGTCATTAACAAGTTAATTGAATGACTGATGAGAGAGTTAGCACGCTTCTCATATGACTTTCAGAAGATAGCTAAGATTATTTTATTTAATGCTGTATTGAACTGGTCGTTTAGAAAAAATGTTGTGATAAAAATTTTGTATTTTATTAGTAGCAGAGGCATCAACGATAGATGAAGTAGCTCTCTGTATTATAAATATCTTAATCGCTAGGAATGTGAAATTAATTAAGAGCCTAAGTCAGAAGTACTAATAATGATCATAAAGTTACAGCTAATAAGGGATGCAATGGCGATGAACTTGACGAACGATGGAATAACTGATATCATGCTGTGCTTAGAGTGTACTATTGAAGTACAAGTAGAGCAGCCTACAAGTTTCATTTAAACGAAATTGTAAATGGCTTAATGTTAATGTAATAAAGAAATAGCTGGAAGGGATACTAGATATAATGTTACTAATTAAGGTTACAAAACTTCAGTATTGGTAATATATAAAATTTAGTCGATTCAAATTTGAGCATTACGCTAGCATATCACGAGTCGATAGATGCGGAACAACGTCTAAAGATTTTAAATGTATCCAATTCTGATGTCTGTATAAATAGCATTTTTTGTTCTATAGTGGTGTAGTTAAATATGTAAAAAATTGACAGCCTTGTGTAAATTAAATGTGAGAGAGAAGCCAAATTAATACAATATGATGTACACGTATTCAGAATTGATCGGAGTCTATAACACAGCATGCAAGAATAATATAATTGGTGTAATTTATGTTTATTTTCAGTGTACAATTATTGCTTTTAAGAAGAATGCATTTTTATCATTAGTGGGAAGGCCTATCAACATCAATCAAATCTGCACAATGAATTTCGTTTCACGTCAATAAAAATAATTTAACTCAGCTGTTTTTATGCACCTCCTACCTTCACGATTTTATTGAGTGGAATTCTCAACGTGCCTTCTTTTCATAAAGACATTTATTGACTAATAGCGCAGTTTTAATTATCATATTTCAAATTACAATAATTGACATAATCGATAATAGTTTTATCTATTGTGACTACTTCAGTAATGTATTGGTTTGACAGCTCATTCCATCATAGATAATCCTTTTGCACATTAACAACTAATAGTTATCTATTCCAGTATAATAGATAGATTTTATTTTCCCAGTACTTACTATCTGATAAACTAGCTTTCATTTTAAATCTAATGAAATGGATCTAGTTCAAATGCAACATCTTAAACAGCCCAAGTACCAATAGAGACTGTTTGATAGGTGTATATATAAACGTAGGTTACCGTGTTTAATGAAGTTATAGGTTGAAATTTTGAAAAAGGATGCTAAATGTTTAGCGACAATAATTATATACAAAGATAAGAATCATACTTAACTAAACTCGATCGTCTAGTATTTTAAGTATGCTGAAATAAGGGATTATATGGATATACACGAAGATAAATCGGGACTGATTAATTATCGATAGTTGCTGTTAGATTTAACTGAGTTTAGGAGGGGGAACTTTACTCGTAAGAGAACCTGATAATTCTAGTAAGTCAGAATGTAATCCTCATCCAAATCATTTTAAAAAGTTCTTTAATTCATCGTAACTAAAAAAAGTCTTATTTAGTAAGCACTTCCTGATTGTAACACATATTTACATAAGTTATCTCGAATCAGTAAGATATATGTTAGTAATCACAACACGTTAGTCGCAGATCATTAAATGAAGCTATTGCATAGCATAAACCTGTAGTGATGCGCCTACATTTGATTGTATTGATAGCTATATTTGATATATATAGTGTATTTAGAATATACTGTAACTATATTCTACTCTTAAATATAGACATGTTGTATTACTCTTATATTTAGACATATCTACAGTCCACTTACTTCACATTCATATATAGGTTACTGTATTTAGTTATTACAGTACTCGCTATTTTCTACAATCATCTGCTATTCTATAACCTGTAATGGTATATGTTGTATCTAATCCTACAATCATGTTCTCTGCATGTGTTTGTAACATTATGATCTTATATAGAAGATGCCTAGTATAGTAATATCCTAATATATGAATACTTATCATATACTGTTTAAGTACTGTATTGCATTACATTCATAATGTACGACATCATGACCACATATAGACGAAATGCTATACATATAAAGATATTATCTCAATCTCATCTAAAACCTATAAATACCCTTGTACGCTAACTCGTTAGTCAGTTCTTACGTTCCTGCTATCTCAAATACCTTATCTATAACAACCATATCATTGTTAGCCTATAACTTGTATCTCAATAAAATCCTTTATACCTTCTATCATCGTCTACCTTAAAACACTTTACGCTACTTAAAGAAGATATTATTACATGGTGGCAGCGATGTGTTCTAATGCCATAGCCATAAATACCACCATTTTCTACCTTAGATTTCTTGAGTAGCATTATTAGCTACAGGTAGTATTCACAATTTACTCACGGCAGCTACCACGTTGATCTACCGTAATTATCACATTATACCTAACTACTATCTACAATAAAGTATTCTCTTTTTCTTAAGCTCCTTGTGCAAGTCTCTGCATGACAACTAAAACCACATTATCCGACTCTTCGAACCCTCCATCACAATATAGTTAGATTTAAAGAATAGATATTAGATATTGTTGCGATTCTAATATTAGAGGACGTTAATTACGGTATTAAAAACTGTTGATTACTGATATTTGTCAGTTAATTACTGGTGGCATAAGATTTATATGACTCGGTATAAAGTTACTGAACCTCAGACAGGTCTATCAAATGGTAATACTATCTGCTAAATGAGCACATTATCGTAAACCGTCAGCTAAGTGACGGGAGTTTGTACTAGTAATATTTTAAGCAGATTGAGTCGTACTATAAAACATGTAGAAATCTTCTGTTTGATGACTCAATTCTGATTCAAGCAACAAAGTTTTGCCATAAATAAATAAAGCAAATTGTATTTAAGAACTGTGGAGATGAGCTCACATAAAACTTCACTTCACTTTGAGCTCAGAATACTTTAGAATTGGTTCTTATCTTATTAATTATTACTCTATTATTCTTAAACTTTGTAATAAAGCCTTTTCTAAAATTCCTCCTGAACTAGGATAATTATGTTTATGAGATACTTTTATTGCACTTACAATTTTAATAATAAAAATACCTGTTACAAGATATCATTGCTGGTCAATTTAGTCTATTTCATATGTCTTACTGATCTCAAAATATTAAGATGAAGGTACCAATATCCATTTGATGTACGTGCTTTTATACGGTATTCTTATAGTACTTAAATTAATAATTATTACGTGTGAACGTATATAAAGATTAATAGCAATCCGTTGAAGTAAATCAGAATACATCAAAAGTTGAATTTTTTTAGATTTAAAATAATTTCTACGGCTAGATTCTGATTTATTTTTCAGATAGTCATTCGGTAATCACAACAATATAAAATTAAATTGCATACATTATAATATTTTGGAATAACAATAAGCGTATCTCTTTTCGAACTAACCTGTTATGGAATATAGTATATATAATTCTACAATCCTGTTCTCTAATTCAATAAATGTAAATTCCGGCATTTTCTACCATAGAATTATTAGTGCCTTAGTATTCCACACGCTAATTCACGACAGCTTGCACGCTGATCTACGCTAGCTCTCACACTGTACCTTAATTTCTATCTCTATAACTTAGACTACATACTATTACGAGAACTTTTGCAAGCTATGGCATATCAGTTACGAAGCAAAGCCAAATTTTCAACAGTATTCTCATAATTGCAAATATTTAGATTGTATGTATTTGGACACTTTAACCTGTCCGTTTATTCCGAAAACCAATCATAGTATCGCGAATTTCGTTTTATGATTAAGCAAGAATGCATAAAATTGTCGTTATTTCCTTAAGTTCATATTTCCATTATTGGTAAGAGACACTACTTGAGAATTCTTACAATAAAGTTTCAACATCTTTACATTAAAATGCTAAATGAGTATATGAACATTATTTTATGACAATACTATCTCTTAACAAGGCTTATTGCAAAAATCTGGCTGTTAACCATTTGTTCCTTAGCTTCCCACATACGCATAAATATATGATCGCTTTTCGTAAGTAATACGGATATACGCTTACACACGGGCAGTCGATGATGTTGTCATTATAGCTGCAATATATACACAATCATATTGCGGAATTTAAGGTTTGGGTAAAATTTTTACCGGTATCCACTATTGATTAGTGTTGCAATATCTATCGGATTCTGTAATAGACCTTATGAATATCGGTATTACTAGTATGCAACAAAATATACGTCGACAGTCATTGCACCCGAGATAAGATGATTATCAAGTAAAAAGTAAATGAAGTTCTTCATTCAACCACTTGAAATTTTTCATTTATGATTGCAAAGAAATAAACCTACTTACTTTCTAAGAGATATATTTTCTAGGTCATAAACACATACAGCGAATATCATCAAATGAGGCTATCTAATTGCATCATGCTTTATACCCATAAAAGTCCTATTCCAATTTTATTCGCCTTAGGACACATTGAATTAATATTAATCTAAAAATATAGCTAACGCTATTGATTCAGTCATTTTAACATTATCAAATATACAATGGTATCATGTCATCAGCGGTATGACCTCTATATATATTTACATCAATAATTATAATTAATTAGTCAACATTTGCCATTCTCCACAAATAAATAATAGCTAGCGAGAGAGCCTGAGTTACCTTAATGCTACGATTGGAAATAAAGAATCGTAACTGCCACGCTGGAATATTTATATCACTTCGTATATTAACCGCAACAGTGAGCAGAAGCTCGGTATAGGCAAAAATTGTGATAAGAATCTGTAAAATGTTCGGAAATGATGACACATTCTTATCTACTGTCACCATGGGACTTTCCTGTTAACAAAAGAATATTCGTATAAGCGTTAACGTAAGCTATAAGGAGCGACTAAGTTACATATACTATACTGTATCATATACGCGAAAATACAAATCATAAAGTATCACAGTACATGCAAAGTAGATTTTATATAGTGTAGTGTGCAAAGTGAACTATACATTCACCTGCACATATTGCATAATAATGCTTAGCATATAAAGAAAGGAGCTTATTCGAATGAAAACTTGTAACAAAAACATTCCCGATAAATAGTAACCCAATAAGAGCTTGCCGAAATCCGCAAATGCTGTAAGATAAAGTTAAAACTTAGTAACGCAAAGGATTCATCGAAGGAAGGCAATATCTGTTATGGATTAAAAGTGTTTGAAGTTGCGTACATATAACCGAATTAGTAAAAATCCAAAAATAAGCAAGGATACTTGTTCCTGCGTCGTCAATGGATCTACGTATTTATCAATAGAATTTGTTAATACAATTGCGTATGCAATTATAGGTTCTAGTTATTCAGGCTAAGAAATTAATATTACATTAAATGCCTTTGATCTGTAATTTGGAACTGCGTTTTAATTGAATTTTCAGTTGACAGCGTACTGATAAACCAAAACATTCCCACAGTAATAACAGCAGCATCCGAAATGATGCCTGAAGAAGTTAGTATTGCTAATATAAGCACTTATCATCGTTAAATTAGATTCTTGTAACCCTTACAAAACTTTTGTTTCATAATATTACGATATTTAGCCTTTTCCTGTAAGAAAATTGGACAAATTCCCCCAAAATTTGATTCCAGTGCCAAATTGTGTCTCAACAAATATATACATACTAGAGGTTGGTCATGGGTGTAGTTACCTTCATCTTTAATGATAGAAGCTGTGCCGATAAGGATAGCCAGAACCACAATACATAATATTGGCCTGTTTCACCAATATATCAATAATAGCATCAGAAATCAAAACATAACTTCGTGAATATTCACTCTTCGTTTCATAGCAGTATTGATATAAATAAATTTTAAGAAAAATGTAGCCTTATTGACGATTAGCGTAATTACAGCAGCAATCACATTAGCTTTAGATACCAGTATAGCATAGCTTCGCCCTGAAACAATAGAAGGAAGCCCAACTTAACCGAAGCTGTATAGCACGTTACAGTAATGGCCAAGATGATCCCCTTGAAAAGTTATAAACATTAAAATCATTATAACTCATTTATTTTTAATTGATGATACTAGAATATATACGTATGTATGAAAGTTGTTGTGAGTATCAACATGGACAATTCTAGAAGTCAACCACACCAATAACCACGTAATAAAAATTTTAAGGAGTTACTGTAAATACTTAAGGGCAATCTTGAAGGCTACATGATCTGAAATATTCTTACATGTACTGATATCAAAGTATGAGACTGGATATATTCGTACATTGTTTTTAAAGTTAATCCACCTAACTTTCATGTTACACTAATAAACGGACTGATTGTAATTAATGATGATTTTAGATTTCAACTCGACTAAGAAAATGTCTGCTACATTGTTACGAATAATAAGTGTAGCTCCTGATCCTGTAGATTTTGGTGGGTTCAAAAAGGTGGCGAAACACTAACCTTATTAAAGGTTGGCCATTGCAACGATTCATCAACTAGCTTTTGGCTGTAAAGCATACTTAGACTCGTAATAGCGTAAGGCTCTAGGAAAGCAGTTAACAGTCCAGAGAGGCCAAGGAAAAAACTATACAATGACATCGCGAATGTTGGAATGACGTTTACCGGCACGATTAACAGTAATACTAGTACCGGGAGGAATAGCACCGCGCAATTGCTACAAGATGTTTAAATATTAATTATTAGATAACAATGTTATTAAATTAATAATTTTATTTCTCGTAGAATATCGACTATCGTAAATAGCAATTTCCTTACGAACCACAGATGAAGTGCATCCATTACGCATATAAACATTGACGTTAGTATAGCAAATTTGATGGTGACCACAGATCCGATAAATGTAACACATAGAGGCATGGCTACGAAGAATATTGCCAGGGTTATCATTTTAGCGGAGAATAACAACATTAAACACATGGTAATACTGGTATTCTTGCTTCAACGAAATCAAGTACGAAAGCTAAATGAAAGATGCTGTTCATCAACCTCAAGATACTGTAAATCATAAGCGTATCACTGATTGCTAATTTAATAGTCAATTCGCTGATTTATGTCTCGACATCAATTTGATTATGCCATGCAATTCATCAAAAAAGGCTTAAGGTGCATTGAAATTCGGTAAACGATCTTAAGAGTTCCTTTCGCGTTATCCAGGTAGTGATAGTGACACAGTCTAGAGGCCTGCATGCAAACGATTTTACAATTATTAAGCAGTCGCATGATTTATTAATACTAGTATAATTGACTGTAAGAAGCAAGCTGATATTGATTATTCGAGCTTGAATATTAAGGTACAGTGGAGCAAACCGCAAGTGAACTTGCTTCGGGAAAATCTGCGTAACGAGGAGAAACCTTTTTCCGTTAAAATGTCCTTT